GCATTCCACTAGTAGTTGGAGCATTTCGACCCGGCGGGTCATGACTTCCGTCTTAGACTCAGTGACTTGTTCAGCGGTGCTCTCCAAGAAGAACTGTGCCATCTGCATAGTGACGAGATGTCGGATGGATAGCATCTTCTGGCAAATTATCGCCGCCTCATAGAAAATTTGGCCGCTCTCGGCAGGCACACTGGTGTAGATCTGTCGGTGGAACAGCGCCTGGGAGATTATAGCCTGCAGAGTGGCCGGGTGGTTACCGTTTAGAATTTCGCGGTACAGTAATGTTTGAACCCTGTGAATGGACCGGAGTGACGGAGTCGTCTTGCTCGCCCACACGGTCATTTCTAGAAGTGGCACGGTAGGGCTGGTGGGGAAGACAGATCGCAAGCTCTTGCCCGCTGTAGTGACCTCTTGGTCGTTGGTGCACCCAAATGCAATTTTGACATAACTTGGCCAGTACCGAAGCGCAAAGTCCAGGAGGGGATGTTTCTCCAGCAGGTGTTCCGTCACCCGCCCGTTCAGCGGGTCCAAAGAGGGCTCATGGCTGTCGGTCACACTGTGCTTTGCGTACAGTAGGAGTCTTTGCGCGAAGTCCACATTCCGATCCTTGATCACGGGCAGGAGTTTACCCTTAGAGAAGACGTCCAAAATAGCAACACGCACCTGCGCATGCCTAAGGTAGACCAAATTGTTTTGGAAGAACACAAGCGAGGCGACCGGTTTCAACACTTGAAGGAGGTCAATGTTGCCGCGCTCCACGATGTCGGCCTTATTGGGCTGCATGGAAAGAAGAGCGGCCAATTCCTGCTGGGAGAGAGGGCGGCTCGCGGTGGCCAGCCAGACAAGAATCTTCTTCGTATCCTCGTCGAGTTTCGGCTGCAAGGTGTGAGAAACATGGTCGGTGATTTTGTATCCCGCTTTCACGATGCTCTCAGCAGACTTGGAAAGCGCGGACTTATTCGGCAGGTGTTCATCACGCACGCGCTTGGCGGTCAGCTTTGCCCAGAGGAAGGAGCCATCCGACGCCTCTGTGATACGGGCTACAGTCAACTCTTGGTCTTCGTCAGACATGGTGTTAAAGGCATGGCTCTGGTGAAGGATCCTGCGGGTGACTGCGGCAACGTCATCGAATATGAGCCCCAGCGTGGCTCGCACTGTCGTCTGAGAGACAATCGAGTCCACTTCCTGAGATGCGAGCGTGATCAGCTTCATGGAAGAGTTTTTGGACGCCGCCTCATGAAGTCGATGCAACAAGGCCCTCTCCGCGCAGCTGGCCTCGTCAACACCGTCGACGATCAAAACCAGCTCCCTAGCGCTCGCTAGACTGGCTTGAAGGGCGTGTGTCAGGGCATTCCAAAGGAGATCGTCAAATGATGCTTCGTCGACAGTACGCTGGCTCCGATTGTAAGCATCTGCCAAAACCTGATACAACTGCACATTGCCGAGGTGTTTGTTGAACATTTGGGACAATATCCCCTTGACCACAGCGCTCGGGGCTGTGCTAGCGGGAATCCGACCATCTGGCAAGACTAGTCAAAACGATGTAGGCAGGGTTTGAAGATAGCAATACTAACTGATAGGTGCCAGAATGGACGTATACTTCGTCCCTCCTACGGGATGCTGTAGGTAATCGTTGATCACAGTGGACAAGACCGTCTTGCCGGAACCCGGCTTGCCGATGATAGAGAGCACCTGCTGCTCGCCTTTCAAGAACCGCGTCAGGAATGGTTTCACCCACATACAAGTGCCCTCCTCGCGCTCCTGGGCCGAGGGAGCCATGGCCTCTATGATGTGAGCGAGTGTCGGGTCTTCAGGCTGCAGCCAGTCTTTAAGTGTATTGATTCCAACAGCTGCGTCACTATGATCAGAATGGACTAGATGACTTTAGGTGCTCTGAAGTGACATTACCTTTATCGCCATTAAACCCCTCTCGCGTCAATTGGTGACGCCACATAAGTTCTGATGCATGCTCGCAGCGACCACGGAAACTGTTGATCGGACTGGGAAAGGTACTATAGATATCAACTGAGACCGATTCCGAGGAAAGTAGCAACCGGTGGAAGTGTGTGGCCACACAGACAACGAGGGTCACTAAGTCGGCTAACGCGAGGATGAGCTGATCCTTGATATCGGGAGAGACCACAAAGAGCTCTGCACGATCCAGCAGGTTGCCGAGACCGGCTGAGCAACGGTAAAAAAGCCAAACAGGTCCATAAGGGCCGGGGCGTTCGACTCGCCCAACTGCCCGCTCGCGGTTAGTGAATTGACTTAATAGGCCCGGAGGCGTGTTGCATTTGACGTACCTCAAGCAGACTCGCACAGTATCCATAAGACATCTGAGCAGCGAGGTGGCTGTCGCCCGCGAACTGCTCGATCCCTGAATCGAAAGAATGTACACGCTCGACAAACAAGGCCGCCCACACAAGGGCCTTGTCATAACTACTCCCCTCGGGAGGCAGCTTCTTCATCCTCTCACACCGAATCCACTCCAGCAGGCTAGCATAGTCCGTATCGGATACCCGGGAGGCCGTAAGGTCGTCGCTGCCCCGGTGTGCAGGCGAATTGACTACTTCGACGAGAGTGGTGCCTTCTCCACTGGACTTCATGGTTGCTTGCTGGTGCTGACTGAGGCGCTTCTCCCTGGTTATAGTCGCGTGCTGCTCCAGCGGGTCCGATGTCCGCTGCAAACCGAGAAGAGATGTGGATGCTAGAGGAGGTAGGCTATGCGGTACCGAAGCCATGGTCGGCCTTAATTCTTTGCCGTATTATCAAGTTATAGAAGATTATGGGAATAATGAGGTAATAAGGTTACGCTTAGGAGTACCTTTCACTTCCAGGCTGGAGACGAGTACTCTTTCTTATATCTTTACTCTTCCCCCTTTGTTTCATGATCATACCTCCATTGCCTTCCGCAAAGTCCACGACGTCAGTATGAGGCAGCTGCGACTCAAGGGTTAGCTACTGCATGATAGTGGCGTCGCGGCTTCATAGGATATTTGGAGCCTTACAGTCAATTAAGTCATATGCGCGACGAAAGCGTGAATGGCTGAACATGGGTAGGCGACAGAAGGTCCTGGAGAGCCCTTCTCCGGACAGAGTCAAGGTTTTTGAGCCATCCCTGGCAAATAGAAGCGTGGTGTTGTATGAGCTGAGCTCGATTAAGTTTACACCGCGGATTTGGAAAACTGGAAGGCTGCCTTAAGCCGTTAAAGCAATGACATAGAACAAGCGTGGATTTGATGTTGGGTCGGTACGGGGAAGCTCCCGTGGTCACGAACCGCTTTGATTGCAGGTCCACATGGGTACCACAGCAAGACGTCCATGGGCATCTCCAATGCACCCATGGCTATACGTTTTTGAAATCATGGAGTGAATGGAAATATCAATCTTGAAGCAGCTGGTAATGTATCAAACGAGCACCCTGTCCTCTCTGGCAATTTATTAAACATTAGCAAGAACACCATAGTTCAGAACACTCCTAGCCAAATAGATTCTCGAAGCTAAGCTTCAAATCAATCACGGTCATTGTTTTAGTACACTTCAAGGTAGCCCCGTTCATTGGTCCAGGGTGGCATGCCATTCAATAACGTGAGGGGAGGATGATGTTATGGACCTACCATATCCAGAATGATGATGCAATGCGAACATAATAACCTCGGTTGAGCGATGGAGTTGCCTTCAAATACTGGTGTGGCCAACATGCGAGCCTGAAATTACAACGACATTCATAACTCCACCCGCCCGTCGCGTCCCGGCCCTCGGCCATAACCTCATTTCAAAACCCGCCTGCCGCATGGAAACCACGGAACCAGGGCGAAGGTAGAACAAACTTTGTTTTCACGTCAGAGAAAAGATAATATTAGCTTTCTACCAACGTGTGCGATGATCAACTTACAAAAGTACTAACTATTTTACATGCGGTGGCGGTTAACGTCATGACATCGAAAGGGACTATAGGCAAGTGGGTTTCATCATTTAGGTCATGTTCAAAGCACATCTGAGAACTAGAAAAAAAAAGGCCAGAGTCTGCCACTGGAGAAATTGCTGTTTTACGGGAGCTCCTAACTCCACTTAAAAGCCAACTGGGCAACCATCAAGAATTCGTCACGGTTCGCTTAATTGTCACTCTGTAGCTCTCTTCTCATCGTCCGAAGTACCACGGCCAACCAGTCTTCCCACTTCTGCAATGTGATCCGCTCTTCATCTTGTATCCTGTCGAAACACACACACACACAGATATTTCCCTCTCTATCCCTCTTGCCTCCCCATTTCATCCGGGCCCAAGTATACCTTCGCATTATGAATCGCCAACCGCTGCTGCAATGATCCATCGAGAGGCGTGCATTTGACCAAAAGATGACAGCGCTGTTGCCATGCACTTTGCCGCCTGCACACTGCATGATCCCGGATGCGCGTAAGTTCTTACTTGCTCATGCTTGTTGGTTTAATCGTTTTCCAGCGGTGCGAGCTGACCGGCTGAACCAAGGCCCATCGATGAAACTGGGTCCATTTACGTATATGCCGCAAGAGAGATCCCAAGACGCCGACCTGTTTGACGTAAGAGAGAATTTACCGAACTTTATTTCTAACTTGATAGTAGCAAGTGTTTCTGCTTCTTCGATAGAGACCCATTTATCGACTGCCCAGGTGTGTCACTCCATGTAAACACGCAGTAAACGAGTTCCGCACACGGCTGATTATATTTTTGGACCCGGGGGCCGGGAGGCTGAAAGAACCATGGATTTCTTTGCACATCATGGAAACAAACCCTGGACCGCGGGATGTCCTAGTTCAGTTCATCACAACTTGTGTCGCTGCATTCATCATACTAGAGAAGACTCCGAATTTACCCAAACTTGACGGGATATATATTGCATGTCCATTCTTCCTGGAAATACCTTGGTTACCAATCCACCGTACAGGCCAATCTTCACCGCTGCTTACCTAGATAGTCAGTGAATTCAATCCTCATTGTGTGATTAACAAGAGATACTGAAACTTGCTTCCAGCCAAGCTTTACCCCCAAAAAGCAGGTTACGAACACGAGAATGAGCGATCCTGTCCCAGCATTGAGGTACATAAAATCTCAGCTCATAAGTTACTTGACACCCTCATACTACTGTTTTACGTGTAAAAAGAATCCCATTTCCAACGCTCAAAGGCTAACCTGAGAGTTACCTGCTGCAGTGGTGTCGACCCCAGCATTGGCAAAGGAAAACGGAGAGCCCGCCAGGGTTCGGAAACCTCATCTTCGAGCAACGACCCCATTGAAAGTCTAGTGGATCCTGAGACACTAGCTAATGGAGAAGGTCAGCTGATTGGGCCCGCCGCCGCCCGTGAACTGGACAAGAAAAATAAGAAGGACAATGAAGTGAAGAAGGACGATAATGGCAGCCTTAACATCAGGATTCATCTTGACCTGCATGCTAAGGTCAAATTGGATTTGGAGGCTGATCTATATGGAGATATTGTGATTGGGCTATTCTGATTGAGATGCTGAAGGCCGGTCGCTACCGTTAGCTAAATAGTAACCTTGCTGCGATTGTGGCAATTGCAGATGTATGTGATTGTTGAAATACCCTCCATTCCCATTACATCGACGCTTATCAAGAGCCCTCTAGGGATCTTTAGGAACATCTAAACGTAGTAAAAGAGGAAACTATGATATGACAGAATGAAGGCTCCAGCTAGGTAAATATTACCCTGGCTTAGGTAGATATATCTTATGCAGTAGAGGGGCGTCTTATTACCTCGGTCTCCAGATTTCTCACCTACGTCACCCACACCCACCCTAAGTCAGATTCCTCGCCACTTTAGTTTCTAGACTTCTTCAGGCTGTTATAGTTTAGACTTCACTTCGGCGTGTGGCTTATGTGCGACCAGTAGCCGGGTGAGTGTCGCCCGTGTGAATTGGGGGCGCGGCTTTGGCGTCGCGCGACCGGAGCTAAGCTGAGGACGAGCTATGGATAGCGTGAGAATCCTAAATCGCGCGACGATCGCATTGACCCTTCAGCTGATCCATAATACAATTCATTAGGTGTTATGATCCCTAGTTAAAATACTTAGTCGCTTGACATGTACACACACTGCCATCGACTAAGATGTAAATAGCAATCGGAAAGCTGCGAGGCTCTTAGGTTAAGCGGTCGCAAGCCATTGTGTTTGATACCTTGACCACGCGACTTGATCGGATTATCTGCGGGTCAATGCCGAAGATACACACCCTCTAACTTGATATCGCTAGAATAAAGAAGATATTCCCGGGGTTTGCTTCGTTTGTTTGGTTGTAGGGGCTTACTCAAGTCCAATAGGCTATTGCTTGTTTATTATATCCAGTATACCCACATAGAATATTAATATTTACCTAGGATTCCTATGAATCAGGCAAGAGAGATTCATGAATAGCAAGAGACGGCAGATAAAATTGTATGGCCTAGATAAAATCCAATTCTTGAGAGATCTCAGTACCTCTGCGAGGGAGACCATTTTATCATGTTGCCTAGAGCCGTGAAGTAAATCACAATAGACATTTAAACATTTCCCGTGTCGTACATCCTTGATACTCAGCTGGCAGCGGTGGAACCTCGGCAGAAACTCAAAAACCACCATGTCTCAGAATCACGGTCCAACTATCACAGATTTAGGGCTCACTGTGGATACGGAGCTTGATAATACAATTCACTTGTGAAACAAGTCAATCCAAAAATCCGATTCTGCGAAACATTCGCCTCAAGTTCTGCGACGAAACTATACCAAAGATTCAGACTCAGATCCGAAACCAGTGGCGAAATTTAGAGGAATTCTGAAACCTCTTGGGCACTTGTGTGTGCTTCAACTTTTTCAAAAACTCAATGGGAAGCTAAGCGGGGCGCAGCACAGCGCCAAACCCAAACAGGCTCCTTGAACAGGATGTTGATAAATCCTCATTCTGGGAGTTGAATGCGAGGATATGTTGAATAGATGCCGAAGGTGCCTGCTAGCTTAAAAGCCGAGGGCAGCTGTTAATAAACACGTAGTGGATTTTAATACACTGTCCCCGGTCTGTATGTGCTTCAACTGCAGCAATTAGATAGTAACTTATCCGGTCCCACATCCCATACTCTCACTGGAGGCATCGGTGACTGTACGAAGATCTGGAATAGTAAATAATAACGTGTGGCAAAATGCTGCAACAGTAAACACCTCGGTCATTGCAGGCTGAAAATCGGAGCTCAGATCGAGATAGAGTGATCTAGTAAACTATAGTTTCAACAGGCACTAAATGGGAGAAAACCATGTGTTTACGCCCCAGATCGAGATTGTCGACAATTTCGACCGAGCGTTTAAACCTAGTTTGGATCACTGGCTCCACTGTATAGATGGCTAGTTTGGCCCCAAAGTTTGACCAGTTTGGCCCGTTTATCTGGGCAATCCAGACTACTGTGTCTCTCCCTGACTCCTTTTTGTATCTGCCTGCCTTCTCTGCCTCGAAGGTGAGCCTCTCATTTCATCATGCCGGTTAAGTCTGAGGAAGCCATCTGCAGCGTCGCGGCTCTAGCCACCCAATTGGGCAATCAGATCTCCGTGCACATGCTCAACTATCTCAGCACCACCAAAGACCTACCCGACGGTTTTCGCGAGCTTTCCCATACGTTCCTCGATACCTGTCGTACACTGTGGGCCATTGAAGCCGGAGTGACCGAATTAGCCGCCGCCAATCGCGCCCTGCCCGAGGTGATAATTGAAGAGGTGGAAAAGAAATTTGTTTCCACATACCGCGACTTTCAACAACTCGACAAGGTCATTTTGAAACTTGTTCATTATGAACATCGCGGGACACTGGGAAAGCTGCAGCGAGGATGGCATCGACCAGGCCATGAACTCAACCGCATTCACGAGTCACTGAAGAAGGCCACCGAAACCCTTCAGATCAGCGGCATGGCCTTCCACTGGTCCCTGGGAGAAGCACACCCGGAGGAGTCGGTAGGCATTGGGTATGCAGGCTTGGCTGCTGCGCTCGACCGCGTATCTAAAGGCCGCTCGGTGATGGGCATAAACAAGGCCAAGACCTTTGAATCTGAGCGGTCCGTACCATCGATCCAAAGTCAGTCGCCTGATTCAATGCGGTCGACACCATCCGTGCCTCCGAAGGAATCATTTACCGCCGCCCGGCCCAACCAAGGCATTCGTCAACAAGATCCTGAAATTATCACGGATGACATGTCTTCCGTCCTATCTCTGAACGGGTTTCTGAACCAGCCTGGACGCGAGACCGAAAAGATTCCCTACTTCGAGCACCGAGCACTGCCGCGCCGACCGGCCAAGGCAGACTCTACAGCTTCTGCTGAAGAAATCAACCTACGGAATGACAGCCATTCCGATCCCGATTCCGCCAGCGCCAAGCTAACGCAGACTCTGCTCGCCCACGGCGTCAATCTGAAAGATGAGACGCGCAATGGCACAACGTTACTGATCGAAGCAATTCGCAAGCGAGCACCGCAGCAAGCCATCGAAACCCTGCTCAATTCCGGCTGTGACCCCAACCGCAAAGACGACCACGGCAAGACAGCGCTCTGCGAAGCCGTACAAAGCGACCAACCAGCCATCGTGACCACTCTGTTAAATCAGGACGCGAATCCAAACCTGCCAGGACCTGAACACGTCCTCTGGTCCGCCGTCCACCGTCCAGGCTGCCTGCGCATCCTGCTCGCGCGCGGCGCTGACATTCGAAAGACTCCTGGCCTGATGGAACAGGCGACAAGTGTGAACAGCATCGATGCCGTGCACGTTCTGCTGCAGGCTGGTATGGACCCAAACTCCAAAAAGGACGGAATATACACTCCGCTGTGCTCGGCCATCCGCGATGACCGGCCAGATATCCTCACCTTACTGCTCAGTCACGGCGCGGACCCTAACCTGATGGCGTCTGAATACCCAGCCTGGAAATGTATCACCCACAACCGCCTTCATTTCCTCCCGGACTTAGTGGCAGCCGGCGCGGACCTCCATCAGCCACCGGGTATTGTCGAGTGCGCCGTACAGAATAATAACACAGAGGCTCTACACTGGCTCGTGGGCCCAGGCGGCGCCAACCCAAATGATCGCAACGCCCTGGGACACACAGCTGTGACAACGGCCATCCGGGAGAAACGTCCAGAGATGCTAGGCTGGTTACTAGCGCATGGTGCCGATCCCAACCTACGCGGCCAAGACTGGCCCGTGTATATGGCGACTCAGTCGCCGAGCATGCTACGGCTCCTGCTGCCCAGCATAACAGACCTATCCGCGCACAAGGGCGTCATGGAGAAAGCAGTTCAAGCCAATCAACTAGAAAACGTCAAACTACTCCTCGCCGCCGGCGCCAATGTAGAGTGGAAAAACGGCGGCGTGTTCTCACCGCTAACGACAGCGCTGCGCGAGCGCCACTGGGTCATTGTGCGTTATCTTCTGGATGAGGCTGGTGCCGACCCCAATGCCCCTGGTGAACATCTGCCTCTCGTCAAGGCGATACGGCGATGCGACGATGGTGACTTTTCCATGATTGAGCTACTCCTGGAAAGGGGGGCTGACCCGAATAAATGCTATCGCGACTGGAACGCTATCATGCAGGCCATTGAAGACCGCGATGTCCGGTTACTGCAGCTCTTGATTGAGAAGGGTGGTCGGGTTGATCTTGCTCAGAAAGACGAGATGGGCAAGACAGTCTTGGATATGGCCAATTCTTCTGGTTGGCTGGAAGGGACTGAGCTTCTGTTAAATAATGCTCGTCAGTGATGATATTTGTCGAGTGATATCCCTCAATTATATAATTTCAACGAGCTTCTCCTAACGAAGGAACAATTTATTCGCACTCACGTTGACGGTAGTAAGAATAGTTATACGTCCACTAGCCTGGCCCCCGAGATCACTAAGATCCAAGGCACGTATTGACTATTGTTCGTTTCTCCATGGAACTGTAACATTTATGGACTGGACTGCCCAGTAACCGGCCGCAGGTATGCCATATCTCAGAATTCGGCAAAATGTGATGATTCCGAGGATGCAAACTTGGAACTAGATCCGTAACTTCTAAGAGACCCATTTTCTATACTCGGTGTATTCTCACTTCACCGAAAGATTATGAAGCCACAGAATCAGGCCCTGTACTGCACGATATGCGATAATACTCACCTAACTAACAATTCGGTCTCCACGACCAAGCCCGACACGAGAAGTATTTAGTTCACAACATACGCCTCCACGCAAAACGAAAAAAGTCAGATCCTTAACACTTTTCAATTCCAAACTATGACTGCAGGCAATATCTTCGACAATCCCCCGGCAGTGGGAGCGCCATATTACACTCCAGCCCAGACACCACCATCAGGCACCGCAATTAGCGAAAATCACCCAAACTCTTCAAGCCGCTTACAGTACGAGGAGTCACATTCCAAAACCGTATCTTCCTGGCCCCGCTGTGCCAATACTCCGCGCAAAATGGTTACGCGACAGACTGGCACCTTACGCATCTAGGGGGCATCATCCAGCGCGGACCCGGACTAGCCCTGATGGAATCGACAGCCGTCCAGAAAGAAGGCCGGATTACACCACAGGACATCGGACTGTGGGAAGACGGACAGATTGAACCACTAAAACGCATTGTCGACTTTGCACACAGCCAAGGCCAGAAGATTGGTGTCCAACTCAGTCATGCTGGCCGCAAGGCGAGTACTGTTGCGCCATTTGTGTCGATAAATGCGACTGCAACCGAGGATATTGATGGGTGGCCCCAGAACACCTTTGCGCCTTCTGCTATTCCTTTCAACGAGGTGTATCCGCGCCCCCGGGAGATGACCCTTGTTCAAATTCAGGAGTTCAAGGATGCATTTGTTACCGCGGCGATGAGAGCAGTTAAGGCTGGGTTTGATGTTGTGGAGATCCATGCTGCACATGGATATCTCATTCATCAGTTCTTAAGTCCGATCAGCAACAAGCGGACCGATGTGTACGGTGGAAGTTGGGAAAACAGGACGAGGCTGGCGTTGGAGATTGTGGACCTTGTTCGGGTTGCGATTCCGGAGAACATGCCGTTGTTTGTGCGCATTAGTGCGACGGACTGGTTTGATAATATGACCGACGAGTTCCCTGAGAGCTGGACCGTTGCCGATAGTGTCAAAATTGCTCCGATGCTTGCCTGTCGCGGTGTTGACTTTTTGGATGTCAGTTCTGGTGGTATCCATCCATTACAGGGAACTAGCATCAAGTCTGGTCCTGGGTACCAGGCGCCTTTCGCGTTTGAAATCAAGAAGGCAGTTGGGGATAAGATGGTCGTCTCGGCTGTTGGAGGTATTCGGACTGCTGAGCTTGCCCAGCAACTCGTTGATGATGGCCTGGATGTGATTATGTGTGGTCGTTGGTTCCAGAAAAATCCGGGATTGGTCTATTCTTTTGCCGATGAACTTGAGGTTGATGTTAAGATGGCGAATCGGGTTGCCTGGGGATTCAAAGGCCGGACGAAGAAGCAGAGCACCAAGCAGGAAGCTTGATTCTGGAATTGTATAGTGGCTGTTTGAAGAAGACTTGGAGAACTGGTCAATATTATATAGACCTTGAAACTCTGTAGGGTAAAACGTAGGATAAAATGCCACCGTCTATGTTGCGTAATCTAAAGTCAAAGTCCAACCGACTAGACTCAAGAGGGAATATCAGTAAACCAGCTTGCGAGATCCGGCAAATCAAATCTTCCAAGGAAGCCAAACTCCTCTTGACCCAAGCTCATTTCATCCCAGGTCGTGAAAAGATTGCAATCCGTGTTATTGGACTCTTGACGGGTATCATGTTCCATAGGAACCGGCTCCGTGGGCTGCGACGGTAATTCAGGTCTGTCCACTTGCTGGTTTCCTTTTTGCTGCAGCTGATTTAGAGCCAGGAAGGTGGTATCACCAGGTCGACCAGTTGCTATTTAATGTGTTAAGACATATAACGAAACCTGAGGCCAGGATGACATACCGGAGCAACTTTGTACGATGTGCTGATGTGTTACTTGTAAAAATTGCAGGGAATTCCGAGCGGACTGACTGAAAATAGCCATAAATGCCAAGATCTCCTCACACTTGCGCCAACTCTCGTCAACCCTTTGTGTGTCGACTTGCTCTCGGATAGAGTGACATGAATATGACATTATCAAGATGAATCCGGCAGTGGAGGTGTCTACGATACGTTAGTAAAATAAGAAAGACGATGTAGAAGAGCTATCACCAACAAAAACCGTTGTACCACCATGTGTCAGTCAGTGTGGTTCGATATGTCTCGTGGACAAGAGAAACCAAGTCCATGGCGGCTACCACACAGCAAGCGGCACATTTAGAGAAAACAGAAGAATAAATTATGTTTTTCTCCGTGGGTAGTGCACTACCTTTGTCACCGGATTGAGTATCAGATCGACGGGATGATCCTGCTCGCTCCTCAGAGCAAAGTTGGGTGAACATAGGGCGGTACAAAAGAAGACGCAGGTGGATGAATCTGGTTTCTGTCAGCGGTGGAGCATCAATATCTCGAAAGAATAGGCTACCTAGTACGCAATACATTTTGTTGGCGCTTGAATATTGCTAAATGAGTGTTACCCGTGCGATGTCGCGCTTGCTCGTCTGTCCAGTTCAATGGTTGAGGCACATTTGCTTCAAAGACAGAGAGCTTATCATCGAGCTCCATCAACACATCCAAGCTACAGTGCTTGGCGCCACGCGGCGAGGCAGTGAGAGTGTTATTTGACCGGCTCTGCCAAGCATTGTAGACCTCAGATAGAATGGATTCGAGAATCTTGTATAACTCAATGCTCGAGACATAGAATGTCATATACCCCATCTTGTGATCACAGGCTTGTCCGCTGAGCTCGCAGGGATCATCCGCTTGTATATCGCTCTCCATGATTGGCAGTGGCACCGGTGCGAGGTGAGAGGTCATGCTTGGTCTACCATGAGTCATGCTCACAATCCTGTTTTATTGTTAGCCATGTGAAGCGGATATATACGGATGGTGCACTAACATATCCATGATAACACAGGTATGCCATGTTCGCCGCCGAATCTCGGTTTCTAGAGGTTTATTAGAGGTTTGAGTAGTTGTCTCATGCAACCCGAGTCCTTGCGCCGCTCGGCACGCCAGTCCAATTGCATTCCAGCATCGGTTCGGATATGGTGTACTTTGAAGTAGAAGGGATACTAGAACCAGTGTCTGGACAACGCCGATGGTACCTATGTCCAAGAGATCAAGACCAACAAACCGCTTTGCGCGAAGGAAAAACGAGTATACTGCCGCCTCTCGCTCAGCAGCCGGGATATCGGAGAAATGACAACCAAGGGCAAAGATAACATTGAGCGCGCAATGAAATACCATCGAATTTGGACCGTAATCAAAAGCACCCCCGAGGCCAATGTTGAGTTGCGGTAGTTCAGGCTTTGGTGCTTTATTCGAGCCCCAAAGATTTTCGTATGCTCGCTCAAAGCTTGGCCGATGGAAAAAAGGAAACAAACAGTGGACTCTGTCCCAGTAGCATTCAAGGAGGTGGTCTGCGAGATCTCGGTTCGGCAGAGAAAAGTCGTCAAACCGAAGCTCTGCTGATGGATGACCTAGATCTCTCCAGACACCAGTATCATGGCCCTGGGATCTGGCTGATTCAGTTTTGCTGTGCCGCAAGGCTGCCATGTATGACTGCAAGGGCATTGATTCTCCTGCAAGACGCATGAAAGAGGCCACCGAGGAGTTTCCATAGTACTGCTGCTCTCCGGGCGAGTCCGTGTCTTCGCCATCTTCTGCAACTGATATTGCACCCATAGCTGTGACATTACCGTGTGAGTTGACAGCTGGGGAATGGTAGATGCTTGATTCACGTGGCCGAACAGACCCAGGAGAAAGATAGGCGGCATGTGGGGTTCTGTAGTTTGATTCTGCTACCGATTGCCTTCTTTGTGCAGTAAATCGCGGAGGTTGAAATGCAGATGTTGAGGACAGGGGGCTCTGCGTGGGCAACACGGGCGTCGCACCTAGTCCGAGAAGCCCTTCAGCGGCAACAGAAGTTCTAGACTGAGCATCCAGTGGATCCAAGTCCATGTCTTGCCCCAACTGACTCTCGGGCCTTTCGGATGCCATATCATCTCCATGCTGTGCCAATCCGGGAGGTACATCGACACCACCTTTTGCACATGCTTCTTCAAGGTCTCGGATGCGAGCATGGAGAATCTTCAAGTACTCATCATTGCTCGCAGACCGAGCATTATCCAGCTTATATACACATTGTTCGACAGTGTATGAGCGTCGTACACATGGGCCACAGATCGGCTTTGCACCGTCGCATCGGACCTTTTTATCGCGACATGACTCGCAGGCGAGAGCGATCTTGCGACGACGAGGTGTCTCCCGTTTCGCGATTCCACTTTTAGGAGGCATCTGTTCAACACTTGGTCCAATCAACCCGAAGAGGCAGTGATATATGACGATCCACAGCGATATGCGCAATTGGCATTCCGGGTTGTTGCCGAAGGTGGGTGTTCGCTCGTGGTCAGGGAGAAACAATTCCGGGATGTGCCCGGATGATAGTCACGTGCCACACTCGTTGCCTTATGGTCGCAACCATTCCCTATTTAGAAGAAAGCTAATGCGGGGGTGAAGTACGGGGAAAATTAAACCAAGGACTATTTTCATCAATCTAAGTTTGCGGTAAAGGTGCTGACTGGCTGAAATTCCGGTCTCACTTATTAGGCCCGGCAACGTCATGGGGTGGGACCCCGGAACACGCCCGGAGGTCACCTTGCAACCCGGGTGCATCCCGGGCTTCATGTGCTCCCTCGTCATAATGAAGAGGTCGCCCAAATAAAATTAACTGGCCAGAATACTTCCGATATCTAGCATCTTCTCAACCCGCAACTAGCCACCGTTCAATTCTGCATACTGTTATTCTCGAAAAACCTCCGACGCTCCCGTCTGAACTATACCAGTCAACATCAAAACATCCAAGGCCACTCCGTTCCAGCTAGTCTACGTCGCAGGGAGCATAGCATTTCGTCAATTTTAATACCTACAGAACATTCCAGTCTATTCGTCTGGCACCAAAATGGAATACGAGAATCCCCTGTTTCAGAGGGACCATGATATCCTCGCTGAATCCTGCCCATGGCAGGTTGACAAAACCCAACACCTCTCCCGAAACCGAGTGTCAGCTGAAGAGGGCCTTCAGTGGGGATCGGACCCCAGTTTCTGTTATCATGGCTTCTCTTGTCCGATCGGTACTTGGACAGAAGAGCGCCTGGTGCAGAACCTGATGCGAAACATGGCCAGTATCTGTACCAGTGTGGACATAGACTTTGACATTTCCGAATCCACGAACTGGTTACCTCCGAAGGCTCCTCAAAAAGCCGCCTCCGATTCCTTAGGCTTGAATGGGTTCACACTTCCCATGTTCCAGCCCTCGACCGTTCAGACAAATGAAAGACTCTCCGAAACACCTTCTTTGTCTTCCTCGCCGAGTCAAGGACAAGCACCCTCACCAGAAAACACCACATGTACTCGGCGGGCAAGCTGCATAAAAATGGAAAATAAATCAGGGCAAAAAAAGAGGAAATGCGTCCAAAAGCCAGGCCAAAAACTATGCCATTGTCGATCGGAAAAGAAACGAAGAGAGATTATTGGAGAGAGGTACCGAGAACTCTGCCAAATTGTTCCGGGTTTGGAGAAACACTCATATACAAGAAAATATGTTCTTGAGGAAGCTGCACTGTGGATTCAGTCTTTACTTCAAGGCAACGATGCCCTACAGCGGCAACTAGAGAAGCTGAAAGAGCAGGAAAACATGAACCGACTGCGTCTTTTCCCTGCTGAGGAGGACGATCAAAAGCCCACATATTAGGTCGCGTATACGCATACCCCCTTGTATCAATACTATTCATGATTATGTCAAACTCCAATCTACAATAATGAACACATTTGGCGAGTCTATTGCCAAGCAGATTAAGAAGGCCGTCAAATTGCGGCTTGTGTTACGTTTTGAAACTCATTCTAACCCACATACAACATAACCTGTAACTTATAATAACAAAGTACTGAGTATAGCAAGGCCATTGTTGTCAGCTAATGAGCCGCTGGGTACATACAATAAGGCCCTCACAACAGCCTTAAACATTTCTTTTCTTTACCAGTCGAGCCAGTAACAAGGTTTCTACAGCCCTCATGTTAAAACAGGCTGATCCATTTCCCACAGCCAGTCCCCGATCAAGGCTAGGAAAACTTATTATGTGGGCTGGAGTAGACATCAGCTTGGTCCGAAAGATAAGATCCATGACTTTTGCAGTATCCCCAGTGAAGGTGCAGATGATCCCTAAACACTCTGTATGTAGTAAAAGTGCGAAAAAAAATCGCCTGTGATCTGATAAATGACCGAAATACTAGTATATAGCTAGTAAGTAGATAAAGTTATGGGTTAATAACTCAACAGGACTTCATAGGCAGCGATACAAAAATACTACCTCATTCTAAACTCAAAGAGATCTATTTATAACAAAGAATAAAACAGCCAAAATAGTATACAACAATCTACAAGGGTGGCACGATAGTAGCAAGACCCTTAGCCAAGCGCTGAATCTGATCAGCATAATAAGTCTAGTAAAATGAAAGTCAGCAAACAAACATAACCCAAAAGCAGATATAAAATCCACAAGAAAATGAAAGGAAACAAGAAACTCACACTCTCAGCCCCAGCCCCAACAAGATGCAACGGCAAAAAGCGCGTGTACCAAGGAACAGGCGCCTTATTCAACTGCATCCCAGCATCCCCCTCCGCAATGCTCTCATCCAACAGAAGCAAAGGGAACTTCGGATCAATAGCCGCCGGCCGTCCAATGCCCACGAGATCACAAGCCTCATCAAGAATAGCCGACTCAGCACCAGCCCGCGTCCGGAATCCACCAGTCAACATAAGCACAAGGTCCGGGTGACGTTTGCGTACTTCCTTAGAGAATTCAAGGAAGAAAGCCTCGCGTGCCGCTGTACGGGCCGACTTCGGCAGTTCGGTCGTTGCTGCGTCTGTTTTGGCGTATCCCATCATCTTGGGGTCTTCGTAGGTTCCGCCGCTTATTTCCATGAAGTCGATTCCGGCTTCTGCTAGTAGGCCGATTTGTGTCATTGTTTCTTCGAAGGTTGTTGAGCTGTGGTCGGCTGAGTTCAGTTTTATGCCGATGCAGAATGTTGCGGGGACGACTTTGCGTGTTTCGGTTAAGATGTCTAGGACGAATTTGGCGCGTTTTGCGGGCGTGCCGCCGTAGGCGTCTGTTCGGAGGTTTGTCTGGGGTTTGTTAGTTTGTGGGGGTCCTCTTAGTATGACATTGAAGGGTTTCGGTGGTGGCTGTGTCATACCTTGCTGTTGAGGAATTGATCTAAAAAGGGTCAGCGATATACTCGTTCAGAATCCAGTGACAAGACCTGGAACCAGAGCCAGAATTAGAGCCAGAACCAGAGGAAAAAGACATACCAATCAAATACCCATGGGCACCATGCAACTCAACCCCCGAAAAACCAGCATCAGCCATAAGACGCGCAGTATCAACAAACTGCCGAATAACCCGTTCAATATCGGCATTCGTCATCTCCTTCGGCTGCGACCAAACCAAACTGGCAAGAATCCTTTCAATCAATCCATCCCCGATCTTAATCGGCACAACAGAAGGTGCCAGAGTCTGCGCAAACATACCGCGGTACCCAGAAACGCGGAAAGACTGTCGTCCCGGGTGACAGATCTGCACGATGGCTGGTGTGCCGTGTTTCTGGGCTGCGTCGGCGTATTTCTTCCATGAAGAGACTAGCGCACTGTCGGTGGTTGCGTCTTTGTATTCTGTGTGTAGGGCTGGGTCGAAGGGACTGCCCATATGATTGACGTCGACTTGGACGTTTCCTTTTCTTGGAGTTAGATTGTGGTTATCTATATGGGGCAGGGAATGGGGTTGGGTTTGCTTCTTACCTGTTAGGATACTACCCCATCCGCCCTCAGACCATTGAGTGTAAGCGTCGAGGAGAGGGTCTGTTGGGTGGTTTTTCTTGGCCAACATCTCGGCCATGGCGGCCTGGTTGGTCGTTAGTATTGTGACATTTCGAAGGAATGGGGGGTGTGCATACCTTGCTCAATCTGTTCGGTAGAACAAGTCCACATGGCAGCTTGACGGGGTCTGCAAGCGGGGAAGGCATTGTGTAGCACTTCTAGCTTGATATGCTAGATTCAATACACAATATGCAAGATATTATGTACCGTGAGGGGATATTCACAAGAGAAACAAGGACAACGGCAAATCTGTCAGTCCGATTAATTAAAGTCAAAAAATAATCCTAGTCAACAGGTACTCACACATTAATAAATAAATCTCAATTCGTGAAAACCCACGATAGAAGCATCTCGAACCAAAAGGGAAGTTTCAACATGAAAATTGCAGTACCTCGGCCTCGTGCGGAAAGACTGATATCCCCGAGTGAAACCACAAATGAGAGGCATTGGATGCAGAATTGTACTATGTGGGGACATGTGAGGAAGAATGATGTGCGCCACATGGGTGTGGAGCTCAGGGGAATATCGGGCGGGGAGTTGGGTTCATCCGACTGCCGTGTGAAGGGTGAGTGGTAAGATATACGGAGTGTGAAGCTTATGAAACCAACATTGAAGATGAATAATAGCTGACTGGGATATAGCATACTATATACAGTGGGGAAAGTGGAGAAAGTAGATGATTTGTGTTCATTTATATGGCAAAGTTATTTCCTAACTATTCCCACAATGCAAAGTCCTCAACAGGATCCGGAAAGCAAGTAAGTGATGGGTATTCAATCAGAAAAAGAAGGGGAAAACAGATATCGTGTCCAATCCCAAAAAGAGAAGGATGAAAAAAGGGACAAGAAGAGCGCGCTCGAAACCAAAATAACTAGAAAGAGAAAAAGTCACAAGTGACATGCGAGTCCATCACGCAGAGATCCTAAGCGCTGACAGTGATTAGAACAGATGTTTTTTCAAGGACAAAGATGAAACAATGCAAGCGCCACGAATGATGGATGGTAGCAAAAGAAAAGAAAACAATCAAATCTTACAGCTTGGCATTCTTCTCCTCGGTAGGGGAGCCGTTCGCCGTGATGGGCGGCGAGATTGTGCCGAGGCTGGAGAGAAGGTGACCGACCTCGCGCTCGAGAGCGCGGACTTCAGTGTGAGGGTCGTACATGCGGGCCTTGATCCAGTTGTCCATCTCGACGTCGCTCATAGAGCGGAGTGCAGTCTCGCGGTCAACCTTGTCCTCCTGGGCGGCGCGCATCACCTTGCGGGTGACAACGATGCTGACCTCGCGGATGCGGGTGATGTCCGGGTAGAGGAGGCCACGCTCGAGCTCCTCGGAGGTGAGGGCTTGCGAGAGGGCTTCACCGGAGGCGTAGATCATGCTGTCGGTGACGCGGACGGCCTTGGACAGGATGCTGCCCAGGCCGATACCGGGGAAGACATACATGTTGTTGCCCTGGCCGGGGTAGTAGGTGCGGGTCTCGCCGGCGGAGTTGGTGAAGGTGCAGTTGGGGAAGGGGGAGCCGGAGGCGAAGAGGCAGCGGCCGTCGGTGTTCTTGACGGCCGTCTCAAAGTCACACTCGGACTTGGAGGAGGGGTTGGAGAGAGGGAAAATGAGAGGGGCGGTGTTCCAGTCGGCCATTTTACGGAGGATCTCGGGGGTGAAGACACCTCCCATGGTGGAGAGACCCATGAGAATGGAGGGCTTGACGTGGTCGATGACCTCCTCAAGGGTCTTGTGCTGCTCGCCGTTGTTGTCCTGGCGGGCGAAGTAGACCTTGTGGTCAGCGAGCTTGTCACCACGGTCGGCAGTGACGAGACCCTTAGTGTCGACGAGGTAGAAGCAGTTGCGGGCCTCATCCTCGGTCATGCCTTCGCGCATGAAGAACTCGACGATCTGACGGGCAACACCGACACCGGCGCTGCCGGCACCGAAGAACACAGCGCGGTGCTCCTTGCAGGGCAGACCGGAGCGCTTGACAGCGTTGATGACACCGCCGAGGATGACAGCGCCAGTACCCTGGATGTCATCGTTGAAGCAGGTGTACAGATCACGGTAACGCTCAAGAGCGGGGAAGGGGTTCTTGAAATCCTCAAATTGGATGACAATACTAGAAGTTTTGTTAGACTGAAGATCACCCGAGATGCATGTGAAGGTGAGTCACTTACCCGGGCCAGCGCTCAGTAAGAGCAGCCATCAGCTCGTCCAAGAACTCCCGCTCCTCCTCGGGGGAGATCTTGTCACGACGGCTACCCATGTACAGCGGGTCTTCCCGGAGGGCCTTGTTACTGGTACCCAGATCGAGAGTCAGAGGCAGGGTTGCCTCGGGACGAATACCCGCACAGGCAGTGTACAGAGCAAGCTTGCCAATGGGGATACCCATGCCGTTGATACCCAGATCACCCAGTCCGAGAATACGGGAGCCATCGGTGATACATGTGATCTCAACATTGGGCTGGGGCCAATTGGCAATGACGGAAGCGAGATTCCCGCGATCCTCCCAGCTCAGGTACATTCCTGCAGAGTTATTAGCTCCGGTTCTAATTCGTCTCATGCGGGGGAATTACCTTCGGGCTGCTGGTAGATCTCGGACCAGCGTTGGCAGGCCTCGCCCACCACGGGGGTGTAGATCAGAGGCGTCAAGTCCTGCAGGGATCCATGGATGTTAGTTTTGCTCCGGTCCAATCACGTGCGTTCTACGTACCCTGAGGTGGTCGGTCACGAGACGGTAAAATAAGTGCACATTGTTCTTGCGCAGAGTGCTGAGGTAGAGGAATTTGTCGATAGGGGTATTCTTGAGACCGAGCTGGGCCAGGCATCGTGTCTTTTGGGTCTCGTAGCCCTCGGCGCGAGGGGGAGTCAGGCCGTAAGTGCGCAAGTACTTGCGGATGTATGACGGGTTGGCGGTATCGTAGTTGGCATCACTATACGAGGTCAGTGATGCTCGTCGCATCTCGTCGCGATTGACTTACGCTGGCGAGGCGTGGTTGACAAAGGGCGCCGCGGTGGCATGCACCGGCCGGGTTTGAGTAGTCACTTGAGGGTATCGAGCCATTGTGATCGACTGAGGTTGCTTACTCAAGTTCGAAGTGGAAATGTATGAAGAAAAAAGAGATCTTGAAGCAGACGTCGAGCAGTTTTTATGTACACGCAACATATTAAATTTCCCCTGGGAAGCGAGCATTCCGAGTGGAAAAAGAACCAGAGAATTAACCGGGACAAAAGGCAACGTATAGTAACAAAAGAGTCATGATTCGAGATCGGGAAGATTCGGGGAGGTCACGGAAGGGACCCATGTGGGTATCATCTTCGGTGGTGACAGCGAACCGTTGTGCGTGAAAGAGTTAGGAATCTGGATCCAAAGCTTTTTTTTTAATTTTTGGAGAGAGCAAGGGGAGGGTGGAGACGCCGACTCCGACAATGCGGAGATCAGTTGAATATTGGAGATGAGACATCACAGGGATTGCAGTGTATAGTTGCGGGATTTATGTAACTGGGAGCTACAGTACGCAGTACAGATGAGTCTTGACGTGTGTGATGTATATCACGAGAATGCAAGTACAGTAGCATACTCCTGCGAGTGCTGACATTTACGTGTAGAACTGTGAATACTTCCAGCTCCCTCTGATTGGACGTTATAGCCGGGGAGGGACCGCCATGGATCTTGCGCCTTTGACTCCACAGCTACGAGCTACCAGAGCCGCAGACAATGCCGAAGTGGAGTTCTTAGCCTGTTGCAAGTCTTTTTCCTCTTTGCCTTCTAGAAAGATCACGGGAAAATATATTCGGCGGCCGGCGACGGAGACTGCCGCTCAATTGTCGCTTACATAGCCTCGATAGGAAAACCATCCGGTGTCTTCCCCCCGGTGAGTCCTTTTGGTGTGTTTCGAATCCGCCGTGTTGGTGATATCTGCTCCGTGAATGGCCTCAGCCGCCGACAGGCCCCAGGGGTATATACATATCCAGCACGGCCACAATTTTTTTCCCACTCGGACTTCCCTTTCCAGGGCTGGAACAGCATCCACTGGCCACATCAGCTCGACTTCGGAATCTAGGGATCTGCCTCGCACTGATTGGATCCCTTGTCTGTTGTGTAAGGCTTCTATTAATAATTACTAGACTCTTCTCTGCTGCGTACAGGGCATAATTTGAGCGGATTCGTCAGTGCTTTCCCAGCACTTCCCAACGTTGGGAAAAGGCTTGGCCTGTGAGTGTCGCGTGGGAGATGCAAGGAGGTGAAGCTATATACGTATTCTCCCCTGGAATGAGATCATATGTCGGAAAATGCCTCAGAATGTCGGGCTGTTGCTGAGTACAGATCTTTTTGTTTTCTCAATAAAAAAAGGAAATATTTTTATTGAATATTTTAGTGTATACCCTGGTCTAGACAATGGAGACCCTTATGGACATGACCCAATGGTTAACTCCATAGCTCTCCCCAGACGATCATCCGAGCCATACCGATTAGTCCAGCTAATACGGAGTACAGCTATCCATACATACAATATCCCTAGTCCTATCCAACTATCTAATTAATTATACCCCAGTTGTATTCAATTGAATTGAATTGAATTGTCAGTTATGTCGAATAGCTAGTACAAAGCAAACATTGACGTGACATCAGGTGTCGTCATGTGCCCAAAACAGGTTCTCCTTAGCTCAAGCTCCCATCAACATCCCCATCATCACACCTGGACATCCAAGCCACACCACAAATCATTTCACCCTGAGCCTGCTACCTAGAAATCTGCCCATCGGGCCTAATCCAGAATGCCCACCGAAACAGAACCGCTCCTCCCACGCTACGAGGACGACACCTCGCGTCAGCGTCGCCTCCACCAAAAACTACATAGCTACCAAATGGTTCGCGCCCTCTCCGAAGGGTACATGCCGACAACCGAACAAACAATCAGCAATCTCCGCACCCTCCTCGCTTCAGACGTCCTCAATCTCGCCAACAAGGACATCGGCAGCGTCGGTCGCCAGCTAGTGCGGGACAGTCGACTGTGGATCCAGACCTTCATTGAGTTTCTCGCGGCGAAGAACAGCCACGACCAGCTCCAGGAATTCCTGTGGCGTCTGGCCCGTTCGCGGGTCTCGGTGGATAGTGGGAGGGTTTCGCAGCAGGCTGCCCACGTGAAGGCGCGGGCTGATACTAAAGCTGGTGGGTCGCTCTACCTTAGCATATGTCTCTCCAGGATTGGGAGGCTTGGCATTGGGTTTCTCTGTGCATAGTCATTCGCTAATGCCTTTTTATAGCTTATGATAGTTTCCGCACGGTTGGGGGGTTGCTCTTGACGAATGCTGATTTTCGGCTTTTTGTTGATGATGTCATTACAGTTGGGAGGCAGATCTTTGCCGATACTGCTGAATCTCTGGCTGAATCTTCGAAGCTTGTTGCGGAGCAGGTTAAACCTTCTGAAGAAGAGGCTCGGGCGCTGAATGGGGCTGGTGCTGACGCTGGTCATGAGTTGTCGGCAAATCAGGTGAGGGAGGAGATTACACATGTCGCCGATGTTGTTGGTGAAGGCGCTGCAGATACTGGACGTGATGCTGTGGGGAGTGCGAAAGAGCATCTGTCTGGTCGGGAGAGGGATACTTTATTGTTCCGATTGAAGCAAGCTGTTACAAGGCTTCGCGAGAGAACTGACTACTCCGACTCAGTCTCGACTCTCGCTGAATTGGTTAAGCGCTATGCTAAAATCTACGCCGATGTTGCACAGGAAACTACCTCTGTCGCTCAAGAAGATCTGGATGTCAATCTCGATCTAAAGCGAGCGGTCGACGAATTCTGGGTCCTCTTACGCTCCTATGGGGACGCTAAGGAATGGGATCGGCTTCAGCAGAAGTTCCATGATGTCCTTCGCCACGCGAATAAGGATCCCGAATTCGATGATCTGTTGGGAGAGGTCGGAACCTCGTTGCAGGATATGCTCACCGACCCTGCCTTTTTCGATTCGGCACCACAGAAGCTGGATGAACTCAAGCAACAGTCCGAAAAAGTCGGCTCAGAGACGACTCTACGAAAGGACGTGGACAACTTCCTAGCACAAGCGAAACGGACGTTACGCAGCGTCCCCGAAGACCCCGTCGTGTCCAAATTAATCAATGCCACCAAGAAGGTATACCAGCATGCCTGGACCGCCTACAATGATAAAGAAACCGACCTCCCAGCCGACATAGTGAACGTCTTCTTCCCAGTCTTCCTCCGAACAATCCAATATGTGCCAATCCCACGACTGGAAATATCCGCACCGGAAATGGATCTACTCCTCGAAAACCTAATCCTCGAACCAGGCCACACAGTAAACTTCTCCTCCTTCCTCCCCTACCGTATGCATCTCCTCACACGCAACGACATCGACATCGTAAAAACCCACTCCAAACGCACAGAAACCCTCATGAAAACAGCCTTCACAATAACAATCCAAGGCCTAAACATCAGCGCCGAAGACTTCGGCTACTGGTTCCGCACTCACACAGGCCTCTTCCACCTAAAAGACGAAGGCATCGCCAGCTTCTACCTTGACCGCCGTGGCATCGACATCTCCCTCGACATCGAAGTCGGTCGCGGCCGCCTAGAGCAGATCTTTTCACTGCGCGGCGTGCGTGTGCGCATCCACAAACTGGATTACAGCGTCAAGCGCAGCAAGTGGAGGTTCTTGCTCTGGCTGACAAAACCATTCCTGAAACACCTCGTCCGTCGTGTCCTGGAAAAGAAGATTGCCGAGGAGGTTGTCGCCGCGGCGCTTGCGCTGAATCGGGAGTTGGTCTTTGCGAGGGAGCGCCTGCGTGCTGCGCGTATTGCTAATCCACAGGATCTGGCCTCCTTCGTCAAAGCTGTGCTTGCGCGACTTAGACCTGCCGACTCGGATGTTCAGGCTAGGATTGGTTTTACACCGTTAAAGAGTGGGCCTTTTGAGGGTGTCTATGCTCCTGGGAGTATTGTTAAGACTTGGCATGATGAGGCGACTGGCGCGCAGGAAGCTATTGATAATGGGGATGAGACGCAGGGACTAGGCCATACGTGGCGTAATGATATCTTTGATATCACTGGAAGAAACTGAGATTGGGATTGGGATTGGGATTGGGATTGAGATTGAGATTGATTCATGATTTGATTTGATTTTTGTTAGGATCTGTCAAGTTGGCAAACTATGAAGGATCTCTTATGATTCACGATTTGGATACGTCTGAAATGGAAATGACTCGATGCGAATGTAACAAACACTCAAAGCTGTGCCACAGATGAACTTAACACCATCTTCAATTTAATCTTCGACTGCAAATATCATATAATTAAATATAATCACCTACTATACCTCCATTTCCCATCTCCCTGTTGCACTTCCTATCTATACACGTGACCCGGCTGAACATTGTTCCTCTCAGGCCACATATCAAAGTAGATCCAGCTATCAGCATGCGGAGCTAACACCACCTTCAACAACCCTCTCAATTCTCCCAGGTCAGCGGCTTGGTTTACACCCAACCTAGTGTAACCAGCACCCTCCATGCCGACTCCATAAACGAAGAATCCCGACCAATCCACCACCCAAAACAAAACTGCGAACTGCAGCTCCGACAGGTGGATCGAAGCTTTTAGCAGAGCCGGAGAGAGATACACCAAACCTCAAAAGCAGTATACCAGGAAAACGATCACTTTCAGAATAGAGTACACAAGCTGTGCGCGCAGCTTAACCCGCCAAAATGCAACTATTACGTTTCCTAGTTGCGCTAGCCGTCGTGCTCTTCTCGGTCGTCGTCATTGCCGCCGAGGATTATTACAAAGTCCTTGGACTGGCCAAGTCTGCCTCAGAGAAGGATATCAAGAAGGCATACCGAACACTGAGCAAGAAATACCATCCCGATAAGAATCCGTGAGTGAACACCACTTCCCCAATCCCACTATCCTCCACGCATCTCGCAAGCAAATCTAATCTAAATCCCCCTTTCCAGTGGCGACGACTCAGCCCGCGAAAGGTTCGTCGAAATCGCCGACGCATACGACGTCCTCTCAACAAGCACCCTCCGCAAAGTCTACGACCAATACGGCCACGACGGCGTCGAACAACACCGCAAAGGCGGAACAGCCGGCGGAAGCCACGACCCCTTTGACCTATTCTCGCGCTTCTTCGGCGGCGGCGGACACTCGGGCCACGCGCCGGGCCACCGACGCGGACCAGACATGGAAGTACGGGCCGCGCTACCACTACGGGATTTCTACACGGGCCGGGAAATCAACTTCCTCGTTGAGAAGCAGCAGATCTGCGATACGTGCGAGGGGACTGGATCCAAGGACCACGTGGTGCACACTTGTGACCGGTGTTCTGGGCGGGGCATGGTTATCCAGAAACACATGCTTGCACCGGGCATGTTCCAGCAGGTTCAAATGGCTTGTGATGCATGTGGAGGGAAGGGGAAGAAGATTAAGAATCCATGTCCAGTGTGTGCTGGTAATCGGGTTGTGCGGAAGGAGATTGAGACGAGTGCTAGCATCGAGCCTGGGATGGATAAAGGGACAAGACTTGTGTTTGAGAATGAGGCGGATGAAAGTCCTGATTGGATTGCTGGGGATTTGATCGTTATTCTTGATGAGAAGGAGCCTGAGATGGGGGTTAGTGAGGAGGAACGGACTGATGGGACGTTCTTCCGGAGGAAGGGGAGGGATTTGTTTTGGAAGGAGACGCTTTCGTTGAGGGAGGCTTGGATGGGTGGGTGGACGAGGGATGTAACGCATCTTGATGGGCATGTTGTCAGGCTTGGACGCGGCCGTGGTCAGGTTGTGCAGCCGCTTGCTGTTGAGACTGTTGCGGGCGAGGGAATGCCGTTTTACTCCGACGGCCATTTGCATGATCAGAATGAGGGCAGTGATGAGCCTGGGAATCTTTACGTGGAATATACTGTTGTTTTGCCGGATCAGATGGAGAGTGGGATGGAGAAGGACTTCCATTCGCTTTGGGAGAAGTGGCGCAAGAAGGTCGGTGTTGATTTGGCTAAGGATAGCGGGAGGCCTGTTTACTCGCCTGAGGGGAAGGATGAGTTGTGATTATTAGATTTTTGATTCCCTCTTGCTTTCATATTGTATACTGTTGATGCTAGCGTGCATTTGAGATCTGGGCTAGATTATATTAGACCTGGTAGTTGAATGTGAGCATAGACCTTGGTCAGGTATCTACTGCAAGATATTCGGAGCCATGCGAAGCACGGTTCTTTATCGTCGGCCTCTAGAAATTCATGTTCCTATATTGCCACGTTGGGTAATACCGACAGCCCTTGGCCAGGTATAGACAGACTGCGTGAAGGTACATGTTAGGCACCGCCCTCGAATTTAAGCATTAAATCATCCAAAGCCCGCTCGGAAAGGGCCAGGGAAAGGCTCGTAAATCGGCTGGTCTGGATAGGGCAAGATTCTGCCAGAAAACTGTATATGAGCGACGTTAATGTACAAACGCGTTAGAGTACTCAATTTGACATAACGTTAAGTCGGAAACGAAAACCGACATAACCAGCGTAGTGGAAAATACAATGTCTTCCTTGCATCCAAACTTCATCAGCGCGCCTAACTCCAGCCCTAACTTCAGTAACTGTCACACCAGCACGTGGATATATATCGCCCGGGCCGCCACAAACCCCGAAACCCAAACAACCTCAAAACCAATTCTCAAAGCCCAAAATGCGCCAATGCACTGAAAACTAAATTCAGTAACAAACTAGCACCGTTTGTTCGCAATGCATACACCCCATTTCAAGCCGCAGTGGTGGTGGATGGGCAAACAAAGAAAAGAAGGAGAGATTACATGTACAACGCATAAGCTAGATCTAACCAACTGCCATCCGGCTTGAGTTAGCGTACCCTGGGGGTTCGGTCTAGCCGTAATAGATTGCTGGCTAGGATCGAGCTAGGGTCGAGCAAGGATCAAGCAGGGATACTAACAGTGGTTTGGGACTAAGCCCCATGTTCAACTACACTTGCCGACGTGTTGTTCTTGACCGGCATTTCGGACAGAGACCTATGTCCATGTATCTTGGTGGAGCCCTAATGTCAATGAAAGGGCTGCGATGTGATGTGCGAGACAAATTGGCGCTCATTTGAGCTGGGTTTGGTTATGCGAACAGGACTGGAAGCTTCTCCACTTCGCGGACACGGACTTTGGGGAGTTTGGGGAGGTTGATGGGATTAGATAGGAGCGTATTCAATGTAATTTATTTTTGAGGTCTGAGTGTTGAGATGATAGAGTTCTCTAAGGCCTGTGGTTCCGCCATGTGCTCGTTTTGCTATACATGCGCCATGGTTTATATTACCCTTCCCGATATATTATCTATATGTTCTTGGAAAATCAACATGCTGAGACTAATATATAATGAGACCATGTCTCCCAGTATCTACCAACACAATACATATACGGCTACTCTTCCAACGGAAATAACATCCATAATTCCCTCGTTCTCCTTTCACCTAGCAAACCCCGCTCAAACCCCAAACGAACCGAGGACAGAAATAAAGTTAAACCATAAGCCGGATCCACCTGTCATTCCAAATTCAAACGCTCGTCTCTCCACAACCCACTCTGTATTCCAAATAGACAGTCTCGGCAAAGTATGATATCTCGACCGAGGGTATTCGGTATATGAAAGTATGGCCAGAATAGATAGCCATACCCTCGTATGGACTACCCATGATCTACAAACATTGCCGAGGGGCCAAGATACGACGCACGGCAAGGAAAAGGGCCATCCGCTACACAAAGCAGTTCGTCCATGTTGACAGCCAAGCCCTGGTAGTTTAGACATAGTCCAGAGAGTCGACATGTTCGTCGACGTCATCGTGCATCTACGACCACGAACCCCAAATATGGGGAATCTGAGATACGGGCTTCTGACATCCGAGCAGCCAATGTTAACCGTCCACGTTGAACGTAGAGCCCCGAGAAGCAGGGAAGATACAGACGTCGGCGGCAGACCGGGCCAGGGCATTATGCATTCCCTAGTTCTAGGCTTGCGGAGCGAGGCGTCTTCGATCCGAATATACAGTTCCGCAGAATGAAGCACGAATAGCTAAACTACCGGAAGCTGTGGCGTTGGATTGAAACGTCGCTCAGTGGAAGTTCGTATCGATGTACGTTGTGCTTATCTGTATTGCGCATCTCGTATCTATATTCGATATCGTGCATACTATCTCAAAGAAAATGGAATTAACTAAGTGGAGGGGTTTACATATCTGCATGCAAGTGCCGGGATTCCTTTGACGGAAGTAAGGAACTCAGTGGAGCTCCTGAATCATGGCTTCTAGCCACGGTGCTAGGCGTAGTTCTTATTCCTTAATCAGTAATGTCCCGAGGGCCGGGAGGAGCTCTATAGCACAAACAGAGTGTTGGTCGGCAGTTGCGATGTGGAGAATTGCTGTTTCATGGGTTTGGGAGTTTGGATAGGTTGTATGATAGGTTAAATTGGTCTAAGGGTTCGTCGTGCAATGTACTAACTAGCAGGGGTGTACTGTGTTCCAGCAGGGATGTAAGGTTTTAGGTAACGTTACCCTAAGCAATACCTAGTGCAATTGGATCGTTCATTCGGCAATTGTTTCTTTGTTAAATTAATCCTCTAACAATTAACACATTTTACATATAATGGCAAGCGAAAAGGCTATGGAAGGCAAGGAGAATGATTATACCAGCTAATATTAAATAGTCCATCTTCTGCAGAATAATCGCACTGTAGTTCAGGAGGAGCTTCCACGGAAGATTCTTTGCAAACAGAGAGGTGGGGGAGGGGATGGAAAGCTAGGAAAGTGACTAGTGGGCTTTGTCGCAGTCGGCGGGTTTTCTCATATTTTCCACCCAATCAGAGCTTGATAATAATAGCTTTTAGCGCTGGAAAATACTGGATTTGACAGCGATCGACAAACGTTGCCTAGCTGCAGTTGGGTTCTACACATGAACGGTAATTATGCGACTCTCCGGAGGTCCAACGTCTTGGAATTGTTGGCCTTGCATCCGACTCTGCGGATCGATATTTTTGGATTGCATAGACTGCAGTTTATGTAGCTAGCTGCATATGGATCTATGCAACGTTATACAGGGCATGTATGTGGAACACGCGACAACGGGATTCCAACTATATTTTGTGATTTGATTGGGAGATTTGGTGTAACGGATCCACGTTATTACATGAATAGATCATACTACTTTCTTTTTGATAACTGTAGTTGAAGCGTCCAAGGATCATTGTGTATTTGCACGTGAGGGAGTCGCTCGTGCATGAACTACTCTCCAGAAGATTATGCTCTAGGGGTCCAGCCTATCTCGGAGATCGGCGGAATTGAGCGCATACGCAAATCCCGTTTCTTTCGGGCATCGCGATTGTCGACGCTTGGACAATTGTGCGACTAGAAATATGGCCGATCCGCATTGATGTGAGGTCCAGGGAGCTTCTCACATCCATCCCAATTCCAACATCCAACGGTATCTAAATCTTACACTCAATTCCTACATTCTGCTTCTACATCTGACTATTATACCCTACACACCAACCTGTACATATTCCAGCATCAGGGAAGATGCGTCCCTTATTGCTAGACAGTGTCGTCTGCGACGAAGGCATAGCTCCCGATGCTCTGGAACCTATTGCAATCGTCGGCCTTGCAAACCATTTTCCCCAACAAGCCTCAACAACCGAGGGTCTATGGGAGCTGCTTCTAGAATCCCGTTCGACATGGTCACCTATACCCAAGGAAAGATTTAATTCAGACGCCTTTTATCACCCTGACCCCGAACACGGAGGAACAGTATGTTGTATCATTGTATGCATTCGGTGTTATCTGCCACTGACCTTCTGTACCTAGTTTCATGTCCAAGGAGGTCACTATCTCTCTGAAGACCCCGCTTACTTCGATGGATCTTTCTTCAATATCACCAAGAATGAACTCTTGACTCTTGATCCTCAGCAGAGGTTGGTCATGGAAAATGTATACCACGCTTTGGAAAATGCAGGTATTCCTCTATCCTGTGCTGTTGGCTCCAACACATCCGTTTTTGTCAGCGGATTCAATCATGACTACCTTGGAATTCTCAACTCTGACCCAGAGACGTCTCTTAAGTACAAGCCTACGGGTGTCACTAATGCCATTCTGTCAAACCGTGTCAGCTGGTTTTTTGACTTCAAAGGTCCCAGTATGACCATTGACACAGCTTGCTCCAGCAGCTTGGTGGCTTTACACCTCGCTGTGCAGAGCCTAAGGGCTCGAGAAACCAGCATGGTGTGTTTTTATTGCCGTCATTGACGTTAAATACTAGCAGACTAACACGTGGGCATTAATAGGCCATCGTTAGCGGTGTGAGCATCCTCGAGAACCCCGTAGAGACCATCGGCATGAGCCACCATGGGCTTCTGGGGCCTCAAGGACGTTCATTTAGCTTCGACTCACGTGCCGAAGGGTATGCGCGAGGTGAGGGTGTCGGCACAATTGTGGTGAAATCTTTGCATACTGCGCTGAGGGATGGTGACTCTATTCGCGCGGTCATTCGTGAAACTGGTGTCAACCAGGATGGCCGCACTTCAGGAATCACAGTGCCCAGTGCCGATGCCCAAGAAAGACTTATACGTGAGGTATACTGGAGAGCTGGTCTGGACCTTGAAGATACACGACTTGTGGAAGCCCATGGCACGGGAACAAGTACCGGAGATCCTATCGAAGCCGGCGCCCTTGCACGCGCATTCAAATGCCGGCGAGATACTCCGCTCTACATCGGAACTATCAAATCTTCCATTGGACATCTGGAGGGAGGCTCCGGCGTGGCGGGAATTATCAAGGCTATCCTCACTCTTGAATCCGGCATCATCACGCCCAACTACGACATGAAGCAAGTCAACCCTAAGATCCCTGCTGCAGACTGGGGCATCAAGTTCCCCACTGAGAATATTCCGTGGCCCTCGCAGGGCTTACGAAGGGTATCAGTCAACTCATTCGGAATTGGTGGCACCAATGCTCATTGCATCCTTGACGACGCCTACAACTATCTCGATGATCGCCATCTCGCAGGAGCTCATTGCACAACTCCGATTGTTCCAACAAAACAGAATATAAAGCGCCAGCTGTTGGCCATTTCCAACTTTGCAAAAGACACAGACCATAGCTTCTCAGATAGCGCAGTGGAGAGTGATCACTCAGGGAATGGTTATGTCTTTGTTGACACCCCTTCAACTGATGGCTTCTGCTCCTCTCCTACCTACGCCTCAGCTGGCTATACAAACATGGGGGACCAACAGAAGGTTTTCCTGCTCTCTGCATTCGATGAAGATGGCGTCAAACGAAATGCATCTGCACTAGCCAAGTATCTCAAGCGCAAGATGAAGCAGTCAGGCCTCCACACACAACTCCTCGATGATCTTTCGTTCACTCTGTCCAAGAAAAGATCCCAGTTTCCTTGGAAAAGCTATGTCATGGCATCTTCTGTTAAGGAGCTGGCATGGAATTTGTCGGAATGCAATTACGTCAAACCTATAAGAATGACCCAATCACCGGCTGTTCATTTTGTGTTCACTGGTCAGGGCGCTCAGTATCAAACCATGGGCCGAGAGCTCATGGTATATCCTGTTTTTCGGGAGTCTCTAGAGGAAGCATCCGACTACATTCGTCGGCTTGGTAGTCCCTGGTCACTACTCGGTGAGAGGATTTCTGTTCTACTGTTGTATGTCCTGGGCTAATATTTCTAGATGAACTGTTAATTGAAAGAACATCACTCCGAGTTAACTTGCCCGAACTTGCCCACCCGCTTTGTACTGCCCTGCAAGTTGCTCTTGTAGACCTCTTTGCTAGCTGGGGTATCTTTGCAACACACGTAACAGGCCACTCATCTGGTGAGATAGCGGCTGCTTACTGTGCCGGAAAGCTATCCCGCGAGGCTGCCTGGAAAGTCGCATACTTTCGTGGATATGTGTCTTCTAAGCTACTCTCGGCAAAAGGAGCAATGATGGCTGTTGGTCTCCCTGTGCAGCAGCTAGAGCCATATCTGGAATCTGTTCGGAAGGACTTCGCTGGGGAGCTCATCATTGCCTGTCGAAATAGCCCCAAGAACAACACTGTTTCTGGAGACGAGGCTTTGATTGATTACCTCAAAGACCTTCTTGAGGACGATGCGGTTTTCGCTCGAAAATTGAATGTGAAGAACGCCTACCACTCAGCTCACATGCAAGCTATCGCTGGCGACTACCTCCGCTTCATGGGCACGCTTCCTAATGGAAGGCGATTGGCAGCTCCACATCCAGTGCATATGTTTTCTACTGTGACTGGAAAGGAAGTCAAAGAGCATCAACTGCCTGGTCAATACTGGGTGGACAACATGGTCTCTCCAGTTCTTTTCACCTGCGGTTTGACTGAAATGACTTCCCAATCTACTTACTGTCTTGGTCCAAACAACTCAGATCCCTTGCGTATCCTAGTGGAAATAGGGCCTCACTCAACCCTGCAAAGCGCAATCAAAGAAACTCTCACCTCCAAAAGCCCCAAACTGGAATACAAGTATTTCCCAGTAATCAAACGAACAGATCACAACCAGAACACCATTCTCACCGCAGTTGGCTTCTTAGGTGCTAGCGGCTGTGAGTTAGACTTCCATGCCGTGAACCAAGCGTTTCAATCAGAAGCAAGAAGGCGATCCCAACTCTTGGTGGACTTGCCACCATACAGCTTCAAGCATACCGAGAAAATCATCTATGAGAGTCGGTTAAGCAAGAACTTGCGAACAAGGAAGTTCCCACGTCACGACCTGTTTGGTGCACCCATTACAGATTGGAATCCGATTGCACCCAGATGGAGGCACTTTGTTAGGTTGGACGAGAACCCTTGGTTAAGGGACCATGTCGTTACTGGCAACTATGTCTACCCTGGTGTGGGCTATCTCGTCATGGCCATCGAAGCGTCGCGACAGTTAGCTGGTGATGGAAAAACCACAGCAAAAATCACCGGATTCCATCTCCGACGGGTTTCTATGAAAAGAGCCTTGATTGTCCCTGATACAAACGAGGGGATCGAAGTATCTTTGTCAATGGCCAATGTCGAAGATTCCCCATCGACGTCAAGAATCTGGCGCTGCTTCCACATAGCGTCCTACAATGCCTCGAACGACGAGTGGACAGAGAACTGCACTGGTCAGATTATGGTTGAGCATGAATCACCACACGATCCCGTGGATGCCGGCCGTGAGGCAGCAGAGGAGACGAAAGCTTGGAAAGCAGATCTCGCACATGCAAACAAAGTATGTAGCAGTCCACTCAACTTCAAATCTATCTATAACAACCTCCAAAAATCCGGACTCGTCTTTGGCCCACTGTTCCAGAATCTTTCAGAAGTCCGTGGCAGTGGCCTTGGTCCCAAGTCAGCCCTTGGATCAGTCGTCGGATCAGTGACTGTGCCAGATATTGCACAGTACATGCCAAAACAGTTCATGCACTCCCATTTGATCCATCCTGCCACAATGGATAGCATGATCCACCTCATGATTGCAGCTGTTATGGATTACACTGGAAGATCCACCTTAGACCAAATCAGATTGCCAACTTCCATTCGCGATGTCTGGGTGTCAGCAGATCTCAATCCAGCCCCATCACACAAGTTTACAGGGCATGCAAGTGTTTCTGCAGCCAAGTCCCACAAGTTCGAGGGCCAGATACGGATTCTGGATGAAGAGTCAAACACACAACGTATCCGCATGGATGGTATTGAGCTCACTCCACTCGAAAACGACCTTCCTCAAAAAGCTGAGCGCAAGCTATGCAGTGCAATCGAGTGGAAACCTGATGTCCATTTCCTTGATTCAGGTACTTCTTGTGGTTTGACCGCTCTTGCACCCACAGACACCAACGCTCAGTACTGGGTGAAACAGCTTCAGCTTGCCACAATGCTCTATGTCACAGATGCACTCACTGAGTTTAAGGATGCTGACTTCATGAAGCTTGATTTACATATGCAAAGATTCGTTGATTGGATGAATCATTCTCAACAGCTGCTGAAGTCGAACGAAATCATTCATCTTCCATACAGGGAATTCCAACAAGTCGCACAGAACCCTGCTCTGAAGGAAGCCGTTGGCAAAGAGATTGAGTCACACAGTGCTGAGGGTGCTATTACGGCCCGAATGGGTCGCAATATTGTCAAGGTCGTAAGACGAGAGGTTGATCCACTACATCTCATTTTCGGCCAAGATGATTTGATGGAGCAGGTCTATAAGGAGGGCCTCCATCTCTACAACCTACCTCAACATCTCCAAAGCCACTTGACTCTCCTTCGTCATCATTATTCTGACTTGAGCATTCTTGAAATCGGTGGCGGGACTGGTAGCTTCACTGCAGAAGTCCTTACCGTCTTGTCCCCAGACCCAGAAAAGAGCAAAGGCAGCGTAGCAAGCTACACATTTACTGACATCTCATCCGGTTTCTTCGAAAGGGCCAAGCAACGCTTCCAGCCATGGGCGGATATCATGAAGTTTCAATCTCTCAATATTGAAAGCGATCCAGCTGATCAAGGGCTGCAACTAGGAACATACGATCTGATTTTTGCTGGAAATGTCATCCACGCCACGGCCAACTTGCAAGCCACTTTGCAGAACCTGCGATCTCTGCTTCGACCTGGTGGCCAACTCATCATGCAGGAAGGGATCAGACAGGACTTCCTCTGGTATCCCCTTGTTTTCGGACAACTTCCTGGATGGTGGCTTGGTGATGAGCCTATGAGGAGATGGTGTCCTTATATTCCTGCAACTGAATGGGATACCCTTTTACAGGCGTCGGGATTCTCTGGCGTCGACATTGAATATCCTAGTTCTGATAATCCTGATCTGACTTGGCAGAGTATTTTGGTTTCTTCTGCTGTCACTGCTTCCCAGGAGAAGACATTTGGTGACGCATTCATCCTAACGAGCAGTTCATACCCAAAGAGCATAGATGAGTCTCTAGTCAGCCTTCTACGGGAGATGGGATACACCAATGTTCTCATTCTGGAGCCATCAGCGATTCAAAATAATGTCAAGACAGGTTCACTCTGCATCTCACTCCTTGATCTGAATTACAACTGCCTCGACAATATGAGTGAATCAGAATATCAGGTCTTAAAAGGGGTCTTGACGAAGTGTCACAACATTCTGTGGGTGACAACCGGTCATCAATCCCGCCCGCATTCAAGCATGAGCTTGGGTCTTCTTCGATCGTTGCGTTGGGAGCGAGACCCCGACGGTTCAAACATAGTTATCCTCACTGTGGGAGACGACAACAATTGCCTAACGGGAAACCTGGATCGAGACATTTGCAAGATCGTAAAGCGACAATTTGTGGATGAGCCAGAGAATGACCGCCATGCTGAATATCTTCTACGCGATGGTATAACTCACATTGGTCGCTTGAAGGAATGGGACGCAGCGGACCAATTCCTTGCCAGCCAGTCATTTGGATCAGGGCCCCAGCTTCAACGAATTGGTCACATTGATCAACCCATTCAGTTGCAAGAGCTAGATTCTAGAAGTGGTGACTATATTTGGGTTACTGATCGGCAGCATGAAACGCCGTTGGGGGACACCCAGGTCGAGATCTACACGCAGGCGGTTGGTCTCAGTTCACCTGGCCTTTCAAACAGCCTTTCAAATGAAGCTGCCGGTTTTGTTACGAAGATCGGGTCCAGGGTGACAAGCCTAAGCCCAGGTGATAGAGTTGTCTGTGTCTCCGGCGACAAAGACGGTTGTTTCCGAACACATATTCGAGTCTGTCAGAAACTGGTAACCAAGATCCCCAGCAACATCTCTTTCGAAACCGCGGCCAGTCTGCCTGTTGCACTCCTGACAACAGACTATGCACTTAACCTCTCAGAGATTAGCTGTTATTCAGGAAGCTGGGCCACGATCTTGATCCATGATGGTATCGCTCCCGTCAGCCGAGCGGCCATTCAAGTTGCCCTGGCTATTGAAGCCGAGGTATATGTCTGTGTTACAACTGTTGAAGATCGCATGTTCATCGTCTCTGAATATGGCATTCCGGAGCATCATATATTCTCTAGTCGAGATTTCATGTTTTCCAAGGGTGTCATGCGATGCACCAATGGCAAAGGAGTCATGATCAGTTTCAACACGCCATCTGGCGAGGCACTTCAAGAGACATTGAAATGCATTTCTCCATTTGGGAAGATTTTCGAGTTTGCAGATTCAAATGAAGATGGCAAAACCACAATTGATTTGGCGTCGATTCCCCGATGTGCGAGCATCCATAGGGTCAACATACCGTTGATGGCTCAGCTAAGAGGGGATCTCACTCCGCTTCTTTCAGATCGACTCAGAGAGAGTCTTATCTTGTATTCTGAGGGCAAGATCAAGGAGATCCAATCCGTGACTGTCATGGACTTTTCTCAAATCAAGGAAGGTATCCAAGCTCAGAGCAGTGGCAAAGCCGGAAGCATTGTATTCACCCTGAACCCATCGACCATGATTCCTGTAGTCCAGCAGCCAACAACACTGTATCATTTTGATTCAAATGCGTCCTACGTCCTTGCCGGTGGATACGGCGGTTTAGGTCGCAGCCTCGCACGATGGATGGTATCTCGCGGAGCAAGGAATCTAATTTTCCTATCACGTTCATCGGCATCAGCTCCGGAGAAAGTGGAAATGATCACTGATCTAACCAACATGGGCTGCAAAGTCCATTCACTTGCTTGTGATGTTTCAGATATTCAAAGCCTCACAGAACTGTCCGAAAGAACCTTTCCCTATCTGCCTCCAATCAAAGGATGCATCCAAGCTTCCATGGTATTAAGAGTAGGTCGATGCGTGTCTGGTACAACGCAAAAGCTAACAAATTCCCAGGACGGCACCTTTGAAGCGCTTTCTTACGAAGATTGGCAAGCCGCTATCAAACCCAAAGTCCAAGGTTCTTGGAATCTACACAAGACCCTGCCAAACGACATGGACTTCTTCGTGATGTTATCCTCCGTCGCAGGCATCTTCGGTAACCGTGGGCAATCAAACTATGCAGCAGGAAATACCTTTCAGGATGCCCTAGCTGCACATCGGGTCTCACAAGGAATGAAAGCGTCTAGTATTAACTTAGGGAGCGTGTCCAAAGTCGGCTGGGTAGCCGAAAACAGAGATACGATTCGCACGAACACAGCACCATTGTTCGAGCTCATTAGGGAAGACGAAGTCCACGCAGCCGTGGAATTTCTCATTGATCCCCGAAACGACAACACGCCGACCAAGAACTCACCCAGTCGATCTCAACTTGTCCTCGGTCTCCCAACGGCAGAGATCTGTCGCCAGAATGGAGTGCCTGCGCCTACATACCTCAACTACTCCATGTTCACCCATTTCCGAAATACAGCTACGGCCAAAACCAGTGAAATTTCTGAGCAGAAGACTTTCAGCACTGCCACTATTTTGAGAGCAACTTCTAGCACTGAGAGTGTTGTCACTGTAATTTCTGACGGAATTGTTGCTCGGCTTGCTTCTCTGCTTGCCATTCCTGCCTCCGAGCTTGACGCCCAACGATTTGGCTTTGGTGGTATTGACTCTCTCGTGGCTATGGAGTTCCGCTCGTGGATTACAAAGGAGCTTCAGGCTGAAGTCTCTCTTTTGGATATCATGGGAGCAGAGAATATTAGAGCTTTAAGTGAGAAGATTGCCGGGAGGACACGGCTGGTCGAAGGCTCTTCTTAATTTGCTGTTTCATTCTGTTGGCTTATCTTGAATACCGGTTTTTTTCTTTCTATGTTCTCATGATTCATTGTTTACGTTACTGATGCCCTGCTACGAGACATGATATTTGCTGCGTCTTCTTTGCCAATTACTCGGGAGACTGCCTTCCGAGGATTTCTGTATACCTTGAGTTTCGGACACACTTATTAGTTTTTGCATGGAGATCCAGTTTTGAGCTTCAGCGTTTACACATAGACCCCGTTAATAGAGTATTACGCGCCCGCGCGCCCCCCTCCTCCCCCCGGGCCAAATAAAAAGAGGGAAGGCTAACAATGCTTAAATTAAAAATGATACACCTTGTTGCAAACCTCGCGCGCTGCAGCCATTATTCATTAAATTCATGGGACATTCACCGCGAAAGAGCATATCCCTCTAACCCCTGAGCAGGAGTCTCACAAAGCGCCAACTTCGGCTCCGCCCCGGACCTCTCATGCCGCCACGCCCTCTCCCTCAGAGCAAGATAAACAGACCGGAACGGCTGAACGTCCCCGGGCAATCGGGCAGGTGGGCTGTGAGGATCGAAATCCAGCTCTTGGAGTTGCACCACACACCACCGGAGAGTATCTGGCGGAAGGTATTCCTCCGGGTCGAATTCCCTGTAGCTTTCTTGGAGTAGTTGCAAGGTGGGCTGGTCGACTGATAGTCCGAAATTTTCTACTCCTTTTGGTGGGTGGTGGTAATTCATGTATGGTTTTCCTGGGGCGCGTTCTGGGTGGTCTTTTTGTTTGCGGATGTTGTGTATGTTCCAGGTCTGGACGTAGGAGTTTATATGGCTGCGGAGAATTGGCATGTAGATTGCAAGTAAAGAAACTTGGTCCGCTAATATTGAGCTTGAGAACAATCCTTCGGTGTGGAGTTGGCGGAAATAGTTCTACGGCGTGGGTTAGTACAGGAAACCCCATATATGAGAAACTCGACGTACATAGAACAGGGTCACTACTGATCTAGCAAGCTGGGCCCACCAGGATTCAATGCGATGGGTGTCTGTGGCTCGCCCAGGTGCGCAGCATTGCTCCCGCTGAACATCTGGTTCAGCGGCGCGGCGTAGATTAAAGTGGGCGTCTGCTAGAAGGGGTACTTCGGATTCTAGATCAGATCGGAGGGTGCGTGGTTGACGGCCTTTAGCAGATACTGTATCAAGATGATGCTTGAGGACGCTCACGGCAGTGTGAGCACCAACACCAACATTGAGCCAGAGGACATAGCGAGAAAACGAATCAATCTCAGCGTGAATTCGAAAACCGAAATTGGCCAGCTTTGAGTAGCTATTCACATGCCAGGTCAGGTTAGGGCCGGCCAGAATCTTCGGCGGAGGAGCACGCCGTGGGACATCGCTCGTCCGGCGTTCGACGGTGTCCGGGCGCAACATGCGATATACATTATAGAGACGGTCCCGAGCGAAGACATACCCCTTGCTGCGGAAATGGTTGTGCAGTAGTTCCTTGCCATACCCTTCAATGGTTCCCTTGTCCATCTCCTCAACCAAGGCTTCGAGGATTTCCTGGACTTGTTCCTGCTGTCCGGTTGGCGAGTCAAGACGTAGCCTGATTCCAAGCTGGTGACGGAGCCTTCGGAGCGTACGAAGTGAGATATTGTAGCCCTCCTCATTTAGAACGGTGGCAATCTCCGCATCGCCAAGACCAACGTCGAAGAAGAGGTTTTTGATGCGGGCGTGGAGCGTTTCGTTTGATGAGTAGTTTTCCATCTTTTTCTTGACTCCCCAATGCTGTAGACGCTTGGTGAGGGTTCGCGGTGATATTTGGATATCATGTTGTCGCTTTAGGTGCTTGCAAATGTCGTCACCCTTCATCTTTTTCTCGTGCAGGGCGATGACCTCGGCTTTATAGGGCTCCAAATCGACCCTCGGGCGACCAGATTGCTTGCTCGTCGCATCTTCCTGGGTTTCCATATTGTACACAAGTTCAGTGTCGGATAGCCCAGAAATGATTGCCGTGGAGTACGTGAGGTTGGGGCGGGCGGTGAGCTGTTGTCAGTGGATCCTGCCATCACAATCTCACCGCTTTGATAACCAATTTTTTTGTTATCGCAACGATCTTCACGGACGACAGTCTTTGCCAGCTCAACGTCAGTCTCGTTACTTCAATCCGGTCTGATATCAGTAAGCTGATACCACCGCCAAAATGGTCCGCGAACTCAAGCATCACGAGAAGAAGTACGTCTCTGCCTAAAATCCACCAACCTCATCAAAAATCTCAACCCGACCCATCCAACACCTTGAAAGCTGCGCAATGCCATAAGACACGATGCACTAACAACATCACGCGCAGGCTTCTCCGAAAGGTCGACTTCCACAACTACAAGTCCGATGGCGGCCACCGTGAACACCAGGTGCGCCAACGGTACCTCCTCCAAGACCCGATGGACTACAAAAAATACAACGCACTCTGCGGATCCCTACGCCAGCTCGCCCACAAGCTCTCCCAGCTTGATCCTGAAACAGACCCACTGCGCAAGAAGCTTGAGTCTGAGCTTCTCGAGAAATTGTGGCGCATGGGAATCCTCAAGCAATCCCGTGAGCAGGGCGCCGGTTTGTCCAAGGTTGAGCGTGAAGTCACAGTCTCTGCGCTCTGCCGGAGACGCTTGGCCGTATTCATGGTGCGCTCTGGTATGGTTGAGACTATCAAGGCTGTGAGTTTACCCCGTACCCGATGAATCTTCGAAACCGTGAAGGTGGGCGAATGCTTATTCATTCATTTTACAGGCGGCCACTTTCATCGAGCAAGGCCATGTCCGTGTCGGTACTGAGGTTGTCAATGACCCGGCCTTCCTGGTTACTCGTAACATGGAGGACTTCGTGACCTGGGTCGACTCCAGCAAAATCAAACGGAACATTCTCCGTTACCGTGAGAAGCTGGATGACTTTGATCTTCTGTGATGGATTCCATGTCAAAAAGAAAAAAGCATTTTGGGTTTTTGTCTTTGATATACCCGGCGCTTGTGCATTGTGGCCTGTTATGGGTTTGGCGTATTGATGTTTAATGAAGTTATATCGATTATATTGGTCCCAATGGGCATATATTTACTCGGAAATGCAACTTTTCCACGGCATCTACTGTATCATATAGCAGCCTCGACTTCAACAGCACAAGCCATATTGAGCACTATACACAAATAGAGCCCAAACGCTGCCAACTACCACCGCCAACCCGTGATCTAATTTAAGGAACTGTCCTTGGCACACAGATTCCGCTATCTAGTCCAACTTACTACAACTGTATCCAGCAGCCACAACCGTATTTGTCATTGCAGTCCAAGTGACTTGAATTTGCTCCAGGAGAAGCAGTCAGAGGAAAAGCCGCGACGAATTAGTACTACAAGGTCACCGGCGTCTCTTTCTGGAGCGACAAAGACTATAGCCTGCACTCTCATTAGGTCATCGCAAGCGGGACATTAGAACCACCGATCGAGCCACCATCTGCAGTAGCGTGGAGAAATTCAGGCTGCATTTTTTGTCCAATCCTACTACATAAAAACCGCATAATGCACTGTGGACCGCGAATTTCTTTCCATTGTAAGTTGAACGAGTGATTTATCTCCGCCGTTCCCAAGTCAGTGATGTGGGAGGCACCTGGATGTGGGGACGTTGTGTGAAAGCTCTCTTATCTTGCGTAATGGCGGGCTCTGTTGATGAAGAAGTAGTAGTAGTGGGGAAGCCGTGGGCAAACTTTGCCTGTGACCTTTCACTAATACACAGGTCAGCCCAAAAGTAATACGAGGCCTGCCTGACCTGATCCTGAAGAGATGAATTTCTGTTACATCCGTGACCCCAGCCATCGCTCACTGCTTCTCGAAATAAGGGATATGACCAATATGTATCACCGCCCTTCTCAGCATCAGCAGATGTGCTGGTCGGCGATACTTGCAATTGAGGCCGGGCTCCTCTTCCGAGACAGGCTTTGCTCTTTACTGCAGCGGCCCAGGGTTGGAAGCCGAAAGCAAGCCAGAGCGAGTTCAACAGATAGCAACCCTCAGCGAATATGCTCCGTCATTTGGCGAAGGTGGCGGTTAATTATTTTCATATTGGCCTACTCGTGAATGACTAGAGGTTCTTGGGAATCATTCTGCAGGAGCTGAATGACCTTGTCCAAGAACATCATGTCCTCACTTCTGATGAGACCAGAATCCTCCGGGCACAAATCGTGCCGACTATCCTACCCGGATCACAGGACCTGAAGAACCTATTGCCCACCCTTCGCGATGAGGGAGAGATCATAAAAATAATTTTAACTGCAAGGCAGCTCGATCCAGTCGAGGAAATGGACATCTACTTAGAAATGAAATCTCCAAGCAAGAATGGGGAGCGGTTTTGCTTGGTATGCAAGATCCTCGGATCCTCGCAGAGGGAATAAACTACGTGCTCCAGCCATATGTACGGCAGCCAAAGTTTGATATTGCTGTGGAAAAGGACCGAACAGTGTGCGGCAGTCAGATGGTTGGCACCTACTATACTGCCAATGGTCGCTATGCTGGATTGGGACTATGGTGTACAGGTGGAAAGTCTTGTAATGTTAACAATGGGGATGCGTAGTTGTAACGTCAGTTACAACTAGACCTTGACAACTCCCATGGGAGTGGGGCGGACGGAGATGGGAGCACTGTCAAGTCCCATCGATGGGAGTCTTGGCGAACCCCATGGGACTTTGTCATCGAGCTTTACCTGTTTAGGCTAATCACATGACCTTCGTCTGCCTTTTCGGTTCAATTTATGCAAATTTATGTTGCTTTATGTACTCATGCGCAGGAATGGGAGTTCCATGTGTGTAGCATAGATCGCTAGTTTGGTATAGCCAGATAGACAAGTGGTAATCAGAGTTGGAACTAGTTGGCCTAGCTCAGGACGCCACTGATCATCACTTGGCCGGTAATGAGAACTAAACAGGGAATACTTCCCTTGTTAAAAGCATTAGTGCCTAACAATATATAAGAACTGATAGGCAAGCATGACGCTGCGCTGGTGAACACGCATGGGTCGATCCGCTCCAAAATCAGCCCGGCGCCGTAATAACTGGAGAAGAGGAATTCTACCAGCAGAATTAGGGCAGTTAAGTCCTGACCAATTATATACCAAGGACTCGGTAGTTGCTTTCTCGGCCTACATCATGTCACTTGAGAAACTACGAACAGGCTCCGTTGTGAAGGGATCAGCAAACCTCGAACACGCCCCAAATACTTCTTAGTGGCTATTCACCACTTTTCAGCTACAGCCGTAGCACACCGACCCACACTGCTAATACCAATCATCTAGACTTTTGATTTCATTAAAGATACACTACTACTTCAGGCACTCCACCGAGAAAGCTCTCAGCCGTGCTTGCATGACTCGCATGTTGGAGAGGGGTAGCCCATAGCTCCCATGCTCAATGATAAATAGCTCTCTCTTGCCAGGCGTCAAAAATCTATTCTCTAGTATCAACTCCAAACTCTTTTTGCGCCCTACATCCGGTACCAACAATATGTCGAATTACGTGATCCAATTTGATGACCTTGACAGTTTTGAATCTAATGGGGAGACAGTGACCACGTTTGTCTATCTTGCAAAAGATAAAGAACCGTTTGCTAATTTATTTGTATAGAACCCTTAATGAGCATGGTGCGAACTTCACTAATGCCCCGGAGACATTTCCTCCGGTATTTATTGTCTTGTAAGTTGTAGCCCCTTCATGTACGATAGGTATACTAATCAAAAGTAAACTTTTAGTGGAGTAGACGATGATGCTGTCGAAGAGCTGAAGAATATGGATGGAATTTCTGTTTCCGAACAAGATTAGTAGATACCGTCAGGCGACTGTGATATAATATTGGTTTCATCTAAGTATGGGTTCGTTAGTACAGTAAAACCTCGTTATAACGAAGAATTAAATCCAGCGCCTTGGTTCGTCATATCCAGGAATTTGTTATATCAAGGACTCCCCCGATTCCTCAATTTTGCCCCCCAAAATAGCCTCGGATGTCAACCTGACGCCTGCTTTGAATCTCCTGCCCCTGTATCTCAACACACACGCGACGAGTCGTCGAATCAACTACTGCCACCAGAATATTCAGCAGTGGGAAGCTTTGGGGGCTTCTATGTAAGACGAAGTAGTCCCGCCCCCCTCCTTTCGGGCGCGAGGCCGTTTACCATGCGTTTAAGGTGAAAAATGTCTTCAAGCAACCAGTGGACTGACGTTGCTGCTAATCTCCCTGTTCCAGCCGTACTTTCCTTTGCCAATGAAGGGTCATTAGCTCGGGACCGTATTTCTAAGCTCGTGCAAGCCCAGAAGGATCTTTTAGAATCCCCCCGAGCTCTAGAAACGCCCACCGTGAACGCGACTCTAACGTCCCTGATCTTTGGAACTCCTGCTGAGGCCCCGATAACTACAGCATTAGGAACGACTTTTTCCCTTGATGCCAAGGTTTCCCGCTCCATTAACCTTTCCGAGCGCCTGCCCGACCCCCGGCCCGGTATGTTTAGCAGAGACCGCAAGGACCTAGACCGGTACATGGCGGCAGAATTAATATATATGGCATGGATGATACGATTCTGTCATTAGATACCGCTAGACTTCTACTTGGTAATGCTGAGTCTGAACCCAACTGATACTGCTATTTGTAATGACTTCATCCTTGTGTTTACCGAACAGTGAATTCGAACATCTCGTTCGAAGGAACACTATTCTCGTCGAGCATCTTATCGGCTGTCTCCTTTCCGGCACCGGGGACACGGCATTCCAGTGTTCCTCCAGACTGTGGCGTCGGTCCATTTGGCAGACTGTATGGGATTGGGAGATATTCGGGCATCAGACCGAGCTGAAAGAGAACAGTCAATTGGTCCCAGGTAATATGCTCATGGTAAAGTCGATCACCGCGGATATTCACTACTGCCACGAACGGAATTCGTAATTTCTTCCCAGTTGGCGGGATTCCAGGGATGCTATAATGCCAGAAAATAAGTCAAATGTCATACTTTCTTTCCATTTCTTCAGCGGCGATGGTGGGAAACTCACAGCCAGTCGACCATCTTGTCGTGCGTAAAGCTCATGATAAACTCATCAACCACTCGATCAATCCCTAGAGTCCGACTAACAAGCTCCAAAGCGGTATCAACAGGGTTGTTGAAGATGAAGTGGTTGGCGTAGAAATGAGACAGTTCTTCGCGACCGATGCCTCCTGTGAGTGTTGGAATATGATTGACGTATGGTTCTTGAACCATGGTGTCCATTGTATCCTCGACAGAACGAGCCTCGAATTCCAATCTGGTGTGTTCCTCCCAGATCTCTTCAAGATCGAACCAAGGCCCATCCAACTTCTTTTTCAAGAACTCAAGGCATCTAGTGTGTGCAACTGTTGCCGAAGATGGCGAGAAGTCTTTGTGCGTAGGGAGGATGAACGATGTAGACGTGACTTCTGGGTATCGGTAGATGATTTCGTTTTCAGAGGTGGATCTGATTCCAGCTTCTGCTAGATGGGAAAGGTGTGGCTTTTCAGTCCGTTCCGGTAGAGCTCCGTATGAGACGACAGCTTTTATTTCGTCCATTTTATTGATAATTGGTGTCAAGTCTGGGACTGAAGATGGCGAATAGACTTTGTTGAGAGGTTAGCAGAACACCTCATGCAATGTAATCTCATTAGACCATTCTCACCTATGAGTCCGTAGCAGCCTTTCTTGTTGCACTTGTCATGAATGTTCAATGCGGCCAATGCCTGATGCAAGCCATCTTCGATTGATTGAAGGCTCTCTGATACTTCAATCTCGACTGTGACAAACCCCTCTTCGGCCCACTTTTGAAGTGGCTCTGGGTCTAAATTCTTTTTCCAATTCTGCTGACCAGGGCTAACAGGGGATCGAATAATTAACATTCCCGGGCCTGATCCATGTCGGGAAAGTGGTGCATGAATGGTCAGGCTAGGGGCAAGCTTGACCGGCTGGGCATTTGGAAGAGGCATGGTTGAACTTTGGATTTTTGGTTAGTGATACTCTTGCAGATAAGGTGATTGACACGAGATCCAAGGGCTTGGATATCGACATTTTCTCCGAGGACTCAGTTGACTTATAGAGTTCCAGGCATCTTGATGTCTGGAGAGGACGTGTATGTGATGGGCGGATTACACCCGGTGCGCGGGCCGACGCATTTTCGTTATCAGGGAGGAGAGATACGAAACTCAGGAAAGACGCACAGGGTTGACCAAGTCTAGCTCTCACGTCTGTTCTTCTCAGGACATATGAAGCTTTTTAGTCGTGGTTATTGAGCTAGGTGCCTTCACGAGGTGACAATCCGTGCGAGACTTCTACTGATCTGGTTGGTAGGCCGTCGAAGGCATCTAGTTCCGGAGGTCTTTGGAATCTGATATTTGGTGTAGGAAGAAAGACTCTTGAGATTTTGTGACTCAACTGGCGACTAAAATACTCTAATTTTCTCTGGTGCCTCTCACTTCCACAACCTCCCTAGCCAATCCCGTCCGCCGAAGAATGAATATGCAGACGCCCTCGAGATCACAGGTTTGATCGCGCATAAGCATATGCCAAAGAAGATGTTTCGACCTGGTCAATGTGACTGCTGTTAGCGAAGACATAGTTTGACCTTGCGGCATCGATAACCTGAGGGAACAATGCAGTAACAGTATTGGAATGCCGCCTACTCACATATGAAGGATTGAGCTGGTCCAGGGATGTCACTCCCAATAACGCCATTGTGGTCTCAATTTCATGCTTTAAGATTCGAATAGCTTTGCTCGTACCGGCTTCGCCGAAGGCCAGGGAGTACAAGAATGGTCTGCCAATACCGACAGCTTTGGCACCAAGTGCAAGGGCCTTGACAATGTCTGAGCCTCGGGTGATACCCCCATCGACGATAACTTCACACTTTTCGAAGACCTCCGGGCAGTGTTTTCGGATCGAGACGAGTGTCTCCGCTGCAGATGGCGCTCCGTCCAATTGCCTTCCGCCGTGATTGGAAAGCCAGGGGTTGACTCCATGTTGCATACAAAGCTCTGCGTCTTCCCAGCACTGGATTCCTTTGATTGCGATTGGAAGGGCGGTTATGCCTCGGAGCCATTTAGTAGCTGACACCCAATTGAAGCTTGACCAGACAGGTCTATACTCGTCAGCATGTGAGAAACTAGAAAGATATGTGATAACGTACGGTCTCTTGACGGTCGGTTCTTCGCTAAACCCCTCATCTTCCTCATCTCCAACCTCAACTTCCTCCTCGGCATCATCTAGATTGGCGTTGAAAGAGCTTGCACGTAAGTCGCGTTCACGCTTTCCAGATCGGATAGCATCAACAGTTAGGGCGAATCCTTTGTATCCCAATTCCACAGCTTTAATTACCTGCTGCTCGGTGATCGCCAAGTCAGTCATGGCATATATTTGCCAATATAACGTCTGATCAGGTCTCCCTGCATTCGCCATGTCCTTTTGAGATACTGCCGCATTGTTGCATGCCCAGTGTAAGATCCTATGGTAACCAGCAGCCTTCGTCAAACATAAGTCCCCCTTGGGGTTGATCAGCTTAGCACCACCAGCTGGGCAAATGAAGAAAGGGGCTGAAAACTTGGTGCCCAAGATGGAACATGATATGTCGATGCTTTCGATTGGCCGTAAAACTCGAGGCCGGAACCGAATTACTTTCCAGCTATCTCGGTTCCATCCAGAGGCATACTCGTCTTCTGCACCGGATTTGAGGACTGCCATCACTAATTAGCATTGTTTAATATCTACTGCTCAACACTCACACGCAAAAGAGGATATAGAGAGTTTCTCCGAAGCAGCATACTCAAAATCAGACAGACTGATGATAGAGGAGAGTTTTGGCGTCTTCTTCCCTGGCGCCAATTGTGGTTTGGCAACTTCCGGGCCCGTTAGTTCTGTTATTACAGGCCCCAAGTAGCTACTGCAATTGGCATTAGTGATTGAGCTGTACTCATTGGATCATGGCTGAGGAAGCACGTACTCCGGGTTCAAATGCTTCTGGATAACATCGTGCTGATGAAACGGCTCAAAGGCTTCGGTCGCGTCGTGACCTGCATAAGCCAAGAGCATGCTCGCTCCGCCAGGATGTCTTTCAAGAAAGTCGGTAATGTCATAAACATTCCCGTGGATTATGATCCAGCAGCTTTTTCTGGTGGAATGGAGTCCAACCTCGGCTCTTCATATTGTAGATTTGGATAAGCAAGCTGAGCACAAAAAGTTTGAAGTACATACCTTGTCAGCTTAATCATTTCTTCAAAAGGATGTACGACGAAGGCAGCCACAAACAGTGTATTATCACACGTAATGTTTCTCAAGGACCAAGACGTAACTCAATTATGGCTAGGTCAAATTGCCGGGCTATGTCACTTCGATTATCGGTCACAACCAATTCATTCTATTTTCTGATTCGTATAAATTGGACTGTCTTTCGGGACGCCCAAATTGTGAGCCTGTCTTTCGGAAGTTCACCTATCTCGGGTATGGGGTGGGCTCTATCACCGGCTAAGTTCCCTATGCGCCGATTCTAGTCTCGGTCCACCATCTTGAGCGACTTCTAATCTAGCCTTTAGAAAGATTCATTCCTCTGGAACCGTACGGAATTGTACGATTGCATCTCCGGATTTCACTCCAAGGGAGTTTTTGACTTGAGCATGGAAGCCGTATTCGCTAAGATCGCGGAAGAGACCTCGAAATTTGAACTTGGCGATGAGGAGGTTTGTGAGATATGTTCGCAAGCTACTGTCACAGATATATTAATCTTTGAAAATAATTATTCCAACAGAAATGGCGCAAATTATACGACCCTTTCTATCCAAAGCCGCCGTCCAATGTCACTGTCATCCGCGACCAGCGATACGGACCTGCCGAAAGAAACATGCTAGACGTCTTCGTGCCAAATGGAGATGATTTAGCAAAACCAGTCGTCATGTATGTACATGGAGGAGGATTCTTCTCCGGTGACAAAATGTGGACTGAAAAGGTATATTCCAACATCGGGTGGTTCTTCGCTCAACACGGCATCATCACAGTGGTGGTAAACCATCGACTTGTCCCACATGTGCAGTACCCTGGCGGGGCAGATGACATGCAATTGGCGCGAGAATGGATCTATAACCATATATCATCGGCAACATATGGTTATGGCTCAGTTGATAAGGTCGTATTGTTCGGTCACTCTTCCGGCGGTGCGCACGTTGCAATGAATCTCTACTCTGCTAGTAAGAAGTATTTCCAATGCCTTGAGCCAACGCAGGGCTTTGCTTCAATTCGAGCGCTAAGTAATATAGGTGACATTGTAGGTGCTCCCAGCCGCCCACTTTTCCCTCCCGTGGCCGGAGTGATCTATCTCAGTGTGCCTTTCTGGTACGATCGGAGAAAGCCGATGCGGCAAAAGACGATTCGATCATACTACGGTTCAGATTCCGAGGATGTCTGGGGGGTAAGACTATCCCAACCTTCTCCAAACGTTTTATCTTAACAGAACGACACTTACCTTTGGTACATAGCCTAAGTCTGCACTAGGGTTATTCCAAGCATTGCCACAAAATTCGCCAATGATGTAAGTCCCGGTGAGATTGGGTTCTATACATTACAGATAAGTTAACTGTCACAAAGAAATTCACAGAAGATCCCCGTTTACCTTGGATCCGTTGAATGGGAAGTGTGAGTGCTCGCCCCATTTGGAAAATGTTGACTCGATCGACGTAATTAACATCAAGTGCATCTCAATGATAGATCCGAGACAATCGACGCTCACCTGAAGTTCTTTGACGCGTACCGAGCGAAGAGCAAGCCGCTGGGAACATTGCCTCTATTTCACGTGCTGAAAAGACACAATCATATTAGCAATGTTCTATCAATTGGCACTGAGGATACCTCGCAGAGTGATCCTTTGCTAGCCTTCATTCAGACATGTGTGAATAATCAGGGATTTAGTTAGTTCTACCACATTCATCCCTCCTGATTGACTAAAGTAGTAGCTAAATCATACACAGAGATGAGAGGCAATCTTTAGAATACGGCAAATCCATACATTAGATCTCAGAATATCACACTACGAACACATTATCATTTTAGTTCTAAGCATAGACATTTCTTATATCCCCCGAGCATCTCTCTAGAACCAGGGCGCGAAGACTATAAACAGGGAAAGTGGGTAAGTTATATTATAGATATTGGTTCCCTAGTGGGACTTATCACCGCCCAAATTGCTTCAATAGGTCCCTTAATGGCCAGATCTAGCTTTTCTTGTCATAATTCTACATGTTTCCCTCGCTTTATTAATCCACCGTATCTTCGGTGGTGCTTTGAATTTTATTCTTCCTTTGGGCGGCAAGGACGAAGTGTGCCCCGGATGAACGGAACGTATGACCTGGGCTGAAATGGGAGACAAGGCTTGTTTAATATGATTTCAATAAATTATTCAAAAACTAGAAACATAACATCTTTAACAGAGAGCTCCTAAGACCTGATCGACTAAATTGGATATCGGAAAGACCTTAACTGGAAGTCGGTCAAGTCCATAAACTCTTCGTTCTCCATGGCCTGAGGCACATCTGTGCGAACAAAACTAGGTCAGTAAACTCAAGCTCCAAAAGTTCATAGAATCATGTGAGAAAATGCCTTCTGGTTGTGACCTGTCTTGATCTTCTCTTTTCTTGTTCCAGGTGTAGTGAATAAGTCCATAAAGTCCAATGAGAATCGCGTTGACGATGAAGAATGCGAGCATAGTGTATTTTGCAGGCTAGTCATCTCATTAGGGTCTCTCTTCAATCAAAATATTGGTACTCACATAGTAATTGGGCGCATCCTTGGCTCTGTATGTTTGAGGGCCAATGATATTGCCAACTGCATAACCTAGTTGGTAGACACAGCCGAAAGCAAATTTCTTGGTACTCCCAGCTACCCCAGAAGTCATAAAAGTGATGATAAATAAAATAAAAACCGGGACCGTTTTCTATCAGCGAACTGTAGCTGTAAGATGGTGGACGGAGACGGGATCGCTTACATTGGTAAACCAAGACATATCCACCATAGCGAGCACCAGTGTTGCTACTAGGAATACCAAGCATCATGGCACAGCCCACACAAGCGAGAAAAAGCGTGAAGATACCAGCAAAGGTGCGGCTAGTTTTTTTGGCAACAAACAGTGCAAGGAATGTGCCGGCCACTTGAGACGCACCAGAGCCCATGTTCAAAAGTTGTGTTGTAGGCACATCATAGCCAAATCCTGTCACAATTGTTGGTCCTGCGTAGACGGTTAGCTTACAATAAGCTCTAGGCCACTTTGTAAGACATAGATGACGCGTACCGAAGGCAGTCAAGCCACCGTTGGGCATTCCAGATGCCACCAGCAAAAAGAAAATAAGATATAACCGAACATCCAATAGCGCCTCTCTGAGCTGTGGCCAGCTGAATTCCCAAACTTCTGTACCGGTTTTATTCTGTCGCACGCGCTCAAGAGCAATGACTTTTTCTTCTTCAGTCAACCACTTGGCGTCGGTCGGCGAGGCGACAAGGAAGAAAAATAAGAAAACTCCAGTCACGAAAGTCATGGACCCATATAGTATGAAAAGACCTTGCCATCTGAAGCTGCTTGCATGATAAATAGCCCATGCAAAGAAACCACCGAAGACAGCCGCCCATCCAGAAGTAGTGTACCACAGTGCGACTCGTGTGACTTGCTCTTCTTTGGTATAGAAGGCGCCGGTGATGTAAATAGCCACCGGAACTGTAGAGACCTCAATGGCGCCCAAGAAGAATCGGACTGCAGCTAGACTGGAAAAGTCATGGCAGAATGCATGAAATGCGACTATCACACCCCATATCATGCACATAACGGAGAGGTATTTGGACAAAGAGACGCGTTGCATGAGGTAGGTGGCAGGTATATCACCTCCCAGATAGCCAAAACTGGATTAGAGCGTTGTTGTAAGTAAACATGCATGGTGTTCTGTGATCTGAACATAAAGAAGAGAATGGGTTCCATACTAAACTAGTGAGCCTAGCCACGAGTATTGACTAGACGTAAGGTTGGTGTCTTCCTTGACTCCCATGATTGCAGCAAATGACAGACTGTTTTTGTCCATAAGCTGAAGGCAGTATATCACAAAGATCATAGGCAAAATTCGCATGTCGATTTTCCATCTTACTCGTCTCGCTTCCGGCGAGTTGGGGTCGAAGGAAACAGCACTATTTGCGAGCAAGTCCAGGGCCTTGTCTCTGCCTTTCACATTGATATAGTCGCAAGATGTCGCATCTTCGGCTCTCTCTAGCTCAATTCCATCGTTCTTAGAAACCACAGTCAGCAAATCTTCTGATCAAATGTGAGGTATCTTGCAATAAGTTAACCTTAGCGGAGATCGTCTCAGGGTGGGACATGTCTGAGTCAATGGCAGATATACCAATGTCATCGCTGTTCAGGTACTATAAACATTACTTAAGATATATTATTCACCGTAGATGACGGAAATGATAAGAAGTTGATGCTTCCAAATGAGTTGGTTGATAGCGGTGGAGGTACATAGCCGAAGACGCCACAGATAAGCAGGGGAAGGGGAGATAGACGCTCAGACACGGCTGCGCTTCCGACTGTTCATAACCGGATATCTCGAATTTTAGCATACATATACCCATAGGCGGACTGTAACCGTTCCGAGATATTGGTCCTTGGTAGTGAAGAAGGGTGTCTTGTGGTTTCGTGTCCGTCGGGACATTTCCGGTTTCCCCATGGACGGGTACTGTAGGTAGTACTTTGCCGAAATGATGAGGAAAAATTGACACGATAAAAGTGTAACGCAAGCGCTCTTCATCCATTTGAAACAGTGAGAGTCAATAACAAAGGTCGTCAAAAAAAGAAATTTCCCGAGTCACGTTTACAGTCATGGCTGAACGATTAGTCCCGGCTATTTCTCTCAAAGGTGAGCCACTAAATTGTCTACTTTTGCCACTTCACTGACAGCCCATTCAAGACTTCGATAAACGCAAAGACTATATCACCCAGCAGCTCATAGAAGCAGCGGAACATACTGGTTTCTTCACATTGGTAGACCATGGTATTTCGAAGGAAGATGTAGAAGCCCAATTCGCTATCTCGAAGGCATTTTTTGACCTTCCTGCCGAGCTCAAGGCCAAGACTCCGCATGATAATATATCCAACAATGGATGGGAGTACAAAGTAGGTGAAAAGGTTTCCGTCATTCGGCAAGTCTCTCTCTGACTCCTCACGTTAGGCCCAACTGCGTCCCAGCACAGGCACATACGACCAAAAGGAATCACTTTGGCTGCAACGCAAGTCGCATTGGCCAAGTGATAAAGATGTACCCCATTTCAGACAATCGACCACAGAATTCATGAGCAAATGTGCGGAAATTTCTGATCAAGTCTGTATGTGCGGAAGTCAACACTTGTTTCTCCTCGATGATTACGGTCGATCTGGCTAATTTTACCCTCTAGTATCATGTTTTGCTATTGCCCTGGGATTTGAAGAGGATTACTTCAAAATTGCGAATGATCCAAGTCAGCCAGACTGTTTGACGCAACTCCGACTCATCCACTATCCTGCTTCTGAAGATGCAGTTGGCACATGGAGAGCCGGAAGTCATACCGACATCGGATGTCTCACTCTCCTATTTCAGCGTGATGGAGAAGATGGCTTAGAAATATGCCCTGGTAGAGAAAGCCACACAAGCTTTGCTATTGGCGACACATTTACACCTCTTCCTGCAGAGACTGGCCCGATTGTTGTCAACATTGGCGACATGCTCAGTAAGTGATCAAGTATTGGAACTCGAGACTTAATCGCTAACACATATCACCATTTTCAAGTGGCTTGGTCAGATGATCGTTTGAAATCGAACTTCCACCGAGTCCGCGCCAAAGATGTTGGAAAACCTTCGTCTCGATATTCTATCGCCTACTTCAATCAAGGTAGACGTGACTTTGTCCTGCAAGGCCCTTTGAAAAAATAGTAAGCTACTAGCATTTTCGTTCTCTATAGGATCGCTTTGCTAATACATTAATCACTAAGTCCGCCAATGACTGTTGGCGAGTGGTTTGCTCAGTCTGTCGCGAGGAACTTTGGTAGCCAAGCCAAGGTGGCCGCATGAGTTGCACATAAGAAGTGTCTTTACAAATGTAGGATGATCTAGGATTCCAAATACTTATGGCATATTGCATGCAGTCTTACTCTAATTCCTCTTGAGCAGCTGTTCAAGGTGCTCGGTGTTATTTACCTTGCTGTGGGTCTATGCGAAGTGACGTAGGCAGAGAAAGTGTTCTTCAGAATAAAAAAAATATGGGTCAGACTTTCATAAAGAGCTAGTATTAGCGATTGACCCTCCTTCGTAACAATTTACCTATCAGGAGTTTGGCGTTAGTCCAGAAAGGCAGCATTTCGCCCCTATCAGTTCCTCCCCCGCACCCCGGTCCAGATTTATCCCAGTCATTCACCTTCATTTGAACCTGTCAAAGCCCCTCACGTCTCCTTTTCCATTCCAATACAACAAATTCTATATCATAGCATCAATGCCAAGGCCAAAAGTACGCCCTGAGAACCGTCAAAGATCTTATCGCGCATGTCTGGCTTGCAAAGCTTCGAAGATAAGATGCGATGCTCGAGATCCGTGCGGTGCATGCCTCAGACGCGGTCAATCTGCCTCTTGCATCTATTCAGGTGTCGACCGTCGAAGGCGGGGCCAAAGCAATGCTCTCCCTGCTCTTTCCCTGTCAGAAGATGCATCGTTGCGGACCAATGCCACGAGTGGACGGCCATCACCTAGCGGATCTCCGCTTCCGTTAGACACTCCTTTTGCTGTTGATCTAAGGATTCCTGATCCCAGCAGTATGGCGGACCCGGCGATCTCTGTCGCAGAAAGTGAACATACTCTCAATTCACCCTCCCGCGAGAAAGGTCTGGCATCACCGTAAAGCTCCTCAACGTCGCAAAAGCTGACCACCAGAAATTTAGTCCATGTCGGAGAGACATCGTCGTTGTCTTTCCTGTTCTTCTTAAGAAGGACTGTCAAATCTTTTGTTGGGTCGGTTCCTTTTACCGATGGCGAACGCCATCACTTCACGGTAGAATTAGATTCTAGAAGCTCGAGGGTCCAAAGTCCACAGCCATCACCGGCAAGGCTTTACTCGCTATTGGACTCCTATTTTGAAGCTGTGGGTGCCTTCTCTCTGCAATGGTACGCTAGCCATTATACCTAATCTATCGGGCAGACCAGCGGTATTTTGGACCTATTTACGGCAAATGAAATTGACTTTCTCATATCCGAACGACCATTTTCTCAGGATAACACAACTCACTCACCCCCTAAGAGTGATGATGCCGCTGCTCTTGACGTTGCTCTAGCTATTGGGGCACAAGCACGAGGACTGAAGGATGATCAACCGTTTTCCGAGGCTTGTTTCTCTCGAGCCCGTATGATGGCATTCCAGGATATGCTGATGTCGCAGAGCCTTGGCAAGATCCGTCTTTTTATTCTTCTAGCCTTTTACGGGCTTGGGGCTTGTAACAGAAACTCAGCGGCAATGTTCCTTGCGGTTGCGGCCAAGGCTGCCGTGATCTTAGACCTTGAAAGCTCTCAAGACGATGAGACCTCCGAGGAAGCGAGCACTAGGTGAGCATGCTAATCAGAAATTGTTTCCAACTTCTAGGAATTATCCTAATATAGCATTATCAGAAAGAGGTTATGGAACAGCGTGCGGAATCTAGACATTCTGAGCAGCTTTATAATTGGAAGACCCAAAAGTTTGCCGCTCAAGAGTCAGAGTGCAGCAAAGCCGAAAGCTTTCAGTGAGGATGAAAGTGTATCCACCCAGTCAACTTTTGCCGCAATGGTCGACGCCTGCATTTTCCTAGACAATATTGTCGATACACTCGGCAAAAATCACAATATATTACACACCCCTACGGCCGAAGACTTACTCCAAGAACTTCTCCGTTGGAGCCGGAACTTACCCCAAAACATACGCCAATTTACGTCTTTGACACCAAGTAGCTGCAATTTGGAGCCTGCCGACCGACAATTCCTCATGGGAAGCATGCATCTTTCGTGCGTGTACTATTTTGCAGTCATACTCATTACACGACCATTTCTAGTAGCCTACTTGACTTCAAGGTTACGGGGCAAAGCACCCGATCACCTGATTAATGATCCTGATCAGGCATCTGATATCAAGCTCAAAAACAACAAGGTATCCAGGATATCACAGGTCTGCGTGAGCTCAGCAATCACTATGGTTGACATGTGCATCAAAGCCAAAGACGTCAACTTCACTTTCGGGAATTTCTGTCTGATTGAGTGAGTGTAGACCTTGGGAATCACCATGGATTCGACAATGCATGCTAAACAACTATTCACAATAGAGCATGGTTATTCGGGGCGGGACTAGTCCTCGGGTTTTCCATGTTTGCGGGCGAGCCACGAAAGGACATCGAGGACTCCTTCCAGAACGGATGCATAATTCTGGCAGACATTGCCCTGAGTAGCCCACAGGCTCAGCTTTACTATAATATCCTTATCAACTTCGCCGAAGCTGTGACCAAATATCGACAGAGAGTGGCCGATGAGATGCACCATGCAGTTCAGCATTATCTGGATCGCATTCTGGTCATTGAACCTACAGCAACGCATAGAAATGTTCAACAGAGACATAATGGTGACATCCAGGATTTTGGAAAGTCCTGGGATGATTGTCTGGCTAGCAACCCCGAGTTACATACCGAGGCTGATCCGCGACCCATGCTTCAATTGCCTGCATTTCAGGACCAGCAAGACTTTGGGGCTGGGGGTGATATTCTGTATTCTGCATACTTCTCACCTGATTTTGAGTCATTTGACCAGTTATTCTATACAATCGAATAAGATCTTGGGCGCCAGCCTTTACCTCAACTAGGATATGACGCCGCTGGCGCTTCATTGACCAAGAACCATCCCATCAGTGGTTCACCAGAAGGTGCTCCAAGCCCTTGTTTAGATCTTTCAAGTTGTCCAACATTGTTCTTCCATGATAAAAATAGCCGCATACTTCAAATTAACCGCTCTTTAAGTTCAGAGAATGGGATCACCGCCAAAAGTGTTGGGCAGTCTAGCCTCGGACCCCCCACACGCCGGGGCTCTTCACGATCAGAAACACTCTTTTGCCGTGGGGTTGGGTGTACATTTTATTAGGGTGGGAGTTTCCGCATAATACCTGTTACAGATCAGGAGTAAATCAGGCATCGTTTGAAGTATGGACTCTTTGAATGAGCTATTTCAAGAGAACAAATAGAAAGTGAAATATAAATCTCAATACGCATCTCGATCTTATGAGAAAGAAACAACTACATCAATTGGAAAATGCGAAAGTCCTAGTATGGCTTCACACCCGCAAGCTTCAAGAGCTTGTCACTCATTTCGGGGAGCTCCAGAGGCACTTCTCGGTCCCGTGGATCCCGACTTCCATCAGGAAGTATGGCCCAATAATTCCGCACGATGACATTGTCGTGAGGCCAATGCGTGGTACCACCGTACTTGCGGAATACTTCAGCCTTGCAATCAACTGTCTCTGCGGACGCCAACTTGGCGGGTGATAGGGCAACATAAACGACTGTGCGGATGGTGTTGCTGGCTTCGGTGGGCTCGGAGCCATAGTGAATGGTGCGGCTGTCCCACACAATCAAATCCCCGATGTCTGCGCAGACCTTGCGGGGGCGTAAACCTTTCTGCGCAAACCATTCGAGCTTGGTGTGGTCAAACCAGTAAAGATCTTTGGAGGTCCATTCACACGGGTCTGTTTCAGTGTCAAAGTACTCATCAACCAATCGATGAGAACCAGGATAAACCACGAGTCCGCCGTCTTCTGGACCCGCTGTGGAGAGATTAACGATTCCTTGAACACAATGCATACCGCGCCGCAGAGGACTTTGATCGACGTGTTCCCAAGCACCCTTCCGCGGAACGTCTTTGCGGTTGGGAAATGTAATGTTCAGACTGTCGAAGCTGGCTATGAGTTCATCTGTGCCCCAAATCTTGGTGAAAGCATCAATGACACCAGGCTCCATGCGAACATCCCACATGAATTTTTCATGGGCAATGGCGTAGGCGCTAAATGTGTTGATTGAGCTCTGAAGGGGAAGGTTCTTAGCCACCCACGTCTCTGGGTTTTCGTAGTCCAGCTCGGTGTTTCCGAAGGACTTGAGCCATTGACGGGCTTTTCGTTGATATTCAAGGGCTTTTCCACGTGGGATTGCACCTTTTATCACGGCATATCCATTTTCGCGAAGCTCGGCGCGCCAATCACCAATGGGAGCATCCACACTACCAACACAATGGTATCAACAGATATACCCAGGGCTTACCAAGGTCGAGAGCAGAAAACAATAATTCGGATGGCTTACATCGCATTTTGAGGCTCTTGCATGAGCTTTCTTGGCTGGATAACCGTCGTCGCAGTAGTGCTCATAGTGAAGGTTGGAGGGAGCAACTTTTGTAGAAGTGGACTCGACTTCGATTGTTTGAGACGTGATTGTAAGAGGTTGGGTTTGAAAATGCTATTGACTTATGTGGTTCTTGATCCCTTAAGGGCCCTACAAGTTCATCATATTTGCCAATGTAATCCGAATGCCATCGGATATGTTCCGCCGATTGTTACTTCGGCATTCGGCCCGAGTGCATGCCATTGGATATGCTCCAGGGATCTGTACTTCGGCATTCGGGCCGAATGCAAAGATGTATTGGGGACCAGTCATAGCCATTACGATACTACGTAGGCTGCAACAGGTTAACAGAACTTTGATTGATTGATTGATTGATCGGGGACCAGCCCAATTCATCACACCCCAAGCCCCCGCATTCTCGATTAAGGTTTGACAGAAGATTTGGGTTTCTCAAAGATAGAGGTGCATTTTCCGAGCCCACCTGGGCAATAGATAACGAAGCAATGAATTGGCCTGTGAAGTGCCACTAACCGCCGGACATATTAAACCGATTTTGTCTGCACTTCAGCAGACGTAAACAATAATCTTAGTTTCCGGCCTCCCCCTAAAGACCAAGGATCTATAATATCCCCGCTATGTCTGCTTCCATGGATCAACCAATGCCGGCGGCAATACCTTGTGACACGAAGACGGAGATGAAATTGAAGATAAAGGACGGCGATGATGCTTTCGAGGCGCTGGAACACTACCAAGCTCAGCTAGGCCTCCCCTTGTCACCTCAGGAAGATCGACGTATTCTTCGCAAGATAGACCTCTGGTATGTAATGTTTGAAGATGGGCTAGATGCCCCTTTTATAACCAGATGTTGACTGTTTACCAGCTTGATCCCGCTCCTCTTCGTCTCCTATATTTTTCAATACCTTGACAAGCAGGCGATGAGCTATAGCGCCATTCTGGGTCTCCGGACTGATATGCACCTGAAGGGACAAGATTATTCTTGGGCAGCTAGTCTGTTCTACTTTGGGTACCTCTCGGCTTCGGGGGCCGTGGCCTTGTGTATCATTCGTTTGCCCGTTGGCCGCTTCATGTCGGCGGCTATGTGAGTATCGTTGAGCTCCGAATACTCGTGTTCTTGACTGATGCATAACTTTGTTGATAAAGGGGTCTTTGGGCAGCTATCCTTTTGTTGACTATACTTTGTGAAAGTGCGTCCGGCTTGTGGGCCGCACGTTTCTTTTTAGGATTCGTCGAAGCAAGTATTGCTCCTTCTATGAGCATCATTATTTCGATGTGGTACAAGAGATCTGAACAGGCTATTCGTCAGAGTGCGTGGTTCATGGGCAATGTGACTGGGGGCCTGGTCGGCGGCCTGTTGGGATATGGAGTTGGGCACATTCATACTATGGCAGCATGGAAGGTACGAAAGCCAATCGATATATATTGCATGTCATTTCCCAGATACTAACCCCATGATCCTTTTTGACAGGCGCTTTTCCTCCTCTTTGGTTGCACGACTTTAGCTTGGTCAATGATTTGCTACTTTACCATTCCAGACAGCCCTATGACGGCAAAGTTTCTTTCAGAAGAGGACCGCGTCAAAGCTGTGGAGCGCGTCCAGGATAACTTAACCGGTATTAAAAGCCACCAGGTTAAGCGATACCAAGTCATTGAAGCTCTGCTGGATCCAAAGACCTGGTTCCTTGCTCTGTTCCAATTCGCACAAAACGTGCCAAATGGAGGTGTTGGCTCGGTAAGCTCTTATATGTCCTTTAGGTTAGTTTATGAGCTTCATCTGATTTATTTCCCTTGAATAGTTTGCCTCTATTGTCGTGGAGGGTTTTGGGTTCACCACCCTTGATACCCTTCTTGTGCAAATGATTGCAACTGGATTCCAGATGGTTTTTGTCGTGATATCCACCCTTGGAAGCACTTATTTGACAAATACTCGTACTTACTGGATGACATTCAACACGACCATGGCTCTGATTGGCACCGTCATGATCCGGCAGATTGACGCCGACCACATTTGGTCTCGCTTCATGGGATATTGTCTCATCATTGGGTTCTCGGCTAATTTCCCTCTCACTATGACGATGATCACTAGTAACACAGCCGGCTTTACCAAGAAATCTACTGTCACCGCGGTGGTATGTTATTCCCCTCCCTCTTCCATCTCGCACATCATTGAGCAGTATTAATAAGCTGATTCTGACATCCGATCACTCGTGCAGGTCTTTGTGGCGTACTGTCTCGGCAACATTGTCGGCCCTCAGATAATGTTTGCGAGGGAAGCACCCAGCTATCCTTCAGGCTTCGCTGGAATGCTCGTTTGCTTTGCTTGCTCTGCAATTTTGAGCATTTCTCTAAGATTCTATTGCATTTGGGAGAACAGGAAGCGAGACGCTGCTGCCACCGCAGCGAGAGAACACCCTGAGGACAGCGCTTCTATGCCTTCAGCCTATTTGAACCTTACAGATAAGACAGACCGAGAGTTACCCCAGTTCCGCTATGTATACTAGTCTTTGGAAACTGGGAATGCCTCTAGGGCTAGCCATATTATCGAAGCCTGCCTTGAATCGGATTAGAAACACGTTCTGTGAGAAGATAGAATATGCAGAATTTCTACCTGTACATCAACTGCCACAAGCAACCTTGGCGTTTCACCTGCGCGATACGAATAGGAATCCTGTCTGCTGCTTCACTCAATGAGGAAGAACGTGGAAACCCTACAGTTGATTGCCATTAAGTCAAGATTGCACTAGACTTTAGCTCTGGGAAGTATGTCTCCGTTAATTGCCATGGGTACGGGAGGGCACTCCTCTTCAATGTGCTGTGTTGATAAGTGTGGCTTTCCAAACACGGGTCTTGAGTTTTTACTATACTTGTTAAGCGTTCGATACTGTTTGTACTACAATACGGGAAAGTGGGAGTCAATGACACAAATAAGCAGAACGGATTCAACATTGCTCAGCTAGCCGGCCAGTAGAAACCGGTCTTGAATTTTTCTTCGAGGATGTATTCGCTACGATCTGGTGAATGCTACGAGATTGGCTCACTTAGCGTGTGCCCATTTCCCCATAGTATGGCACTGTAATTCTGGAAGTACGATTCTGCAACACGTCGTAAATTTACCACGGATCTCTCAACGATACTCGCCCAAGAAAACAGGTTTAAAGGGACATGTTGAATACTAATCAACACACTGAATCCTCAGGTTGACACTATCTATTATATGGAATGCTCACCAACCAGGTGTGAACATATAAATTAAGACCAATAATAGAGCGCCAGGTCCAGCCGAGCCAAAAGAAAACCCCAGGTCTCGGCCGTCCGCATTCAAATTGAATCACGCTTTATTCTGTCTTCCTCGAAATCGCTTTTGATCTGTGCTGCAAGGTCATCATTGGTTAAAACGTTCCAAGCAGTGACAGCCATGCCCTTGGCCGCATGAAGACACAGATCGTGCGATTCCTTCTGCCCCGCTACCGCAGTAAAGCCGACAGTGTGGTTATTCGAACCCGGTCCAGCTGGAACACCGACGTATGCCTGGATACCGGGACATGCGTATGTGACATTTCCTAAGACCAACAGTCAGTTCCTGGGAACTTGCACCTAGTTCCAAACACTCCTTCATGACGGAATGCGGCAAGTTAACTGACCCTGATCTGTCGAGCCCGCCACGCCCGTTGAGTTTAAGTCGCACTTCACCAGGCAGCCCATTTTGGTCATCGCATCCGCGTAGCCTCGAGCCAAAGCCTTGTTTGGTCGAAGATCAGCGTAGGTATTGTTCCTTTACAAGGTAAGCTCAGGAACAGTCTGTGTTCATCCCACAGAATAGTCAGGGCGGTCACTTACACCTGGATACTCACGTCACAACCGGTCTGCAGGCCAGCACCTTTGAAGCAGTTTTCCACCCGCTCTTGGAGCACTTGCGCCATCTTCAGTGAGGGAGATCGCACATAACAGTCCATAGCAGCCAAGCCGGGAATAACGTTCGGGCGGTCTCCACCGTCGGAGATGACACAGTGCACTCGGTTAGATGGGTGCATCTGCTGACGGAGAACTCCGATACCATTGTATGCCAGCACGGCGGCATCAAGTGCGTTCGTACCTTCCCATGGTGCCATGGCAGCATGAGCTGTCTTGCCTGTGAACCCAACACTAAATTTGATGCTCGCCGTGGTAGGCATGTATGCATCGCCCTCGAAGCCGACACACTCCATGAATGGCCCAGGGTGAACCATCATGCAGGCATCGACGTCAGCGTAGGCCCCAGCAGCAACGATGGGGATCTTGCCTCCAAGGCCCTCCTCTGCAGGTGTGCCTACGAGGCGAACACGACCGGAGATCTCATTTCGCTTGATCATTTCCGCCACTCCCAAGAAGGCGCCAATAGACATCATCGCGATGAGATTGTGGCCACAGGCGTGTCCAATTCCCGGAAGAGCGTCATATTCGGCGTTGAAAGCCACCACCCTGCCACTATTTCCATATTCGGCAACGAAGGCAGTCTCCAGATTAAATGCGTGACGAGTAACCTGGAAGCCAAGTTCCTCAAGCATGCGGGTGATGTTATCGTGGGCCAAATACTCCTTGAAGCCCAATTCCGGGTTGCCATGAATCTGCAGAAAAATAATCAACAACTACCATGTCCCATCCTTTCGCGTTTTTCATTTCAAACGTTGCTCTTTCGTGCTGAACGCAGGAAATTTTGCATTGTGGTGATACCTTTTGGTTGATCTCCCATAGTCTCTCGGCTTGAGAGTCGATGATTTGTTGAATATTCTTGATCTCATCGTTGACAGCGGAGGGTACCATGTGGTGCTTGCCCATGCTGTTGTCCTCGTTCCTCTCCGTCGTTTGGAATGTCATGTTAAACTTAGGAAGTATGTGAAAAGAAATTTAAAGCTGGCGTCCATAAACCATCCAAGATCAAGTAACCAATTGCTCCGGTAGCTAACTAATAATTTTATAATCTGCAGACTGAATCACCTCTATCGCAAGAACTGATCTTCCCTTCTCAGCAGAATGCGATTGGTGGCCTTCGAACAAGACTTGAAATCGGCTTCGGCTTCGGCCCAGCCGAATCCGAACCTCGAAGATCGGTCCGCTGGATAACAATTTCTATGACGAGCGATCATTATCCAATTGAAGATATTTCTTTAGTGCCTTCTTTGGTGGGGTCATTACGCAGCTATAGCCATGGCTTTGCCCGGGATTGCTTCACCCGAATGAATGATATTCAGTATGTGACTGCCGCTAGGTACATGCTAAACTATGTTCTACAAATTTGACTGAGTATGATTGACGCAGCATCCACAAGATATCCAGCGTTCAGCGAATCTTCCCATTGATGTTGTTCGACAGAAGTTGTTTCTGAGCACCTTGTTTCTGAGCACCTCGGGCTTTTCAAGCAGAAGAGAACGTTCCCATAGCAGGAAACCCATTATCCCATGTCTGTCGACGTTGTCAGCCCCAGGGCTATCAAAATTGCCCAGATGTAATTGGTATATGGGGTCATCTTACCATCTCGGCAAGGAGACCTGGAATATCGAACAGCGCATTCTGTGAGATCTCACCCACTGAGTTGTCAGATACTCCGGAATTTCCATGTGGTTGCGGTAGGAAAGCCATCCTGTCAACATTCCGCAGGATCTCACTGGCTGTTTCTAAGGCACCTGCTTCCTCAAAGATCTCGGCAGCCTGTCGCAACCTAATGAGGGCCTTTTTGCAGTCAACATGCATATGAGCTAGAGGCAAGATCTTCAAAATGAAACTGATAGCGTAATTGGTCGGTATAGCAATGTAGTCCTATGAGACGAAGTCACCGATCAGAGCTGGACAAGGGAATGCTGCTAACTTGGTTTTTGTAACGCTTACCATCGCGAATTTAAAGGACTTCCTAAGGCGTGTCGAGTCAAATTGAGACCGAATTATAAGACAGGCGGTCTCGAAGGCCCTTTGTATATACTCTATCCGAGCTGGGTCGGAGTCCAAATCATGAGGTAATTCTAGTCCTTGGAGTACCAAGCCGTTGATGTATCTTCGGTTATGGGAAATGGTATTAGCCCATGTCAGTCGGGTGTGGAAGATTAAGAGTCATGTATTGATCTATATCACTCACAGTTTCATGAAACAGAACGGTAGAAGAAGCCGGTTTCGATCTTGTCTATCCGAGAATGTTTGGTAGAGCGGATGAAGTCTGTTGTTCGTAGTGTGAAACCATTTTTCGACATCTTGGTCTGCGAATGTGAGAAGTGCGGCAACCTCAGGCAACAAGGGTCGGGATTTTAATTGAGAATTCTTCAATTTTGCTGTAAGATCGGCTAGTAATTAAAATATCAGCATAATATATTTATGCAGAATTAGATGTATAGTGCTTACCCGTTATTCTGAAGCCTTCGATGTACGTACAAATCCGGTCATCCACAGGGCGACGAAATGGAGACGTGAGGAGGCTCGTAGAATAACACAGGCAGTCTCTCATTTCGTTGAACATGAAAGGTCTGCTGAGATTGGTTCTGCGAAGGGTTAATGTGAGCTCCTCTGGAAAGCATGGATCGATCTAGCTTACTGTAAGTTTAAGCAGCATAGTGTGAGCCAGCACCTGGCACGCGCAACAAGCTCAGGTGTGTGAATAGTAGATGGGTCGCTCAAGATCATAGCATCCTCGTGTAGCTGAAGCTCGGTGCATATTGAGGCGATGTACCCATAAAGCCGTGTTCTGCCTGCCCAAGCCGCGAATATCATCATCGCATTCACGCTTAATATATCAGGTAATGGTCCTTGGAAAGTGCCCTTTATCAGTTGATCGGCTCGCGAAGCATAATAATGATGTCTTTCAGGCTTGATAGCCTTTGATGCGATGGCGCTTATCACGGCCGACATTAACGGGTTGTGCTTCACGGTCTCCTCAGTTGAACATAGTTGATCATCTATGACAGCGATCAAATCACGGCAATTTTCGACGAAGAATGCATATAACTCGCTCCATTCAGTCTCCGCAGGAATGTTGTTCGGGGTGATATCCAACGTCTCGTCGTCACATGATGTCGAAGGTACAGCTTCCTGTTGTGAGAAGCCCACCAGTGGGGCTGGCGAGGAGGATTGTGCACGTAGGCGGATTCGGTTGCTCTCCGGGCTTCTCACAATTGAGGCCCGCAGCTCCTGAATCTCGGACCGAAGCTCTCGCTCCAGAGAATCTAATCGCTGCTCCAAAAGGTCTGTTTTGGTGCTGGCATACGATCAGCACTCTGTGCCACGACAAGGAAAAAGTGACGCACGGGGACCCTGATCTCCTTTGCGCAGCTCTCGGGGAAACAAAGATACATTCCGCATCATTTGCCCGACATCGTTGACAGGGTCTTCTACTGGGACCTGCACATTTGAGTTTCTGTCTCCTACATCGCAAACATGCCGAGGCCGCCCTTTGAGAATGAGATCGTGACTAAAGAATATCTTATACGTCATATCGAAGGACTTACCTTGTTGGGTCAGTCATGGGGAAACGTGTTTAAGCCCGTGGTAGAGAGGTTGACATTCGCGGCTACGGATGCTGCAGGCGAGGACCTCGCTGATACGCGTAGGTAGGTGGCCTTGGGGTTTTACCCGGTACAGGTTCTGACGGAACTCCACCCACTCCACAACTCTACAGCGTTTCCCTCGCGCCGAATTGGTCTCAGGCTTTCTTCCTGGAGGGGTTACTGATGCTGCAACGGACAGAAGAGATGAATGGGAACCATAAACTGATGAGATTAAATTCCGTGAGATGCACGGAGGAGAGAAAACCTAAGGATACAAGATTGGGAAAGAAAGAGCTTGAGTCCCGTGACCCCAAAGTTTGGCCCAAGGCTGCTTTCTGCCCGTCAGTTTCTTGGCGAGGTTATGGCTCCCAATCCATCTTGCTGAGGTCCAGCGCCAATATTTGCTCAGGAGAATAGTGGTCCAGGGTGATGGGGCGTTCGAGCGGCGGCTTGCTGCTGGAAAGGCGGCCGTTTCTGGCGCCAGAATCTGTCATTTTCGGCGTCATTTTCACAGGTCCCTATGTTCTATATGTAGATTCCCGTCGACTACTGTCAAGCATTTTAAATATGAAGATCAGTTGATTAGCCACAAATATCAACAAGCTATAACATATGTACCGTATCAAGCTATATACAGCATTTCAACAAAGATCAGGGTATCTAGTCTTCAACGAGCGGAGCAAATGCAGACACAAACGCAAATGCAAAAAAAGAAACTAGAAAAATTAGAGGTAAGGATATGGGACAAAAGCCATACTAGTTCCCAAAACCAAGGAGAGAACGAAAGAGAGACGACCACTGGGCCACTCGATGCAGGGGAGGTCATTCTGATGCTGTGCAATGCAATGCAATATTGAATCATCACTCTGGAATCATGGTATCATAGGGAGGGGCAAACGCAGTAGGGGTATTGAAGCAAGCAGCACCAGTGCTGTCTCGCATGTTCTGTATGGATGTATCAATAAAATATCGAATGGATGATAATGATAATGATGATAAGAAGCCCCGATCTCAATCTCAAACGGAAACGGGGAAGGAGGGTAGGGTAGGGGCTCTAGGCGTTAGGCAGAGGAGGTCTTAGAGCGGAGACACGCCCAGCGTCGTCGTGAGCCATCAGGTGAGGGAGAATAATTCGAGCGCGAGAGGGAATTTGAGCTTGTATGCTTGCTCAGAAAATCCAAAAGCTGCACCTGCGACTTTCCAGTCGGGGAAACAGATTCTTTCCCCGTTTCCTCATCTTCAGGAATATCCATGCGGAACCGTCGCACGCTGCCCTCCCGCTCGTGCTTCCCTTCTTCAAAGAATAAAGTCCTCGACTCGCGAGTCTGTAAACAACGCGGTGCAACACGACGCCAAAGACCGCGCATACCACTACTCGCCCGATCGATCTTCTCGTACTCGCGCCGGCGAGTCGAGGGAGAAGTCCACTCTATCACCGTCGCCGGGACGTGAATAGATGAAGTCGATGGACTGTGATGATGTTTCGCTGGGCTAACGTTACTATGGCTAGGCATAGTGTAGGATCGGTCCCTAGAAGCGAGGAACGGCGGCGCAGCTTCAGGCTCGAAACGGAAGCTGGCGAACGAAGCAGAAGGCGCGATCGGGGAGGACGGCGCTGAGTTTCCCTTTTCTTCTGATGCGCGCGAATCCCGGCGTGGGTAGGTTGTCGACGATGCTCTTCGATGTAGGGATGGTTGGCGTGGTCGTGTATGTGTATGCACTTCTGCCGAGGGGTCTTTCGAGGTTGAGGCCTCGTCTTGGAATAGTCGACATGAGTCTCGGTGTAGAGCTATCAGGGACTCTCGCCGTTCCTGTGGTGAAGTCCGAGTCGTTGGAACTGGTACGATGGCTGGGTTTGGAACAGTTCGACGTGCTGAGTGTAAAGAGCTGCGTCGACTGTTTGGGCTTGATCGCACCGTGCTGCGTGAGGCAGAGCGCGAGTGGCTCTGGCTGTGGCCTCGACTGTGACTGCTTGAGTTTGTAGCGGATGCTGGCCGTGATGCTGTTTCCCGCCGGCTACGCTTTGTTTGTATGGGCGAGGTTGGCGACTTGGCACCGGTGTCTGGGCCTGTACCTCTAGCCGTTGTAGCTGTATCTGTACCTGGCGGGTCGATCCGTTTCACTCTAGGAGACATCTCAGATGGCGATGTAGTGGACTCAGTGAACTCGACACATTGTGTAATCTCAGTAATGATGGGCTGGCAGGTCTTGATGTCTAGACGAGGCTTCATGTGGACAGGGAGGCATGTGACGGAAGCCATATGGGAATGTCTATAGACCGAGCACGGTCACAGGTACGTTGGTTCCCGTGTTGGTCTCACCTGCAGGGCTGCAGGGGTATGATAAGATTAGGGTTAAGTATTTAAAGGAGGGGTGCACTCCATCTTGGAGGAATAAGGAAGGGAAAAAGAAAGAAAGAAATCTGATCAAAGAATAGAAAGAGTAGAAAGAGCAGAAAGAAGTGTATTTCTTGTTGTGCACACCGCTTCTCTTCTCAGTGGGGGGTTCGGCGTCTAAGTGTCTGGCCATGATCGGCCCTTCCCCTGCAGTGGATGCAGGGGTTTGACTATTGTCTATTGGGCTAGAATTAGTCTCTTAAGTGTCTTACACTACTATAATAACATATTAAGCAATCTAGAATACAGTGGAAGGCTGTATCTGTCCAAATGTAAGCACTAAAATCCCCCAACGAACCCCTCACTAAATAATTTGTCACTTGCAAATATAAAGTCAGTTTGGACGATCATGTCTTACATTCGGCTGTCAAGACACTAAATCTTGTTTGCAGAGACCCTAGCAGACCCTAACACATTTAGTTGGGAAAACTCAACGGGATCTACACACCGTCATACTGTCGCACGTGGAACAAATCCAATAAATTTCATTTGACCAGCAAATAATGAACTAACTAGTTAACTCAAACACCTAACTTACTGTAAGGAACATGTGGGACTACAGCGAATACAGGAATTCGGGGTTCTCCCGGTCTGTCAAATCAAGCCACCTGCAGCACGTTAGAAAACACGCGCCGATATCGCAAAGTTAAAGAAAACACTCACTCTTGATTCTCCAGTCTCACATACTCCGGTCGGGCAATGAACAGCGTCTTGCGCTTATTCTCACGACGATACCAAAGCCAAACCCCGACCAGCAGGAACAGACACACACCCCAGCAAACAATAATGGTGATTTCAGCGGGGACATAGCGGGGTCCGTCCTTAGGACGGAATGTCTGCGGGCCTATAAGTATACAAGGACGGAGGTCAGCGCAATCCACAATGCACAACCCACAATCCACAATTCCACCATTTTGACACTTTGTGTCGGTGTGGTATTGTTTTTCCGAGTTCCACTCACCAATGATATTTCCTGCACAATACCCAATCAGATATAAAGCTGCGACGGTCGTCTTCTTCGTGTATCCAGCCACGTTGGAAGAGATGAGTGACAACAAGGCCACAAAGGGTGTCGGGCTAGCTTGGGTGAGATAGTAGCCGATTAAGCGACCGACATCGTTGGACAGGGGTAGCGCGACGATAAGCAACATGCCCACGATCGAGGCGACGAGGCCACCCAAACTGGCGAGGATACGTTGCCCGGTGATATGACCGACCCAGCCGTTGAGAAGTAGAGCGACGACTTCCACAGCGCCGCCGGGAACACCCAGGATCAGACTTTGTTTCTCGTCGTAGCCGAAGCTTTTGATCTAGACGGTGTCAGTAACATATTCCCTGTTATAAATATAACGACTGATAACCTAGAACCGCTTACCATCTGACTAAAGAAATTAGTAATGCCACCATTAGGAATATCAGCAATAAGTGCATAAAAGAAGAAAGCCCAAGTCATAGGGTCAAGCAACGCCTCTTTGACCTGATACATTTTGAAATGCTTGTTGCCAATACCCTGCTGGTTAACCCTCACGCGGGCAACGGCCAGAACACGATCTTCCTTCTTTAGCCAGCGCGCGTTGAGCTGGTTGTCCGGGATGATCCATAGGAAGATGAGGCCCAGTACAATGGTCAGTAGACCCGTTACTAGGAAGACGATTTTCCAGGGGTCGATTGCCGAGCCGTGCTTTTCGGCACCGACGGCGATGCCGTAGGCGACTACTCCGCCGAGAATTTGGCCGACGCCGTTGAAGGAGAACCAGATGTTGACACGGCTTCCTTGTTCTTGTTTTGTGTACCACTGAGGGTGTTAGTGGAGGTTTGGGGAGTGGAGGGGATATCCATACCTGAGAAGTCAACAAAGCAAAACCAGGCGTAACAGCAGCCTCAAAAACACCAAGCATAAACCGAATCGCAATAGCACCAGAGTAATTCTTAACAGCAGCAAAGCAGCAAAGAATCAATCCCCAAATCAAAATACAGGCAGCGGAATATTTGCCGAGAGGAAGACGCTGAAGAAGACGGTTGGTCGGATATTCCCACGCGAGGTATCCTATCACAGATGGTCAGAACACAAGCAAGCAAGACGAGAGCAGGTGAGGAAACCAAACCAAAATAAAACAAACTCCCCAACCACTGATACTGATCCCCATGAAGATCAAGATCCTCCTTAATGCCCATGACGCTCGCGTAAGATAGGGTCGTTTCTATAAAGAGCAAGAAGCATTAGCATCAATCCGAATATCATTGGATGTCGCGTGCGGAGACGAAGGATGGAGATGCAGATCAAGCCGAGGAGGTGGAGAAGCGGGGGAAACATACTATCCAAATAATTCATGCCGTAGATACAACACATGATGGGCATCATATGCCAATCGATAATCTTCAACAAGCGCCGGTTCGTCGATTCATCCAGTTCGATGGCTTCGCCTTGCATCTCATCGAAGGCTTTCATGGCCTCGTCGGCGTCGTGGGAGTGTTTCTCCATTATTGGGTCGACTTGTTTGCTTCGTTCGATGTCGAGGGTTGGGTCCACGCCCGAGGATATGCCGATTGATTTTTCTTCGGACATTTTGTGGGCTGATCACAGATGAGAGATGGATAAATGGAGGGTGGGAGAGGTCAAGTCCAGGTCACGAGGTGGAACAGAACCTGGTCAGTTCCAGCTACTGTCGGTGTCTCAATCTCAATCTCAATCTCAATGCTATGTAGAAACGAAGAAGAGAAAAGAGCGGGGAGCTATCTAAATAAGGTAAAAAACGGTGAGAAGCCCGCAGTCAGGGATGCGCATTGGACTTGTTATCTTTATGCTTCCTATCAATGGCTTCGGTGGAGTCGATAAGAATATCTGGGGTTAGTTGTGGATGTTCTCATTGGGCCATGTTGAGAGGGGGTGTGAGGATCGGCAGTTTGCTGGGAACTACCCTGTAACTCCCAGCTCGAGAGCTGGAGGGATATTCCATGTCGGTGTGGAATCTGGGATGTGCTGCATATGCTGGTAGAAGTTTATACGTCAATGGAGTTCCTTAGATTTCGACCGCTTGCGGGTGTTCATACTTCACAACCACGGGTGGCTGCCCCGTGGCTTCCGGAGCCTTAACTCTTATCTCTACCTGGGCGTTAGCCGAGCTCGGGATACTACTTAGTCACTTACAGTGGTTAGCTACTTGGCACGGTAACAGTCTTGGAATATGCTTATCTATGCTTTACTTTGAATAACTTATCATGGCATGATTCATCGAATCTTGGCTGCGAGGTTCGAGCTCCGAGGTTTGATGTTCGATCTGAAACATACCTTCCACCACGCGCGGGAAATTGCCGATCCAAAGCTCAGCTCCTTACTACCTCACATGTGGCACTCCCTTACATGAAAGACTCGTGGACCATGCACCCATGATGTAAGTGTAAGCGCCAAAGTGGCAAAAGCACAGAGCAGAAGAACAGAGCAAAAGAAAAGATACTTTCCACAGCACGCAATCAAAATAGAATTTTCAATATGCATACGGATCACCTACATGTATATGAATATGATATGTATATGCTTCTACTGCTTCCCAACACGGGCAAGATATGCCTCCCAACCCTGCTGCTGGTACTGACGAGCCGCCTCAACAGGATCAGCAGCAGCATAGATACCCCTCCCAGAAATAATAAAATCAGCACCACGACCAACAGCCGACTGAGGCGTCTGATACTGCTGGCCAAGCTTATCACCCTTAGAAGAGAGATTGACACCAGTAGTAAAGACAACAAAGTCCTCACCATCGACGGGGGCAACCTCAGCCTTGACCTCGCCCAGCGAGCGGGTCGACACAAAGCCCAGCACGAAGCTGGGATACTTGCGGGCGATGTCGACTGAGGCGGAGGTGTAGGCGCCTGTGGCGAGGGAGCCCTTGGAGGTCATCTCGGCGAGGATGAGGAGGCCGCGCTCACTGCCGTAGGGGAAGTCTGTCGCTTGGGCGGTTTGCGCGAGGGCTTCGACGATGCCTTCACCCGGCAGGATGGAGCAGTTAATTATGTGGGCCCATTCTGAGATGCGGAGGGTGCCATTGTGGTATTGTTTTTGAACGGTGTTGCCAATGTCGATGAATTTGCGGTCTTCGAAGATTAGGAAGTTGTGCTTGGCTGCTAGGGCGTTTAGGCCGTCGATTGTTGCTTGGCTGAAGTCTGAGAGGATGTCGATGTGGGTTTTTATCACTGCGATGTAGGGGCCCAGGCCTGGGTTGGGTTAGTGGTGGGTTGATTGCTGGGTTGGATTGCGGTTACGTACGGTCGGCTAGGTCGAGGAGCTCTTTTGTCGTGGTTACGTCGGCTGAGACTGTCACATTGCTCTTCTTCTCTTCGGCGACTTGGAAGAGCTTGCGAGCGAGGGGGTTGGGGTGCGAGCTGGCGCGGGCGCCATAGGTCAATTGCGACTTGGACGACATGGCGGGGATGGCGGGGTGAAGAAGTGGTGGGTATAGATTGAGGGATTGAGAGTAGGAAATGAGATTGCTGTCTAGGTAGATAGAGGAGCCCCGTTCAGGAATACAATTGATCCGAGTTCAAGAGAGAAGAGAAAGTCCAAGTCCAAGTCAACCGGGGAACTTTTTCTGCCAGTGGAGCCGCCACATCCCCACGGAGGCTGTATCCAATATTCATGGTTCATGTTCTCTTACATTCATTTGACATTCCTTAACATTCATATAAATACATCAAGACCAATGATTACTGTCAAGGACGCTTAGAAGTCAAGCAAATCCCGTCCAACACCAAAAACACTCAATCCCCACAGCGCACCCTGCACCAGCCAGAAGAGACTACCACGCAGACGGCCCATACCCTGCGCCTTGCCACTATACACATAGCCGTGGAGGAAGAGAGCACGGAACACAACCCACAGGGCACCCAGGCCGGCAGCCAGTTCAGGGTACTTCAGGCCTGCGACCATGGTGAAGAACATTGTCTGGGGGGCATTCTCGAGGAAGTTGGCGTGGGCGCGCTGGGCGCAGTTGAATTTCTCGGCTAGAGGCTGTGGATTGTTAGTATAGTTCATCTAGGAGCCATTGGGGTCTGGATATGGGGCATGTAGGGAATGAAATTGACCGAGAAGGGAGGCTGAGGTCTAAGTCTAAGTCTGACGGGGTAAATGGTATACGCACATTCTCCTTGCACTGCTCAATGCTGGCATAGCTGTGCGGGTAAGGCACCTTAGCTAACTTGCGCTGCTTGCCAGTGATAATTCCATGGACAAAGCCCAAGACAGGGATGGCGCCGAGGGCGACGGCGATGACGGCGCTGGACGCGTTAGTATATAAATTGGGGGTTGGGATGGTTGTAGATATAGCATACCCGTAGTTGCCAGGAACAATGATTGCGACCATGATTGGAGGGAATTGATGTCAGTTGATGGCGTTGTGATGTGCTAGCAACCTGGCTTTATATGCGGGGATCGGGGTTAAGGGGCTCAACTCCGTCGGGTGTCAATTCGGCCGTCTTCGTCCCCGTTTATGACACGTTTCTATTTAGGATGGATTTGTAGTTTTCATAAATCAAGGGGTGAGATGTGACGTTTTTATACCGTGAAGATATGTCATTATGATGAGTGGCATTTCGAAATGTATATACTTGTCTATGTTCAGGAGAGCACCTCACACCAACTCTTGGGTTTCAAAGGAACAATGATCTAACTCCCGGAAAGTGAGAGGTATATATTCATTGTATTTCGAGGGCTCACAAAGAAGCAGCGGGCAAATATTTATGATCACATTCCAGTTGTACTAGCATCAATTCCAGAACGAGCTACAACCAGACAAGGCTCTCAAATATCTCAACATAGATCCGAGGCAGCAAAATGATTAAATATGGACAAACCAAAAACCTCAAACTACTGTGGGCATGTCAGGGCGCATGCGGCTCACACTCCCGTACTTGGCTTGCCAGGCGAAGAAGTACAACAGCGCCCCAAGTGGCTGACCAACAAGGCAGAAACTAACCCAGAAGATACAATTTCCAATAACCTTGCCTTGAGGCCCCTTCACCTTCTCCAATGGCGCAGTAAGGGCGATTAATGGCAGCTGGAACATCATTCCAAAGAATGCAACACCTGACTTGGTTAGCATACGTGCCAGTCAACGCCAACAAGGACACGAAGAACATACCAATGAAATTATGCGTGGGAATGCCGACAAGCATTTCATGCAGAACAGCAGACAATGTGAAAACCATCCCACTCGCCGCCAAAGGACTCCAACCACGACCAACCAACGGCGAGAAAACATGTCTCTTCATGAATAGATAGACAGGCCGATTCCACGAGCGCCAATATACACCCAGACTAGAGCTGTTCCACCAGTCGGTGTAGAACTCACGGTCTCCGAATTGCATGACTTCAGCCAGGGCGTTGAGAAGAGCTTGGAATAATGCAAAGAATCCGGCAAGCCAAATGATTAGGGAGATGGTAGATAGTTTCATCACTCGTTCCAGGATCGAGGCAATGTCCATTACAGCAATCTTGTCAATTGAGTTGCGTAGGACAGGCGCGGCGTACTGCGCGGAGAGAAGCCAGATGAACATGGCCAGACCGACGAATTCCGCCAGGCGTTTTGCGACGAAGGACCACCTGATCGATGGAGTGCGCGGGTAGACTGGCTGATAGACGAGTGTCGGGGCAAGCCAGAAGTATGCTAGGTTCTTGATAGTGATGTTCCTCGGGTATGGACATGAGGAATAGATATCGGGTAAACCAGGGTCTGCAGCGGGATTGAGCAGCGCGAGACGGAGGTCTCGGTTTGTGAAGGCATAAGAGCAATTCTTTAGCCACACGATGATCGCATGTAGCTGGCAGAGTGTGCCAATGCCCGGGTGGTGAATGTAAAAGTACACCACGAAGCTGGTCACTGCGAGACACAGCGTGGCATTCAGCGTGTGCAGGAAAGCCGTGTATGGCCAGGTTGACTGGAACACTTTTTGATCGTGTTCTTTCTCTTTCTCTGTCTTCTTCTGGCGACCCACTGTCTCTTTCGCCGCCGTAGCGGCTGATAGCTCGATTATGTATGCCACGAGCAGGTGGCATGGTACTGATGCGTACAGTATAGACCCGAGGATGAGATCTTGTTTGCGATAGTCATGGCATTTAATGCAGATAAGAACTCCATACTGGCGAGGTATTAGTCCGAATCAAAATTTTGAGCCATTTGAATCACTTACTTTCATGAAGTTCTCAATAATCAATCGCAAGTTCATCGCCACTGTTTGAGATCAGCCTATCGCATATACTCGGTATCTCCAGGGCAATCCTACCGAGGACCAGCACCATTAGGTTTCTGAAACCCAAAAAGCTGGGCGTCGTCTCTGCGTCTCGACTGAGGCTGGAATGTTGTAGCTTTGAGTGATACGCAGCTACATGACGGTATTTACTGCGTTTGGGCTTTGATGGCGGAGCATCGGTTCCAGAGACAATACCATTAGTGAAGTTGGACGACTCTTCACGAGCGGTCGTGATAGCTTCAGTCAGAGAGGCCATTTTGACACCCTTGCAACCTTGGCAGTTGGCAGAGTTGGAGAGTCTCGAAGGGCCCAAGCTAAGCTCCGAGCAAACCGAACCGAAAGATCAGGATGGAATCTCAAAACAAGCTAACCCCAAGACCACAATGACAATTGTCCATGACAATGAGAAGAAAAAGAAGAAGAAAGAAGAGTTAGATTGACAAAAGTCCAAATCCCAACGGTCAATAGACATGGCGGGGGTGCAGGTATCATAGCGCATAACCAATCAGCGGATACTGCCATCCCGAGCTCCCTCCGCTTTTTTCTTTGATAGCTTCACTTGTTGACTTGACTTCCGCTTCATCTCGATTGTTCTGCATAAGCTTGTCGGTTATGGCTTACTATGAGGAGCACGGAGGCGACGGCCAATTCGGGAGGTTTAACAAGAATTTCGAAGGTCCAGCCGGACCGCGACGGCCACGTACGTGCAATGCCCTTCTTTCGGAGATGTCTGAGTCTACTAACACCCACAGGACTCGTCACGGATTATGGCTCGTCGATGGTACAATGGATGCGCACACGGCAACCGCGTTATAAGGGCAGCCATCGATTAGAGACCGAGCGACCGAGCGCCAGCTTCGCGGTCGACGTATGTGTCGCGTGAATTCTACTGGCTCCGGACAAAGAGACTGACTTGTGAAGGTTCTTCCCCCGATGGCGCGACCATTTTCTGCCGTTGATACGATCCCCGTGCGACACCTACACCAGTCTATCGGAAAATCAAAGAAGCCCATTGTCGTGGTGCGATGGACCCCCGAGGGAAGGCGACTGTTGACCGGTGGTCATACGGGCGAGTTTATGCTATGGAATGGAACGGCGTTTAACTTCGAGACAGTTATGGATGTGCGTATTTACAGAGTGTCTGTGGATGAAGGATCTTGCTAACGTTGCCCGTTTCTCGGTTTAGGCACATTACGATCAAATACAGGCTGGCGTGACATCGCTGGCATGGGCTCATAGCCAGGACTGGCTGATTTCCGGCGGACAACGAGGCGATATCAAGTACTGGCGGCCTAACTTCAACAACGTCGAGACGATCGATGACGCGCACCACGACGCTGTTCGAGACCTGGCCTGGGCACCCAGCGATACCAAGTTCCTTTCAGCGTCCGACGATACAACCCTCAAGATTTTTGACTTTACGACTCGAACAGCGGACACGACACTTACCGGACATAACTGGGATGTCAAGTCCTGTGACTGGCATCCGACGAAGGGGTTGCTTGTTTCTGGGTCTAAAGATCACCAGGTCAAGTTCTGGGATCCGCGTACTGCTCGCTGTTTGACGACACTCCACAGCCACAAGAACACTGTTACATCTACGCGGTTCTCGCGGGTGAACAGCAATCTCCTTGCTACTTCATCTCGTGATCAGACGGCGCGGGTGTTTGATTTGCGGATGATGCGCGATATTTGCATTCTACGGGGCCACGAGAAGCCGGTTTCTTCCTTGACATGGCATCCGATTCATAGCAACCTCATCTCGACTGGTGCCGAAGATGGATCGCTATATCACTACCTCCTCGATGAGCCCAACCTGCCCAGCGGTGTGATTCCCACTGTGGCACCTTACGACAGTCCAGACCCCGCGAATACACCCGCCCAAGTCATCTACCCAGCACACAAGATTCAGTACGCTCACGGGGCTACGATTTGGTCATTAGACTGGCACCCTCTGGGCCATATTCTGGCCTCGGGATCTAAAGATAACTTCACTCGATTCTGGTCTCGGACTCGACCCGGCGAGACTAGTTACATGAAAGACCGATTCCATATCGGTGAAGAGGCCGCAGAAGCCCAGGGCACATGGAGCCGCGGGTTCGGTCGGAAACAGATGCGCGAAGAAGAGGAGCAAGAGATGCAGGACGAAGCTGATAGTCTCGTTGACCAACGGCAACCGGGCGGTCCTGCTCTACCGGGCATTCAAAGTGCGCCGGGTGGACAACCTGACGGACCAGGCCTGCTACCTGGCATTGGCGGAGCTCAGCCTCCTCCACCTGGAATGGCTGGCGCCATGGGTGGGATGGATCCTGGTCGGTTGGCCGCAATCATGTCCACTCAACAACCGCCTTCGCAGTCGAACACACCCAACCAGCAAATGCCATTCCCTCCACCGCAAGGTATGCCACCGGGTATGCCTCAAGGAATGCCGCAGATGGATTTGGTGCAACTGCAGAAGCAGCTCCAGGGTTTCCCTATGCCACCCAACCTCAATCTCCAGGCCATAGCACAAAACCCTGGTTTCCCTGGATTCGGCGGTCTGCCTGGTCTGCAGGGCGGCGGTATGCCCGATGGAAATCGGAGGTAGTTGAGATCGGCTATTGTTTGCAATGCACGATCAGTTTGCTTTGGCGTAAAGGACTTATAGCATGGCCACTTTGACGCGGGTAAAGGCGCTATGAGAGATATCATTTCCCAGCTGTATAATAGGTTTCCGGGTATTTCGAAGTTCAAGCTTCGTCAATGGGATTGTTGTGTTGAGAATATCGCGAGTCCGTAGGTGCTTTGCATGTTGTAGACCACGTTTTGTTGTAATGTAGTACGCTGAAGGAACATGACCTCGAGTAGCCTTCAAAGACCACCCTGCATCGGGAAACTGGTCACAACAAGGACCATGACATTGACACCACCCCATATCATCGGCAGCCAAGTCGACATCCTGAAATTGCCCGCTTCATACACCGCACCGAGGCTATCATTCCAAAGTCAGCTGCCCACCCCCAGGCCGAAGATGTAAAAGATAGACTCACACAAGCCCAACTATACTCCCAGCGAAGAGTCCTTGTAGCCCCGCAATAAAGCTGTATACCAAAGGCACAATCCAAATCACACTCCAATTACGGCAGTGTGTCAGTATCGCACAGCCAGCAACAGTCAGATGAGTCGCCGCATAGAAAACAAGCGTCCAGAACAAAGTAAAGCGCCAAATATCCGTCGTGTAGTATAGATAGTAAGCTTGCTGATGATGCGACGGCAAGGGATCGTACAACGAAGGAAACGACGGCACTTCGTAGTTGATCGGAACGCGATTATTAGCCATGGGCGAAGCAACCGCGCAGGTTCAGCTGCAGCGAATATCAATCATCGAAGCATCGTCTAGAAAGATGAATAAAGCCGTGAGATATATGAGCTGAGCTCGGGTGTATCTGTATAGAAAGTAACTTTAATCGCGTTGCGAAAAGGAAAGTCCACTGACGATGCTTGTTTGCACTGTTTGCCGGACCCGGACCTCGGCTGCGTCTGGGGTTCTCCGCGGTTGATCATCTCACCTCCCTGAGCGATGTGAGCCTCTGTCTGGGCGCATTTGGATTTCTTTTCTCTTTGGTTGGTTTTCAATGGCGACGGAACGCTCTCTGGCTACACTGCTGCGGTCGCTGCAGGCGACTTCTAGCTTCCAGGATGCTGCTGGGTGAGTGTTATCTACTCCGACCATGGACTTGGGCGTGAATGTGAATGTGATGTTAATTATATCATCAGTCTTCTTCCTACAGTTACCAGCTTCCTGTCTATGCTAGGGAACCCCTTGAATTTGACTCTTCTCGCCTCTCAACTTCTTACCGCTCCCTCGCTCTGGAGTCAGCCCGTTGACCTCCATGCTTGCCGCAAGATCCTTAGCGTGTTCAATACTGCTGCTATTGCTGTCTTGCAGAATGAAACTACCGATGAGCCGCGGATACCATATGGAAGGAATCGCAAAATCGAGTGCGATGCTTGGGTGAAGGCCATTGCGGAGGGCGCTGATGACAAGTCCCCGCGATGGCGGCATACACTCCTGCTGGGTGGTATCCTGATGGGATTCGAGGGACAGAATCGTCAGGGTCTGCCGCGACATATTCGAATCAAACTTGAGTCTGCGCTCGCTACTGCGGCACAACTAGCGTTGGAGGAACTGAGTCCCGAGGCTGGTATCGATGCGCAGTGTATCACCATGGTGTTGAATTACACATTCGAGCTCTTATCGGATCTTGAGAGAAGCAAGATTGATTATGATCGCTTACTTCCGGCAATGCTTCAATCGGCATACTTGTCCCCGGAGGGTCTCGAGGGTGGATATTTCTTGGGATCTATTGATCAAGATATCGTCGAGGCTCCCGGAAAACAGTTTCGATGGTCGGCAGACTCCCCTACATTTGCTATTGTGACTGCAATAGCTGCACGTCCGCTTGTCTCGACGTTAGGTCCTCTGTCACGTCTCATTGCACATTCAATTGATAATGCGCGCGATCCAAGGATCGTCGCCCGTACAGTTGATCAACTGGCCGATTTTGTTCGGACCCTGATGGTACAATGGCGACAAAACAAGTTGTCCGAGATTGATGTTGCAGAGGAAGTTGAGTTCCTCGATGCCGAATCGCGAGAAAAAACACTTCCTGCGCTGTGGCAAATGTTGCGGAATTGCTTATACTCGGTGGTTATCGCCCTCAGGGCCGTCCTTGGGAGAACCATAAATGATCCGGCTCTTGCTGCCAATAGTAGTAAGTTACTATCGAATCATTACTCTTGGGTTCGTACTCATATTCCATTTAGGTGCGCCATATCTGTCGATGCAAGCTCTTCATATCCTTCGCAACATGTACTTCATCTCTTCTCGGATCGGTCAGAATGCCTCATCGCAGCAGACCTTTGTACTGCTGGCAGCCATCGATATTCTTTCGCAATACCCCGATCTTGCTGAGAACTTCTTGCGAAGTATAAAGCCCAGCGAGATTGGGCAGATTCCGGCTCATCCAGTCGAACGATGTCTGGATCTTTTCTTCTTGAATGCTGCGGAGCATTTCCCTCTTGTTCTATCGCCCGGGACAAATGAGGAGCTACTCCTATCGGCGGCATTCCCATACCTCACAGCCGGTGCCAACAACCTTCTGCTGGAGATTTTCGAAGCTGCTCACAGCCTGGTGCTTGTCGTCTTCGCCATTCCCCATAACTCGGAACTAGCAGCCAAGCACCTCCCCTTTTATATTGATAACCTATTTGCCGTAAGTCTAACCCATTCGTTGAATGAAAGCAACTTCTAATTCCGTGCAGGTCTTCCCCAACAACCTTTCTGCACGCCAATTCCGTCTCGCTTTCAAAACCGTCATCCAAATCACAGCACCTCCCTCACCTTTAGCGAATAGCCAACCCCTTCTTCCTTCCATCCTGCTCGAAGTGGTTCATAACCGCGCTTTAAATGCTTCCTCCACACCCATCCCGGCCCAAGGACTAAATCCCGACCTGAGTCACAGCCCACCTCTCTCTGAACAAGCTGTCCTCACTTTGGCTCTTCTTGATTCTCTTTCATCCCTCCGAGTCGACGATCTTAAGGAGTGGCTGCCCCTGGCGGCACAGCTGATCAATGCCATTTCTGACCGCAATATGCGCCACACTTGCATCGATCGGTTCTGGGAAGCTCTGGCTGGCGGCGAGATGGACGTTGATCGTGCTCACTGCTGTGTCACTTGGTGGAGCACGGAGGGTGGGCGTGAGCTTGTTCTCTTTGGAGCCGAGACTGCCGGTGACTCGGATGAGAGTGGACCTTACATGAGTGGGGCAGTCGGTGGTGTTGCACCCGAGAGTAAGCTATAATGATGACAACGTACGCGGCCCGGAGATGGAGCCAGCATGCCTACGGGTAGATCACTTCTTATACCATATACCAGCTTTCTAGTGAATCGAGCCCAGCTGCGTAAATATTTAAACAAGGCCTTTGTATTCGCTCAAAACATATGTAATTTGATTTCATGTAATCAGATGCCTGGGATTCCCACGGGTGTATCCTTCCTGTACTGAACGTACGCATCGCCGAAGAAAGAAACCAAGTAAGCCTCCTCGCCTGTAGAGATAGAAACCGGTCAGCAAAACAGTTCACCACACACAAAATATGAATCAGAAAACTCACGCTTAATCCTGCTGGAAAAGAACCTCCATAGCACGAGAGCATACCCAACAAAGCAAACAACATTCCCAAGAACCAGCTGCGTCCCAAGCCCCCACCAGAAGAACCCAAAGTAACTCGGATGCCTCAAGAACCGATAAAGCCCCGAATTAACAAGCACATGACCCTCCTGATGCCGACTCTGTACATGATGATTGAAATTCCCACCGGCTTGCGCCATAGCAATTGTCCTAACAACCTGCCCAATCACCAGCAGCACGAACCCCCCAACAAGCAACAGGGAAACCTCCCCACCAAAGAAAGGCTCAGAAACAGAAAGCATCCGCGCAAGTCTTGACTGCCCAGGCCAGAAAATATGCGACACTAGACACTCCACAACAGCCGAACCATGCGCAACGTTATACGCCCACCCATTTGACGACAACAGGAACGAAGAAACAGTCGCGTAGCGCGTGTTATAGCGCGCCGTCACGAAAAATTCCAGGAAATGGAATAGACTCAGCGCGGCGATGAAGAAGGGCACGCGCCACAGTGGTGTGCGGTGTGTTGTGGCTAAGAGGAGAGTGAGACTGCTTGTCAGGCCTAGGGTTGTTCCTAGTAACATTGCGCGCAGGGAGATTCCGCTCAGGGACATTTTGCCGTTTGGGTAGTTTGAGATGTCGATGTCGGGGGTTGCGTCGGAGTAGTCGGAGGTGGAGGTGCCGGAGGAGAGGGATGCGGAGGAGCTTGTTACGCTTGTTGCGCGTGTGTGATTTGGGTGCCAGCCTGGCTCGCTGTGCGTGCGTGTGAAGTTTTGGGTTGGGGGCATGGTTGAGGTTGGCTCGGAGCCTGTTGTTTTTGCTGTTGTCATTGTTGGAGGTTGGATTGGATGTGGGATTGGGGAGTTGTGTGAGATGGACTAGGGGATTCAAAATGATGCCTCAGAGTTCAGAGAATTGAGCTGGCATCTCTGGTGGTTCAAGACAATTTATGTGGGAGGTTCATTGTGTGAGAACAATCTTAGCGGTTGTATTGTTCCCCCGAAGACCATGACACATCCACCCCACATGGTCCGGGCATAGCTCCGGTATAAATGTCCACTCCGCTCGTACTACACCTGTGCGCGTCTTATTTCTCCTTGATACTTGATCCGGATAATGTCTACTGAGAGAGAGAAGATGCTCCGCGGGGAGCTATACCGCGCCTTTACTCCAGATCTTATTGCAGCTCGGACTCGCTGCAAATGGGCTTGTAATCGGTTTAATAACTCGGAGGAAGTGCCTCGTCGGAGATTAGTGGAGATGTGGAGAGAGTGAGTGGTGTTGTCTGTGTTCCCTTTTGGGAATATGTTATGGTTGTGATCGACTAACACGTCCTACAGTATCACTGAAGATAAGACTCCTCTGCCACCAAAACTGGATGATCCTGTCGCAGATGATGATCTATTTCGGAATGAGCCCTGGGTTGAAGCACCCGTCAAGATAGACTATGGGTTCAACGTCAAGCTTGGGGAGGGAGTGTTTGTCAACTTCAACTGTGTCTTCATTGACACTTGTCCTATTACCATCGGTGCTCGTACCATGTTTGGTCCTAATGTTAACTTATTTTCGGGTACTCATCCTCTTGATCCTGCTGTACGAAACGGAACTGAGGGTCCTGAGTTTGGAAAGCCCATTCATATTGGGGAAGACTGCTGGCTTGGGGGTAATGTCATTGTACTTGCTGGAGTTACGATTGGCAAGGGTGCAACTATTGGGGCTGGAAGTGTGGTGACCAAGGTATGTACTCTTGGACCTTTTGATACCGAAGTGACTAGAAAGCAATGTATGGGTAGACGTACGGATCAGATCATACTGACTTATACAGGATGTCCCTGCTTTCCATGTCGCTGCTGGGAATCCAGCTAGGATCATCCGCCCAATTGAAACGACAATAACAGAATAATCGCTCACTCTACTAGATGGGATCTTGCATTGGATAGAGCATCTGTTTGCATCTATAAAGGCTTACATCAATGAAACAGCTGCGTAGCATATATGTTATGCACGCCTAGCCCGATGGAAGATATAGAGAGGATAAATGTAAGTAGCACGACAGCTATCCAATAGTAGTAAACTATAAGAACCAGTTCATGCCAAGAATAGCTGATACATATCGTATAACGGTAAGCGCCGTCCATAGGCACATTAGACATAAGCGCCAACTAGTGCAGCTAGCGAGTTATAGCTGAAGTATTCTAACAGTTCAGATATAGATACGCATTCTTCTAACGGTTCTTATTTAAAAACGCTCTAGCAATCAAATCTGATGCGGAGGCTGCTTTGTTAACGTGCCGATCCCGTTTCTCAGCGCAACGTCACTGGTTCAGGCGCGTCCCCCAAAAAAGCTGTCGACCGCTTTATCCAACTTCATTTGCTCACTGCCTCGTTTTCCTCTCTCTATCTCGCGTCTCTGACCTCACCCTTTCCTTCTTTCTTCATTTTCATTTCGCATCTCCCATTCTCTTTACCATTGCCCCGGCAGAAAATGTCATGGCAGTATCCCCGCCAGATAGCTACCACCCCCCACCTGACACTCCCTTGAACGAAGACAACGTACGCGACTCCATGGAGGATCTCGATCCTCAAGCGACCCGGAAGCGTCCGCGCCTCGACAGTGGAAGTCGTGTGAGCCCGTCTTTGTCGCTCGACGGAATGTCTCGTCCTGTATCCGCGCCTGCCTCGGAAATGGACGAGGATCCAGCTCGCCCTGCGAGCAAAGTCACCATTAACATGAAATCTCCTCCCTCTCCCGCCACCCTTGAGCTTCCTTCCGCCGAGTCTCAGCTCCCAGACAATGCCCCAGAGCTCCAAGTCGACTCCGATGCAGCATCCGCCAACGTCATATCCATCCACTCTTCATCCTCCCAAGGCTCGCCTCACATCGAAGTCGCCGACCCCGAAGATATGAATCAAGAATCGAATCACTCCAACTGGAAGCCTCTCGCCGAGGTTTTGAACGAACAAGGCGACATGGAAGTCGTCGAGGACGAAGACATTGTACCTCTAACCGACTCTTTTCCCAAACTACACGAAGACATGAGACCCCGAGACAACTTCAAGGCGATTGCTGACATGATTGAACATGGTACGCGGGACCTCGACTCAATGTGACATGACATGGACTAACCTTGTGAGCAGGACACCCGCGCGAAGGTATCGCACTTGCTGCAATGAAACAATGGCTAAATACCTGCGTGAACAACCTGGACCGAGTCACACTGGAGGCCTTCATGGAAGAACCGGAATTCTGGGGAAATTTCCCATTCATCATGGAACGTCTTGTGTACAGGCAACGACCTCTGCAATTGGACGATGACGAGGACACTCTGGTCTTTCTCGAAGAGCTTCTGCTCGACTATGCCCGCCTGGTCTTTCACTTCGTTCGCATTGACACTGTATCTCTCAGTCGGGTTCAAGACGATGCAGACATGGAAAGTGTTACGATGGCTTCTCGACGTTATCTCGCTTGCTTCCCTTACATGCTACAGAGTTCCAACGTTCCGCTTTACCGTGCCATGGATGCTCAATGTCGCATTGGTATGAATAAATTTCTTGCTTCAGTGAAAGACGACATTGCATTGCCTCCATTCAATGCATCTCGCCAGTTGCTTGATTATGCTACCCTGGTTACTTCTCTGGTTCCGACGCATTCAAAACTTCTCCAACATCTCCCACAACTCACGATGTGCGCCTGCGCCTTGCTTGGAGTGAATCTAGATCAGAATTCGTCTCGTATCCCTGACTATTCAGTCGAATCCGCTCCTGCGGCCCCCAGCTTGCAAGAATTCTTCGATATGACGCGAGCTGTCGCTACACAACATGAGAAGTATGTCACCAAGAAATCACCACTAGCTACAAGTGATGTGAGTGAACACCTCGTCCGATCTGTCTTCCGTGCCTACAATTTCCTTTGCTCCGCCGATGACAAATTCGTGGTCCAACTTGCCAACCACTTGGGGATTGAATTGCCCGAAGATCTTCCCGAATCCCAACGGGTGATGGCTGTTACTTGGGCATGGAAATTTGATGCTATGAAGAAACACCTCATGGAAGGTCGCATGGAGCTTCGGGTGCATGGCGTGGACGCTCTGCAAACGGATCTGGTCAACATCTGGACTCACAACTCACCTCCCAACACTCCAGAGCCTGCCATGGTGCTCATGAGGTATCTGGTGAAACTGCTCCGTGAACACAAGATTCTCGATTATTTGGTGGGTGTTGATTCTCACCCCCAGTTGCTCACCCGTACGAGCAACATCTTTGGATTCCTGATCATGACCCATACCTACACCGATCAGGACACGGATATGATCTGGAGGACTATCACTGAAAGTCAGGACGATCGAACCGTCTCCGAGGTTGTTAAAATGCTTGCACGAACATTCCCCATTCATGCGTCCAGATCTGCTCCATTGCTATATGTGTGTTCCAAGTTGCTTGAGTTGCCCTTGGAGCGATTTGACAACCGCATAATCGAGCTTTGCGATCAACTCGTGCCTCGCATGCGTGAACGAACTTTCAAGCGCGAGCCGGAACTGGCGCATGTAGATGCCATTCCACTGAAACTTTGTGTTCGGCTCATTCGAGAGAGCTCTGGTGCAACGCACCTACCTCCTGACCAGAGGGAACTCATGCAGACATTTGGCAGCGAGCAGCTCGGCCTATTTATGAAGGCCGGCCTGAATGAATCGGATAAAGTGGAGACATACGAACGCTGCATCCAGGATATTGCCGAGATGAATTCATCCAGTGCAGGCAGCATTCAAGTTCTGAATTCCTTGGTGCCCTTCGACGATGCACCGGAAGTTTGGAAGCTCGCAAATGATTTCGACTTGACTAGACTGGTAATTATGGAACTTCACAACTTTGTGAACAAAGACCAGCGCGAACGCGAGGATCTGTCTTTCGGGCACGGCTTCCCCTCAAGAGTGGAAATTTTGAGACGCCTGATCGAGATGGCACCAGAGACGATCACACCTGACCTTGGCAACACGCTTTGGAATGAGGTTCTCATGTCCAGGAATCTGACGCTTGAGGAGCGTCAAGTGATTTGGAAGATGATGGTTGATGTCGCCAACCGCAGTGTTCAAGAAAACCCGTTTCTAGAGCGTTGCATCCATGAGTATCTTCCCAGCTTGTTGCCCGTTGACTACTCGCATGCGGTACTGTGCTTTGCTCAACAAGCACTCCACTATCAAATCCAGGTAACTCTGCCCCCTACCGCCGGTGAAGATGAGGTGATCTCCATCCTTGGGATGGATCGGATCTGGAACTTTATCTTAACGGCACCACCGAACACGATCGAAGGCGAGGCAATCAAGTTCGCCATCAATGTCTATCTGGATCACCCCATCGTCCGTAGGGCTCCCCGCTCGGCTATCGATGCAACCCATATCGCTTTAGTTGGTCGTTGCGTGGACCAACTGAAGTCTGCCGCCGCTGCACTGAGGCCCTCTGGCAATGGAACCCCCAATGGAAACGCTCCCATGGAAATGGATGGTTTGAATCAAGATCTTGGAGGAGAAGAGCTCATGTTCAGCCGTTCCCTTCTCTTTCTCCGTCAATTACTCCACGGATTGCGCGCCAGGCCGCAATATAACTCTCCCCGTGGCACTCCGCCTCGCATTCCCGAGCGCTCATTGAAAGGCGACCCCATCAATATCCAATACCAATGCTTCTGTGGTAACTCTTCTTCCAAGATCGCTACCATGCAAATCGGTGCTTTGTCGACGGCCGCGGAACTTGTTGAACGCCTTGTGCAGCTGAGTCGATTTTCCAAGTTAACCACTATCATTGGTGGACAGAAGGTGGATTTGCTTCAAGACCCCAATGCCCTGGTGCAGAACCTGAAGCTTCCCTCCGGGTTGCTCATTGTACGGAAAGCACCTAACGCTCAGGAGCTTCCTTGGGCTGGTCGAACCCAGTCTTTGACATCTGTCGACAGTGAAGTGTTGAAACATTTCGATGAGTTCTATGATCTGCTCGAATTGAAGGACGACCTGGCTCGACAGATCATCGATTTCCTGCTCGTCTTTCCGCCTCAAGAGCAAGCTGTCAATCTGGTCCGGTCTGTTGACAATTCCGAAAAAGACATGTTTCCCTTGCAAAAGCCTTTCAAGGCCCTATATTCCCTCAATACCCTGTCAATTTGTCTGCACGAAGAAGCCTTGGAGACATCTCCGCGGTGTGATTTCATATCTCACAGCATCAAAGTTCTAGTTGCGTTCTTGACTGGAGACGAACTGCTTGAGTCTATGAATGGTAACCCGATAGGCCCTTTGCTCGCTACAAGAGCGGTCGAGTGTCTTCTCTTCGCGTTTTCTGTTTACCGCTCGGCTGATGCGGATGCCGCTCTGGTTCCTGAACCAAATCATTTGGTCCAACGCCTATGCAAGATGATTGATATCGGACTCCAAGACTCCCCTGATTCGCTCAAGGCAAATTGCCTTCAAAAGTTAATTTGCAGCTGCTTTGCGGTTTTGCTTGATGGCTCAGTGCGTGATCAAAATATCTGGGATGCTGTCAAAGAACAGGCAAATTTCGATGATCTGATCCTCTCATTGCTCCTGATTGACAGCCAAAAAACTATCCGGGTTGAAGCCTTGGAACGCATCAAGATAATCTGCGGCCCTTTGAAGCCATCCAAGTTGCCAACAAACACATCCGCTGAGGAAACTGGAAATTCTACCGAGGACCCCCTTCGAATTGACATACTTGCTACTCTCTGGAACTCGCTAGTACAGGTCATTCCCACAACCCCTCTATACGCTACCCAGTCGGAGGAATTCTTCAATGCTACTCTGTGGATGTTCCGCACTATCGCCGAAAAATCACCATGCGATTTAATCTTCAATGATTATCTCAAGCAGTGGAGCTCATTCATGTTAAGGCACCAGACGGAGGAATTCATTGGACGCGAGCCAGTTGATAATCTGATTGTCGGATTCTCTTCTCTGCTAGAATGGTGCCTCAAGCTGGCCAATGCTGCCAACGTCCACTTGGACACTTTGGACATTGCCGAGCAGATTTTGCAGAAATATCTTTTCCCAGATCTCTCGCCAGAGTCAGCAGCCCAACAAGATGCTCGAGCCCCAGTCATGAACACCAACACCCGCCGAACTCTGTACTGTGTTGTCAGTTTGTTGTGCAAACAGAGCGACGAGACTTACTTCCGGGTTCTGGAACATTTGAACACAACTGTTCCACGGGATGTTACTTACTTTGACTGGTCTTTCGACAGATTGGCGATGATTCGTTCCCAAGAGGGCTATGCTGGTTTGAGAAACCTTTCGAACACTTGCTATCTCAACTCCTTGATGACACAGTTGTTCATGAATGTTGAGTTCCGGGACTTCATATTGAAGCTTCACATTGCGGATCCAGACTCTCAGAAACTGCTTTTCGAGACCCAGAAATTGTTTACTTGGATGCAAGAGACTTGGAGAAAGAGCATCGAGCCGCAGGATTTCGTCGACAGTATCCGGACCTTCGATAATGAGCCCATTGATGTTACCATTCAGATGGACGTGGATGAGTTTTACAACCTTCTCTTTGATCGCTGGGAGTCTCAGGTTCTTGATGCCGAAAGCAAAAAGAAGTTCCGTTCGTTCTACGGAGGTCAACTGGTTCAGCAGATCAAATCCATGGAATGCCCTCACATTTCCGAAAGACTTGAGCCTTTCTCTGCAATCCAGTGCGAGATCAAAGGCAAGGCCAGCCTCGAAGATAGCCTGCGCGCTTACGTGGCTGGCGAGGTCATGCAAGGAGATAACAGATACTTTTGTACTTCATGCGATAATCATGTGAACGCTGTGAAGCGGGCATGCTTGAAAGATGTCCCCGACAATCTGATTTTCCACCTCAAGCGTTTTGATTTCGACATGGTGACCATGCTGAGAAGCAAGATCAACGATGAATTTGTGTTCCCACGTCATATCGACATGACTCCATACACCGTTGAGCATCTGACTGATCCCGAGCAGCCCGCCAAGCCCGATTACTTTGAATTGACTGGTGTCCTTGTTCACACGGGTACGGCCGAGTCGGGTCACTATTACACTTACACCCTTGAGCGACCTTCGCCCGATGGAGAACCTTCGTGGGTGGAGTTCAACGACTCGGATGTCTCCAGATTCGACCCAAGTTCAATCGCGGACCACTGCTTTGGCGGCCCGAGTGAGCAAATGCAGTACAATGGCGAGCCCAAGAATAAAGCCTGGAATGCATACATGCTGTTCTATCAGCGTGTCTCCACCATGGAGGAATCCAAGTCCGTGTACAAGCCTGCGAAGCCCAACATCCCCGTGCATGTTCCGGTTTCAGTTGCGATCAGCAACCACATTGCTATGGACAACGAACTTCTCATTCGGACCTACTGTCTTCTGGATCCGCAATACGCCTTTTTCGTGGAAAGTTTACTTCAACGCTGGTCTGGCATGGCCGACGACAATCCCGACAAGAGCTTCGCAGAGACATTAGCTATCAATGTCGGCATGGACACCTTCGAACAAATGGTTTCAAGAACCAAGGACCTTCAGGGACACCAGGAATTGTTCACCGTTCTCATTTCCATGATTAACAAAAGCCCCAACGCTGCGCGTTCTAGCCTTGACTGGATTTTCGACCGCAAATCGCCAATTCGCAACCTTATGACCAAGATGCACCAGCCAGAGGTTCGGCATAAGGAAATTTTGTTGATCATCTTTGCTGTCAAGCACCTTCACATGCTGTCTAAGGACCCAAATCTCGAAGAGAGTGAGCAAGCTTTCTGGCGCAACAGCTTCGAGGAAGTCATCATACGTCTTGTGCCCATGCTTATAGAGGTGTGGCCCAGTGTCCAAAGCATCTCGCGGGTGTGGGAAGATTACTTCGGTTTCTTCGTCAAGTTGTGCAATTATGGACCTTGGGTTGTTGAATTGCTCGCTGATAAACAGATGTTCACCATCTGCCTTCAAATCCTCTGGCTCGACGAGGATGACAAAAAAAGGATGCGGGTCCACCTCCCAAACTACTGGCGCATGCTTGAGAAAGGCCGTCGATTTACCTACTTGAGTATGCTGTCGCTGTTTCACACCTTCTTGAAACATATCGATCTTTCTCTTGAGCCCGTCGGTCTTCAGGATCCACGTTCAGTTTCAAATGGCAAATTCTCTCTTAGGCTCCATGAGATGGAACTCATCAAACCGATTGAGAGGGATGGATCACTTGCCATATTGAGGCATATTCTGAAGCACGATGGCCTTGCCAGGAGCCAGACAGCACATTTGATCATTGCTACATTCTTGGGCGGAGAACCCGCGGCAGGCTTCCTTCCTTCGATCCAGAAGACTATTGAAAATGGATTAAGGATCGAGCCTGCTGTCCAGTGCACACCGTTCCTTGACGCAGCCGTGATTTTCTGTCAACACTGTCCCATCAAGCAGCGAGTCATTGATATGATCACCTTTGTCGCCAACGGCGTGGACAGCATTGACAGCAGCGGTGGTCAGGAGCACATTGCCTTCTTCATCAGCCTCTGTCAAACTTCTAACGAGCGACTCAATCTAAACGCCAATGCGTTGGCTGAGATTGTCTTCACTATGATTCCAACATGGGCTCCCACTTTGCTCATTGACAGAAATGAGAACGTTCGGCAGAGTATGCAGAACATCCTTGGTGTCTGGGTCTTTACCGACCGCAACGAGGAAGCTAGCTCTGAGGGAAATGAAGAGGACGACGAAACCGACCATGACCCCATCCAAAAGCGACGACCTGTCATTGGCAGGGAACTGGTGCGAGCTAGCATCGATCGACTTAAGACAGCATTTGTGAAAGACCCACCCCGACGCGTCGATGGCAGACAAATCGAGAATATCGCTGCAGTGATGCAGTATTGCCTGGGCAATTACTTTAGCGACAGCGAGGAGGACCAGCAAACTGTCACAGAGGCCAAAAGTATGTTTCAATCCTTCTGCTCATTAGCATCTGTTTCTTTTCTCCACAGTTCAACGTTATTGACACCTTCCCTGCTGCAGATCTCTTATTGCTTCTGGAAACATTGTCACTCGAAGAATTCCCCGAGGACCAGGCTTCCGGTACGTACTCACCCCTTGCCTAAGTCGGTAACAACCCAAGATCGAGTCTAACCCGAAGCCGCCAGAATCCGAGGCTCCCTCTCCCGAAGAATGGGAAGCCAACTCGGCAATGGCCAGTGATTCCGAGATCGGAGTTGCAGGATCTCCATAGATCACGCATGCTCTTAAAGCATTGTGCTTTCATTTCATTTTGTGTCTTATTCTCATGCGTTTTTGCGTTGTCAACAGATTCAGCGAGCGTCATATGGGACAGTGATGGTGATGAATCGGAAGGTTTTCACACAAGTTACGGATTTTACGAACTTTTGCTTTTTATTTTGCTTGTTCTTTCATTCTTTTTTTGCTCTCTCATATGATTAAATCCGGCGTTACCTTGTTGCTTGCCATGAGCCGGTGCAGGGTTAACTTCAATCAATGGTGGCCGTTTGTGAGCCAGCTCTCTTTGTGCATTGCATATCTAGCTGTTTATTTTCAAGGGAAAAAAATTAAGCATGCTGATATTGCACTTTATGTAAGATTGACTACAAGTGGAGGAAGGAAATGAGCTGGGAGAAGGTCCATAGACCATAATCGTTTATTTCATCGAATGGAACGTGAGGATTGAATTTTTATATCGCATTTTTTAAAATTTATCCCTCTTCCTCTCCACCAGCAGGAACATTGGCTTCATCATCTGACAATCCCTCCACGGCAGCGAGTGCGCCCTTCTGGGCTTTGATGTTACCCTTAGACCCAGATGCAGCAGCGGGTGCAGTGGCGAGCTTTGAGGCTGCGATACCGCCAGAAGTGACATAGAGGAAGTAATCAGCGGGGTAGTGATCAATATGGTTGAAGAAAGAACCAAATCTGCAATATAAAGTCAGTATGTGCTCTGTCTTTCTCTTTCTCTCTTGATATGTAAAAGGGAGAGATATATCATACCCAGCACTCTGCTCCTCCTCCCGAAAAATCCGATCATAAATCTCCCGCTGCTTAAATTCATCCATCTCCTTGGTATACTTATCGAAGTGAATAGGCTCACGCTCAAGAACTTTAGCCTTGGCATTGTAAGCACCGAAGATAGGCCGCTCAAGCAAGAGTCCCAGACCCGGTGCCTTGGGAATAGCAATACGGTCCGGACCGTAGGTCTCAGTAATACGATCGGGGTTGCATCCAGCACGGACAATCATTGTGGCCATAGCGACCATCTTGCGGATCTGGTGCATCATGAAGCTCTGGCCGTGGACCTTCAGGCTGAGCCATTCCGTGCCGTCGATGATGATCGGCGAGGTGTTCACGACGAAGCTCTTGATGTGCCGCTTGGCGGAGGGGTCACTGTGTGCCTTTTGGATGGTGTAGTTGTGGAAGTTCTTCGTTCCAACATACTGCGTGAGAGCGTCTTGCAGGCGGGCGATGCGTGAGGCTGGGGCGCGGTAGGCTCGGCGGGCTGTTAGGTAGGCTGCCTTGACAGCCTTGACGGTGTCGATGATGAGCTTTTGGCGCTCATCCATTACGAAGGGCTTCTTTTCTGTTGACTGTTCTGTTGGTTGCTCGGTGGGCTTGTCCGTGGACTCTGAGGTTGACTCCAGGGGTTCCTTGGTTTCATCGCTTGCTTGCAGGGCTTCGCGTGAGTCGTCGAGGTAGAGGGACTTTTCGACGATTTGACGGATGTCCTCGGGCACCTTTGCCAGGATGGGCTTGATGTACTTTTCGTCCACTTCTTCCCAGTAGCCAGTGACTGCTTCCTGTCTGGCCTTGACTTCATCTAGTTCGCCAGCTTTCTCGGCAAGCTCGGTGATCTTTTGGCCGAGATAGGTGCTGGGGTGAGGGGGCAGGAGACAGTGACTCGGCATTAGGTATTCATATACGCGGGAATCACACATCTGATAGCAGCTGAAGCTCTTGGCTGTGACCTCGTAGCCCCAAACCCGAATCTGGGAACTGAGGTGCTCGTTGATCTTCTGGATGATATCCTCGTCCTCGACAATCATCTTCAAAGAAACGACATTACCGGCAGCGTGGACTCCCTTATCTGTGCGCGCACAGCGGACGAAGGAAGACTTCTTAGGATCCGCTGCATTGGCTTTTGAGATTGCGCCGGCCTTGACGAAGGCAGCGAATAGGTCACCTTCAATGGTGCGCTGGTTCTCGTTCCTAGTCTCATTGTCAGCGCATAAGTATATCATGATGAACCAGTGTAGACATACAACTGCATGCCCGAGTATCCAGTTCCCGAGTATCCAATCAGCACGGCAACCTTCTTCTTAGGGCGCCGTTCCTCGCCATCAATCTCCTCCTTGGTGAACTCAGTCGCGTAGATGGGCAGGGTAACTTCTTCGCCATTCTCGATTCGGCGGCGTTTAGCCTCCATCTGTTGCGTCTGGCGCTCTCTCTTATCTATGCCTTGACGACTTGAATTAGTTAGCCGACCATGCATTGAATGGAGATTCCAATTGATGCAACGTACGCCCACTCGGCTCGTCCCATATCGCGCTTCTGACGCCTTCCACCACCTCCGCCTCCTCTTGACGGGTTCGAGGCCATTGTATCCGCTCAAAGGTCTTCTGTAAGTCGGCGCGAGGTCTCGTTTGTTGCAAAAAGAATGAGAAAGCGGGCAGCTGAGAGCGAAGCTTCGGGTGTTGCGTCGAACCGAGCTGGCAATATTTGAGCTTCGGGTTGTCGGGAGAATCCCAGAGAGGTTCTGCCAAACAATTGAGGGACGCATGAAAATGACTTGGGGGAATTTGCCCTCGTCTCCGCGGTCCATCTTTTCCATATCGGCCCTAGACCTATCTTGGCCTAGCGTAGCATAGAGTAGACTAAGCCAAATACGGCTAGAATATATGCCTCAGGCGGTGAATCATTTTGCATGTGACGTGAAGCTTCCAGCCTCAATTGCGCTCATCGTTCATTCACTCAACAGACTTGGCGCTGTAGCCCCGGCGCGCTCTTCTCCCAGTCACTCCTTTCACTTTGTTTCTTCTCGGAGATCAAAGCATGCTTGCTTTGCTGAAATCTTAACTACACCCTGCGAGTTGAAGCCTTGCGCTCTCTTCGGTCCTCACCCGCATTACTTTTTGACCGCGATCTTCCTCTCCGAGCACCGCCACCACCACCAATATGGACCTTGCGAATACCCTCATCCGGACTGTGGCGCGCGCCTTCTACGAGACCCGCCACATTCTGGTGGTCGATGCGCTCTTCCTACACTCAGTGTATGATGATCTTTCAGGGTTATGCTGAATGATCGACTTACTGACCGTTATAGACTCCACGCTGAGGATCTTGCGTTTCTGATGGGAATGCAACAAAAGGATCTTCGCAAGCTTTGCGCTAAGCTCCGAGAGGACCGACTGATCGCAGTGTATGGTCCACGGCCACTGACATGCATCTTGCATGGAACGAAAGGAGCTGAGCTGATTTGAAATTTCGTTGAATATAGAAGCACCCGCGCCGAGATCCGTGATGGGTCCACTCGTCCTGTGAACCGCGAATACTACTACATCCCCTTGCACCCGGTTGTTGATGCGATCAAATACAAAGTTTCCAAATTGACGGCGAACATCAAAGCGCAATACACACCGAGCGAGGAACGTAAGGAATACATTTGCATCCGATGTGGAACCGAGTGGACGGAATTGGACGTCCTGAGTCTGGTTGGCGATGAAGGATTCGAATGTCAGAACTGTGGCGCAGTCCTGGAACGAACCGAGGATGTCAAGGGCGTGGAGGGAATTGACCGTACGGGTCATGAGAAGAACAGCAAGCTAATGGCCCAGCTTGACAACATGCTCAAGCTCCTGAAGCAGATCGATACCGTGGAAATCCCACCCAATGACTTTGAAACTGCTTGGGACCACAAGGTGGAAGTCCCTAGGAACCAGAGCACACATCCAGTTCGTGCCGCGATTGTTGTTCCACCCAAGGCGCAGGATATCACACGTCCCAACGCGAAGACTGATGCAGCCGCACTGGAGATTTCCCTTACTTCGAGTGAAGAGAAGAGTGCTGCTGAGCAAGCCGATGAGGCTGCTCGGAAGGCAGCCGTGGAGAAGCAAAATGCTCTTCCAGTTTGGCACACCCATTCTACTGTCAATTCAACGCCCGCAAATGGACAGGTCAAGACCGACGGTGGCAGCTTGGTGAAGCCCGAGCTTGCGGATGACGAGAAGCCCAGTCTGGATGCCTTGGATGACAAGGTTGCCGCTTACTACGCGGAGATGGAGCGCGAGAAGGCACTCCAAGCCCAAGAAGATGCCAGCAGTGCGGATGATGACTCTGACGATGAATTTGAAGATGTCGAGGGTGTTTCTGGCCCAAGTGGACCGGGTACCCCTGCCACGAACGGCGGCCCTACAAGTGCTCCCAGCGGCTCGTTCAGCGGAGCTGGCGTCAAGCGAGATCTTGATTCCGCATCCAGTGCCCCTCAGTCCTCCGTTGGCACCCCATCCACTCCTGCTGATGATGGTCCTGCCGCAAAGAGAATTAAGGTCGACCCGGAGATCAAGCCTGACCCCGATGCCGAACCTGACACCAAGAACGAGGCAGAGGAATCGGACGAGGATGACGAGGAATTCGAGGATGTCTAACGAAATACAAAAATCAAACGTGGGCGCTGGCGCCAAAAATAATACAAGGCGGATAGATGTTGGACCCAATATTGAGGCTGGATGGTCATCAGCATCGCACCGTCCATACAGTAGGTATTACTGATGGATGAGATGTCCTATGGTTATTCACATGTCTGGTTGCTCCATGCTCGCTTTCTTATTCCCTTGTTTTCTAGGAATAAAACAAACAGTGACTTTGGTTTTTGCCTAGTTGCTTGTACCATATTAAGAATGCTTCCCCAATTTTCCACAGTACATGTAGGATCCCACTGGCTATGATGGAAATATCAAAGAAAGAACCTAAAGGTTTCTGAAGTGACATCTCGCTATTCTTTTCACAATGAGTCCGTGCTTAACGGATTTTGTTGAAAATACAAATAGAGCTTCCAAATGTATGTCTTGGGGTATATATTGCTTCCCTTCCTACTCATGTCTTTCTCTCCCCTTTTGCTCGATCATATATAATTACACAAAGTGAAGACCAGCAACTCATATCTGAATCCCGTCTGCTTTTGCGGCTCCAATGGCGAGCAAAGGCAAAGGAAGGCTATTCCTCGATCTAGGCCAGATTATAGTCATCCCAACATACCACACCAGACAGGACTAACCCAAGCCGCAACCGAGAACCTCCCGACATGGATCCTCCCACTCTGACGGCAAGCCCCAAGAAGTATCCAAACAATCTCCCATCAACATACCTTTCCCCCAAGCCCCCATTCTAACACAGACAGACCAGACTCAGACACGCCCGGCGCTCTAAACTCCGCCTCTATCACCGACTACAAAGCTCTCGCTCTCGAAAAGGAAGAGCAGATAACCAACTCCATCGCAGAGAAGATTTTTGCCGAATAGCAGCCTGCGAGTCAGGTATGTCAGTTATTCAAGAGATCCTGGGTATTCCACAGACTGATTGCTGATTGATTGACAAAAAGCTCTGTCGGAAACCACAAATCTGACACTCCTGGGACAAAGACGGCGAAGAATCCTGCAACACTGTTGGCTCACTGGTATGCTGACAAGGACACTCTCGAGGCAGGAGAGACTTCATCGGCGGCGAGAGTACGGCCCAGGCGAGCATTCAGGCAAGCACCTAGGATCGGACAACCCAGCGAGAACCCTCCGGCTTCGAGCATAAACTATCACAGGAAGGTGGAGGACGTGGTGCGGCTGCCTCGAGGGCCTTCCTGTTAGCCGCTGCAACCGGCTCTCCAACAAATCCACCCTTATCCCCAGCAATCGTTGGGATATACACGCATGGGATACCACGAGTGGAGACCGAGTATACGCCCATCAGATCTCACGTATGCGTATTTCAAAGTGTATACAATACGTTATAAGCCGAACCTAGACCAAATCCTCCAAAGAATAATAAATAGCCTTATGTTCTTCCTTGTCTCCTCAAGCAAGATGGTAAATGGTATGATATTTTCGGTGCAGTCAGCAATATATATTCATCCTTTCATAACACGCTTCACTATGGCAGCACTTTAGGTTGAAACATATCTGAACTTGTTTAGAACAAGATAGCAAATGATTAAGGTATTTTCCTCAAGGTGGTCTTAATACACGCTTTCTTCTGCGCTTGGAACTACCTGCAGAGGATTTGATACACGTAACGGTCTAGAGGTTTATTTGTCTCAGGAAGCGACTGAAGTACTGATCTTGAAGCTATATCTTGAATGAAGAATCTGGTGGAAAAACTGTAGTCGTATTGATGATAGATCGATGCTCTCCCTAGAAGGAGAAGACTGCATGCAAACTTCCTGGGGCATTTGCGACACCTTAGGCCAATAATATGCTACAGTCACGGGTTCCACCACTACAATAGCTAAAAACAGTCAATAAGGCTGTAGGGCTATCGAAGAAATGGCGAAATTCAACTGATTGGCTAATCCCAAAAGGAGAAAAACCCAAAATATTGAAAGAGGCTGGGGCTGGAGGAATCACAGTCGGTGACTTGCCCAAATTCGAACAATGGGATGGAGGTGAGACAATCCTTTGTTTGCGAGCCCTACATCGCGACTCTATTGAATCTCCTCCTATTGTCAATTCTCCAATTACGTTTTCTTTTCTTCTCTTCTTCCAGATTCTTCTCATCTTCCAACAAGACTTTCTACCTTCACTGTCATACCACCTCCTGCCAACAACATCATCATGGCATCCCAGACCTTCTCTGTGCTTTCTGGCCAGCTCGACTGGGCCGCATGGAAGGACAGTATCCGCGACCATCTGTCGGAAATTGACCACTACGCTTGGGACATCATTGATGGAGTTGCTGCATATCCGCAGCCCACGATCCAAGTTCCCCTTGTCGAAGAGATCGCTGCCCAGATTGCAGCTAACAACAATGTTTCTGTCACCGAGTTGACCAACGAACACGCCATGTCATACTACAACAACCTCACCACCAACATCACTCCTAACCAAGACAACTACGCCACCATGCTCGGTGCCTGGCGCCGCGCCAACAACTTGGGCCTGCAAGCCATCCGCGCCTCCATCACCGACATTCCCCTCGGAATCATCGTGGGCATGAACAGCTCTCGCCTGGCCTTCCTCCAGCTTGAGGAAGTCTACGGCAAGCTCCGTCCTGACTACGGGAAGGTCCGGGCAATGTACTACGACTGGTCCCAAATGCGCTTCGCCGACGATGAGGACCCCGCCGTCTTTGTTCACTGCTTCCGCGAGGCTCTGGCACACATCCGGTGCCAGCCTTACTTTGTTCACCCCTCGTCCGAGTGGCTTGTCCTCAACACCGCTATCAAGGACTCGCAAATCGGCTGGGAGTTCCTCGAGACACTTCGGATGGACAACCACGGGGCGGAGGGGTGGATGAGCCAGGTGTACGAGGAGTTTCTCGAGCACGCGGTGGACCACCATCACCAAGCTCCGTATGAGGACTATGACTCCGAGGAGGATTCCCGGGGCTCTTCCGAGCCCAATGTTTTCAGTTATGAGCCTGCCGCCGCCGATAGCTCCCTGACCAGCAAATGAGCGTGGCCTGGGCCCGTTCAAAATATTCTTTTAAAGTAAAAGCTTTGTATCATGACACACAACACAGTACTTTCTCCCGGACTTCTCTCTGTTTCTCTCTGTCGCGGGCGTGATTTCAGGTAGCAGTATGGTAATCCGTTGGTCTTAGGAATTTTTGCTTTAACTTCATCCAAGCGTCACTTTTCAGCAAATATATCGATGAGTTGGTTCAATCCATGTTGTTACCGGGAGGACTCATTGCAGCTACGTGCCTCAAGTAAAATTTGGATCGGGCGGGAAATGGCCTATGGGGCTTTATAACCCTTGACCAATGTGATTGTTCCGTCGCCGACCCTGCGACCGGAAATCCATGGTCTAGCGAGATCTCCCGCGTGGGGGCCGCTGTCACTCTTGAACTCCCAACTATCTACTGAGTCTTGAAGTGGCTTTTACCTCTAACCTGTACCTTCAATTGAAATTCCAAAGGCCAGGCCGGAGATATCACACACACTGGACCGGTAGAAATAAGCTTGTCTGATTTCAAGCACCTTGCGTACTGGAAAATATCTGGGCTCTGGGGCTGATAGGGCCCATAACATGAGCGGCACCCTGGTCCGCCGAGACGCCAGCATGCGGCCGTTTCTGCCGCTCTAATGGACCCTACGGCCCAATCAAGAAGCTAAACAATGCACCCAACACATCATATGAGGTCGCTAGAATCCCTAGTGCGACCCTAGGACGACTAGACTTCCCCTGAGCTTCAGAGGTTCTAGCACATAAGAGAGCCAATGTTTACCATGGCAGAGCGGCAATTTCAATTTGAGATCTGCACCAGACAGTACAAAAGGGAATCATCATGCCATCCAACGAAATCCTTCAAAGTGACACAATACGGGTAGACCCCAACCAGTATGCCTTTAAAACCCGCAGGCTCCGGGTGGTCTGCATCGGCGCGGGTTTCTCTGGCATCCTCATGGCCCATAAGCTCAAATACGAGCAACCACTTGATTTCGTGGACCTTGCGATCTACGAAAAGAATAGCGAAGTTGGCGGCACATGGCTCGAAAATGTGTATCCTGGAGTCGGATGCGATGTGCCTGCGCACAGCTACATCTTCCCATTCGAGCCTAATCCATCCTGGTCTAAATGCTATGTGGGCGGTGAAGAAATTGAGAAATATATCATCGATACGGTGGAAAAGTATGGACTGAAAGACCAGATCGTGTTCAATACCAGAGTCTTGAAGTCCATCTGGAATGAAGATCGGGGGAAGTGGGCTCTCGAGCTCAAGCAAAACGACAAGACGATTATACAAGATGAAGCAGATATTTTGATTAATGCTGCTGGTATTCTCAACAGGCGGAAAATGCCAAATATCAGTGGTCTAGATCAGTTCTCTGGCAAGCTCGTGCACACGGCGGCATGGGACAAGTCCTACGACTGGTCTGGAAAGCGCGTTGCTGTTATTGGCAACGGTTCATCTGGACTCCAAGCTTTGCCTGCGCTTCAACCAAAGGCCTCAAAGATCGTCAACTATATTCGCCATCCGACTTGGGTGTCTGTCAACCTATGTCCCGACATAACCAAGGACGGAATGGGAACCAACTTTGAGTACAGTGAGGAGGAAAAAGTGAAGTTTCGGGACGATCCTAACGGCTTCTTGGAGTACAGGAAGAAGATTGAGAACTCGTAATGTTAAGCCTGTCAGTCTTAATACTCTATGTTGCTAATACTTCGAAGTTTGAACACCGTCTACCGGCTGATGCTCTCCGGCTCGGACCTCAACCGTACGTTATCCACTGGGGTCGAAGGACTCATGCGGCAGCGCCTAAGTGAGAGCCCACATCTTATTGAGAAGCTGGTTCCGAAATACGAGATTGGATGCCGTCGACTTAGCCCTGGCGATGGATATCTCGAGGCAATGCAGCAGCCTAATGCAGAGTGGTGCTTTGAAGACATCCAGGAGATCACTAAAAGCGGGATTCGGACCGCGAATGACGAGCAGGAGTTTGATCTCATCGTCTGTGCGACCGGGTTTGACACTACCTTCATACCTGGATGGGAGTTAGTCGGCCGGGATGGTCGACGGCTCGACTGGGAATGGAAAAAAACACCTGAGGCGTATTTCTCTATTTGTGCAGGTGGAACTCCAAACTACTTCATGTTTGCAGGCCCAAACTGCCCCATTGGTCATGGGAGTGTGCCCCAAATGCTTGCATGGAGTGCTGATTACATGCTGAAATGGATCAAGAAGATTGCTCGTGAAGATATCAAGTTGGTTTTCCAAAATATGATGTCATTCATGTCAAACTAACCTTTGAATAGATCAGTTGCAGTGAATGACTCCGCCGTTCGTGCCTATAACCGCCGTGCACAGGCCAACCTGAAAAACACCGTTTGGAGCTAGGGCTGCAATGCTTGGTATAACAATGAGCATACTGTCACTGCCATGTATCCGGGAAGTGTAATCCATTTCAAAGGCAAGTCACCCACAGAATAAGAAAGAGATGCTTACAGGGATACTGACATGTAAATTTACAGAGGCTATTGAGGATATTCGTGGAGAGGACTTTGATATCCGATATGCTACTTCCGATCCTTTCTCGTATCTCGGAAATGGTGAGCTTGAATGGGAGAGAGCCGAGGCAGCTGACTTGTCATTTTATTTGGCTTTGTAGAAGCTGCAGCCTATAAGCAAGCTTTTAGGATGTGAGAAGCAAGGTGAAATATAGACAGCGCCTGCCGACAGCTGGATTGATGTATTATGCGGACGAGCATGGTATAAGTTAGCTGGTTGAAATATATGAACTTCAATGGGGCAAACAGAAGCATGCGATGTATCTTTTAATGGAGGGATAAGTAAGATATCTATCGTTGCTAAAATGTGATTGGATATTTACTTGACAGAGTAGCATCAGCAATTTGAGAAGTATACAAAGTTTTACCAACATCTATCTTAGCCCGCTCAAATTCTGAACTTGTACTAAAGTTTATTGCAATTGAGTGAGATGTGATTTCTCAATATGAGGTAGAAGCTACTGACGTATGCCTAACTTATGTGGTAGGTTGTAAGTACTAGATTGTTGTGCGTTTATTGATCCTATGCAGCCCCTGCGTCGCATAATCCAACTGAAGTGCTACTCTGTTAATGTACTCTACGAGAAATCCGCAAGGAGGTCGCGAGGAACCATGCACGTCTAGAAAGTAGAGATCAAGAAATTAACTCTTAGAGAACAACATCTGAAACTATGAAGTGAGACTGATTCTTGAAGGTCCAGGGGGAAAACGCCAAAGCTGCGGCAAATAAGGTTGTGGCTGACGCCATCCGCGATCATGACTGAGCAACATGTACATACATGTATCTTCATGTGTCCAGTGCCAAATGAGCCATGCTCATAAGGCTCAGTCATGTCAGCAATAGGAACCCACATCTGTGTCCCTGACAAATAAGTTAGACTCAAACATAGACGTACAGTATGTAAATACGGCTCTGTTGGGCTTAACAAGTAAGATTACAGTACACAACCGATGTTCTTGGTAATCGCTCGAATAACACAATCACCAAAAGCTATAAAATCTCTTACGTGCTTAATAATCCTTTTAAAGGATAAACTGAGGTGATAGATAAAGGTGGATGAAGCCATTCACTTGCCTGCTTATACATATAACTTATACAGTGCTCAGTTTACATTCATAAAATATTGAGGTGAACGGAGTATTCGGTAAATAAGATTTGCAATGAAAGTATCCCGATTCGAGCACCGATCAGTTAGTTAAATGAGCAAAGGCGTGGTCTGTTATAAGGATCTGCATCACAAACACCCGATCAGTGGTCCGACCGAAAAATCCCGATTGAAAATGGTTTTTCGACCCACAATGTCTCGTACTAAGTGGGCAGGGTAGCCCGTGTACGACACAGGGGTAGCGGATTACAAAAATAGTCAGCGATGTATCCAACCTTAGAAGTGCTCACTCAAGCGTTAGCTCAGCTCCCGGCGTTTAACCGGCATATGCAAGGGCCCATAATTTTCTGTCAAAACAACAAAAAGCAAGGGCCTGTTGTCGAGGAGATGAAGAACTTTCTACATAAATAATGGCAACCTTGCCTTCTTCAGATTATATGACTAAATCTTCAATAGCCTAATCAATAAGCGAGAGTTGGATACGCGCATGGTCCCGGAGCTGAACAGATTCCTGCCGTACCGGGAAATTTAAGTTTCCGGCCCAAGATTCTGGGCCATGGCAACAAACCTAAAGCGGAGATCTTAGATCCGGCTGAGCTGGGACCATGGATCTGGCTCAGGGGCTTGTGGAATCTTAATAGAACCTTGGAACCTGCCGATGTGGGTAGGGACAGTCAGTTCTTCAAATCTTGGGTACTTGATTTTATCACTCGCATGCACCTCTAACACAATGTACTCTTTGAGGTCAGCTTGTTTGCTGTTTCCACTCTTCTTGTCGGCTTTGGCGAAGCCAGCTGCAAGTGTCTCTTCAGTAGAGACCCGCGGCTTTTCAGACTTGATATCAAATCTGGAGAGCAGCTTGCAGGCCGTCGGCTACTTAGCGCAAGGTATCACACAAGATGTAACTCTGCTAGTATCTGCACTGCGCGATGTCCAAGACGGCAAGATCGATCCTGTTACAACCCTCGAAGAAGCTCTGGGCTCTCTTGGAAACGTACGCAACGCAAATGATGTTGGTCTCATCGGAGTCGCCATCGATGTCGTTACCAATGGACTGGCCCCGAAGAATATTCTCGATCTCGTGAAAGGTCTGACAAACGCGCCTTTGAATTCAATGGACAACGACAACTCCGAGGAACCGTCAAGCCCTATATTCCCCAAAAAGGCTTCCGACGATGCGCCGTACAGTCTGAGCGAAGAAGAGCTCCGCTCAACAATCTACATCCCCGACGAATTCCAATATGGCGCTAACGGCAAACGACCTGTCCTTCTCATCCCTGGCACGGCCAATGCAGCCGGTACCACATATTACTTCAACTACGAAAAGCTACTCTCCGAAAGTGATTTCGCCGATCCCGTCTGGATCAACATACCCGGCAATACCCTCGCCGACATCCAGATAACCGCGGAATATATCGCGTACGCGATCAACTACATTTCCGGTATCTCCCAAGACACCAAGATCGGGGTGATCGCCTGGTCGCAGGGGAGCCTAGACGTCCAGTGGACGCTCAAGTATTGGCCATCGACTCGGGACTCGGTCGATGATTTTTTGGTGATTAGCGGCGAGTTCCACGGCTCCCTTTCGGCGGAACCGTGCTTGGTGCAGAGTTCTCTATGCACACCTGCGATCAGGCAGCAAGGCTACGACTCCAATTTTATCAAGACGCTCCTGGCTGAAGATGGAGACTCGGCGTATGTACCGACGACGAGTGTGTACTCCGGTATCGATGAGCTTGTTGCCCCACAGGTTGGTCCGAATGCGTCGGCGCGCTTGAAGGATGTGCGCGGAGTTGGCGTCACTAATACGCAGATCCAGCTGGCCTGCCCCGGTTTGCCTGCTGGCACTTTTTATACTCATGATCCCATGTTATTCAACCCGCTTGTTTATGCGCTGTTTGTTGATGCACTGACACATGAGGGGCCGGCGGATCTGTCCCGGGTTGATTTGGACACTGTGTGTAATCAGATCCTCGCTCCGGGGCTTGTGTTAACGGACCTGCTCGGCACGGAGGTGGAGGTATATGTTTATAATGTTATTGATTTCATGTCTTTCGGATATATGGGATCCAGTGAAGAGCCGCCTATTAAGGACTATGCTCGCATGTCCTCCTGATGGCTGGGTCGAGCTTTATTATGTGCCTTATGTATATATTTATCATATTGTTGAAAACATAATTACCATTCGTGGCTTCAAAAACCATTCTTGATCGAGTGCCACAGCTTCCATAAATGCGTTCAACGGGTATATAACACACATTTAACCACTTTGAAAGACAGGAAAGACAAGAAAAATAACGTAGTGGACGTAGGTAAATACAAATGAAGAGGACGGATAGCTCTGATGTAGATCCTATACTCAGCGCTGTGTTAATTTAGGCTTTTAGAGCCTGGGAGTGTTCGCTGTGGTATTATCATCCTGGTTCATTAGCCCGCGTAGCTCCAGGGCTGTTACAAAAATGAAAGCTGGCGAAAGTTATAAATAGTGTAAATTTCCTTTCCACACAATGTTTCTCGCAATCCCAATTGTATCAAAAAGAGACTAGCTTTAACTAATGCGGTCCATTATTCAACAAGCATGACGGCAGCCAGCTGTGGCTTTTCGCGCAGTGGCCTAGTGAAAGAGTACCTGGCAAAGTACGACATCACGTCTAATTCGACAGGAATCATTCGGAATACCTTAAGTAGCTGACGAAGTGCTGTCAAGTGACTCGGGCTACAAACCACAATGTTGCTTGTGGTCTCATATATAACCTCTTTCGAGACTGGAATATGCACAAACGATCAATCACAGTGCGTGGAGAACAAGACTTCCTGTCCGCTCAGTCACATTCTCTGTCCAGATGCACTACGAGCTGTCAATGCACCCTTGATACCTAAGCGGCACTCTAAGATAGGAGTGAACCATTTAGGTGAGAATCCTGGAGGCCGAGGTTAGGGTGGGTCCTAGTAACGGACCAATCATCTGATTCTCGGGACAATCAAGCGCCCCGGGAGCGTTACTGGCGATCGGGTCCACCCGTATTGAGCACCCCAAGTGAGAGGCACTACTCGGTAATGCAGTACAACGCATATATTCTGGACAAACGAGGGAAAGAGCATTAAACCTATGATAGTCGCATAATAATTGCGATCGACAAGGCTATAGCCAGCCCATCTATGTTGGATGAGTGGTAACCTAGGGCATTGGTTAGCCTAGAGGTGACAAACAATGAAACGGTGGATCATGACGCCAGTTGTTCCGCAAAGCCGGAATTGCCTGTCTGTTCCAAGGTTAGGATCTCAATATTCCTAACGTCCTCCCTGATAAAAACAACCTCGAAAGAGCGGTGTGAGTGCATAGTTGCGCCCCCCCTCCCGGGTTTATTTATCTCACCCTTGCTCCTAGCCGTAAATGATACGCATATCACAACTTAACTCAGTTTACCATTTCTCCGCGGCCTTGTCTGAGAGACTATCTACAGAAAAGATGGCTTCGGTCTACAAAAACAACATCACGTCTCTTAACCAGAGCTTTCAGTATCAGAATTCCACTCACAGCTATACTGTCAAATGGTGCTCGCTAGGCAACCCTGCCTCCCCACCGCTTATTTTCATACACGGAACGCCCTGGTCCTCCAGACTCTGGGTGCCCTTTGCCCTATCTCTATCTCGGCAGTTCCACGTTTATCTTTTTGATAGGCCTGGCTTCGGAGCTTCTCCCCCTGAACGGAAACTACCCGGTACAAGTACCAGCTCTAATAAAGTCGAAGAGCTCGATGCGGATCTTGCCCGACAATCTGAGGTCTATGCTGCGCTTTTTAAGTCGTGGGAAAAAGAGTGGCGCAATCAGAAGGCCCACATTGTAGCTCACGATAATGCTGGCTTGGTCAGCTTACGAGCGAACCTGCTCCATGACTGCCAATACGCAAGCCTCTGTCTCATTGATGTGGTTGCCATTGGACCGTTTGGTCAATCACTTTTCGAGGTTGTCGCAAATGACCCTCATCACTTTCAGCAACTCCCTGACATGGCGTTCGAGGGCATATTGGAGAGCTACATCCGCAATGCTGCATTTTATGAGATATCAAAGGAGATAATGCAGGCCTTGAAATCCCCTTGGATGAGAGAGGGTGGGAAAGCCGGCTTTATCCGAGAGCTATGCCAAGCTAATTCAAGATCCACGGAAGCAGTTGAAGGACGATATGGAGAAATCGGACGCAACATGCCAATCAAGATTATTTGGGGTGCGGAGGATAAGTGGATTCCGGTAAAAAGTGCTTGGAGACTAGGAGACGCACTAGAGGCCAAGGAGGTTGCGGTCATTGAAAAAGCAGGCCATCTCAGTATGCTTGACCAACCAGGACAGTTTGGAGTTGAGTTGGGAAGATGGCTAAGTGCCTTTGAGCTACGTTGAATAAATTTATAGCCAAATTCAATAAATAACTTTCTCCGCACACTTTCGGATCAGTTCCATTGAAAGGCAGAGTAAAGGTTAAAATGAGGTCAAAAGAAGGTGGTTCGTACTGGTCGTGGTAACCCGTATGCCAGTTCGGTGGTCGTCAATGGACGTCCTCTGAATTGGGTGTGCGGGAGCAGTCAGTTATTGTGGCGAGATATGTCAGATCCCTGCATGGCAGCTGCCATCCATGGTTGAGTCTACAACCAAATAAGTTCTTGAAAATGGCTCTTCATTCGATGGATCTTAACGAAGATCCACCATCGGTAGCGGGAGCGGGAGCTGACAAGCTCAACTTGTGCCGTTAAATGGCAGTTCACACTCAATCAGACTCTGGGAACCTTTTCCACCGCTCCAAATCTTATTGATCGTAAGGCCTGCCTTCGTTTCAATGAGGTTATACCAAGCTGTACGGGTGCGTTCTTGAGCAGACATAAGTGTCAGCATGACCATGTCGAGTGCTGTGGCTTCCCAGTAGGCAGCTGTTTCCGGTATCACATGCTCATGAATCAATAGCCTGCTATATCCGCGTTTCATGGCAGGCTTAACTTGCGCAAGAATGCGTTCGCATACTTCGTCTGGCCAGTCATGCAAACAATTGTGCAAATAATAGGCTCGGGCGCCTGGTAGTGTAAGTATGCATTTCGCCTCCAGAAGAACAGTTCGTGGTGCTATATGGTCCTTACCATTGATGGGCTGTTTCGTATGGAAGTCGTATTCCATACGGATAATAGACGATTCTAGATCCTGGATTTGACCTATGACCACGGGTAGATCTTGAAGGATCAGCTTTCCTGGGACCTCGGGGTAAAATCTGTGAAACAGCTCTAGGTCATGACCCACGTTTCCGCCAATATCGACGAGAAACGGAGCCTCTGGATCTGCGTCAGCGCCGTCGATCAGCCTCTCTTTCACTGAGTAGAAGCTAGGATCCATCCAAGGCAAAGAGCCAAGGGCGTAGCCGCTCATGTGGTCACTAAAGTGTGAACCATAACCCAGAGATTGTTGCCATGTAAAGGTATCCATCGCCGTTCTGTAGGCGTACATCATTGCCGTGTCTTTCGCGTCAGTGGGATTCACCCAACCTCGCTTTCGGGAGAACTCGTGGAATCTCATAGGACCGGCACTTGTGCAGGAGAGCCTGCGGATGTCAGCAGCTAACCAAGAAAGAATCCAGGCTGAGAGCGTTTGCTTACATAGCGAGGTAGCTATTGCCAATCGCCGGAATGCTCATGGCCTTCATATAATTCGTCAACCTGTATTCGTCCACACCAATCTCGATGAGATACCCCATGGCGCTGAGGTGTCGCATTAGTCGACCTCGTAGGGCGTTAGCTAGCCTGACCAAAGGGGCTAACGTGGAACATACTCAGAAGTACATGATTGATCCCAAGCTCCTCTGCCAACTCGCCCACCTTTTGTGGCTTGTCGCCGTTTTGCGCCATGAGTTCCCACAAACCCGAGTCCACACCAAAGTTCAGGCCAGCCATTGCACCGGTCTGTCTGCCAGTTAATCTCGTTGGGTTTACAAGGCACTAACAGCGGAGTACTTGCATGTGCCCAACAGTGATAGATCATGGTCTCCCGGGGAGTTTCCAGAGCTTGAACCAAGGTGCGACATTTGGCAAGCAAGTCTTCTCGTCCTGCATTGCTGATAGTAAAGGCATCGAAGGCTTGTGTTATCTCCTTTAGCAACGTAGGAATCGCTTCGATGTCATTCGGCTCCGTAGCGATGGATACATCGACATGGGATTGACCTTGCTCTGTTCTTTGGGCTGGCATATTGCTCACGTATAATCATGGAGACCTGGGTGGACTTGGAAGCAATGTGATATACAGACCTTGCGCTCTGCTGCAGATGTAGATGATTATGTTGCAGGGAGGCCCAGGTGTTGCCAAGGTCAAATATACCCCGGGTGATAGTGGCTGAAATCCAGACTCTTCCCCCCAATTAAAGCACTTTAGGACACCACCTTGATGGATTGCTAACATCTGATTTTTTACATCCCGACCGACGATTTTGCTCAGGTTAACATGAATATTCGATCATGTATATGATCACGCTGCAGGACAAAGCCCTGTGTTGATGATTCGACTATTCTAGACAGGTCATGACTCATGCAACAGGCGATTCTACCTCTGTCCCCTGTCCCGTCAAGAGTAGACATTAGGTCATGTGGTTACACAAAGGAGAAACTAGTTCCTGCGGCTGCTATCTTTAGCTCAAAGCCAAAATTGGATCGGGCATGCATCTTTACCGATTAGGAATAGCGTTGAACTCTACCGGGCGATGAACGTCTGAGCTGTATGTAGCTGTGGCTGAATATCACCATAAGTTGAGGAAGGTTCGCGGTTCAACGAGACGCCATAAAGTTTGATGTGCTCATTTGGTCGGTTGGTGGGCCACGTCACAAAGCCACTGTAAAAGTCGGTGAAGGATTTTGGAATATCACCCACTGCATATAAATTGCCTGGCCGGATGTTTTGGTCATGCGAACCGAGTCAGAATTGCCACAAGAAATAGGTCTAGAACCGGTTTCTTTGAAAACCTTGTTGTATCTGGGAGTTATTATGCGGGGGAAGATTGCTACAGAGGCATCTACCAAGCTCCACTCCTGCCTTCCAGGGTTGCTTAGCTTCCATAGTTTCTGCACCACTCAATCTAGCGTTGCGATACCTCCACCCTATACAATTCATGCCAGATTTCGGTGTCTACGCGCCTGATTTGCAACATCAAACATGAGTCCTTGCGCCCGTCCGATGCTCGCACAATCAGGCTTACTGTTTCCTCATTGACATCCTTCCCAATTCAAACCATCAGTGCTACCTAGCAGGTCGTCACATGACTACCAAGTGCCAGGATACGAGGACACTGTTGTACAAGGTTCTAGGCTAATGCAGTCTGCACTGCAGGAAAATTGGTTTTATGTCTTCTAACAAGGCTGAGACCATTTGGTGATGGCCGAGAGCAGCCGATGATATTGATTGAAAGTATCCAAATATAGTTCCAAAGATTTTCCAAGGCTTCGTGAATGAGGTGCTTTGTGATTTTGGTGCAGTTACGCTTTGACGACCCTTCCAGGGTTACTATTTCCGCGCAGAACTGGCTCGCATATCTAAGAGCCATGGAAAACGTAGACTGCAGAAAAATAACTACAACAGGACAGCCAAGTAGTGGGGGCTGCAATTCCAGATAGACGAGAAGGCAATCACACCTCCAACTCACTGGTAAGGATTGATTGAGCATTCCCATGCTGACTCATGTTACTCGAGCCCTCACCTGCAGATATTTGAAGGGATTGGATTAAGTCGGTGGTGTCAGCCCTCGGCATAGACCATCTCAATAGTACCCAATCCGCGGTAGTTTCTTCTTCCACAACTGTCCGCACCCAGGACCTCACAGATAGAATGATCTTGCACAGGTATTTTCACCTAGCATCAACTCAACAAGGGTATTTCCTGAGAAATGGCCTTACAACCAAGGGCAAATTGCACAACTTGCCTTGGAGCAGTCGTGTCTTCATGCATTCGATTTCACCCCCTGGCTGGAGGCAGTTGGACATCGCTGTTGTCGGCGGCGGGATAGGAGGAATGTCCGCGGCGACCGCTATGCGCCGTGCCGGCCATAAGGTGTCTATTTACGAACGTGCCGATCTTATCGGTCAGGCCGGTGCTTCTATTTCGTGTGCCGCAAACGGTACGCGCTGGTTGCACGAGTGGGGTGTAGACGTCGCTAAAGGCGATGGGGTCATTTTACAAAAGCTTATCAGCCGCGATTGGACGACGGGCAAGATCCTAACCGAGTACGAGCTGAATGACTATGAGGAACGATGGGGACATGTGTACTACATGTTTCAGCGTCAGTGTATGCACACAATGTTGAAGATTTCAGCATTGGGGGATGGAGATGGGGTGCCGGCAAAACTCTTCTTGAATTACAAGGTAATATGTCAATATGAGCATCTACTTGCCCCAGTCCCTTCCGGAGCGGATCTAATATTCCCTATCAGTGCAAGAACATCGATCTCAACACCGGTTTGATTGAATTTGAGAATGGAAGGTCTGTCAACCATGATCTCATTGTCGGCGCGGATGGCATTGGATCTGCCGTTCGTGGTGTTCTCGGTATCAGGCCTGAGAAGCGACCTGCCGAGTCTAGCTGCCTACATGCAAACGTAGTCACTGAAGACGCGATCGCCGCTGGCCTTCCTGACTTCTCTCAAGAAAACGCTTTGCAGTTCTGGGGTGGTCATGGGGAGATCTGGGACAAGATCGTTCTCTCTCCATGCCGAGGGGGCAAGCTGCTGTCATACTATTGCTTTTTCCCGAGGGAGAAAGGAGACTACATGAATCATTCCTGGGGGAATCCGACCGACCAGTGGAAGAATTGCTTGCGCCGTATCCTCAACTCGATGCGCAAGTCCGCGGGCATTTGGCACTTGGAAAGGAAATCCAGCCGTGGCGTTTATGGATGCAGTGAGTTGAGCCCCACACATAAATTGGCAATGAATTGATAAGCCCTATTCTCCACAGCGATCCGTATCCATATATTGCAAGGAATATGGTCTGCCTGCTAGGTGATGCAGCTCACCCAGTACGCCACACTGTTACATCACTCGGGGTCAAACATTGAAACTAACAAACATTCAGATGATGCCTCACCAAAGCCAAGCCGCCTGTATGGCAATCGAAGACGCGGCCGCCTTAGGCATTCTTTTTAGCAAGAAATATTTCATGGGAGACATATTCGAGTCTCTATCTACTTATGAATCGGTTCGTCTGCCCAGAGCAACCAAGGTCCAGGCAGCAGCGGCACGAGCCTCGCAGAATATCAACGAGCGAATTGGTGAGTTACAACTACTTACTGTTCTCCTGATGTATTCCCACTAACATCTTTGCAGGATTCTCTAGCAATATTGACAATCCAGTTTACGTAGTGAAGAGCGAGCGGGGGAAATTGACAATCGAAGAGATGAATGCGTGAGTCTCCAATCCCGTCAAACTGGTCTAGTCTGATTAGTGACAGCTACGATATGCTTATGCATATTGATGAGGTAGTCTGCAGGCGTACCGGGGAAGCGTATCCTCACAAGTATACTGGGGGTCTGCCAATAGGGCTACGGCTATCAAACGGATATACCGTTGGAGATGAAGATTAGTCTTACGACTAGAGTATGCTTCATGCGAGCTAAACTCAGCATGCTACTACACAGCACTGTTGCAAAGTCTTTTTCCCAGCTGGGTATGCTATATGGAGAGCATGGACTCTGATTTAAGCCACTAGAATGCACACTCCTGCACATTGCTTAGGTTCCATCACCTGGGGGTGATCCCAGCCCTAGAGGATGATGGTGCCAATGTCCACGGCCACTGTGTGGTTTGGTTGGTGGCATTGGACTTGCTGGATTGACTGCACAATGTTGAACTGTTCACCGCTAAATGTACTAGCTTATGGGAATCCTCATTTTCAACATCCGGACCCCACTTAACCTTTAGACTTTAGATATAGATTCGTATCCCGCACTACGTTCCCGTGTAGATAGACATATGTTCGAACGTAGTTGGAATATGAAAACCAGGGGACATGCAGTGTAACACGAATGCATGCAGCTACCCAGAGGACTGAAGTAAGCAGCATGAGAGGAGGCAATTGTGGCGCAGATGGATCCACCAATCCGATGACCACTTGCCTCACTCCAGCGCTGGGCAGGCTCGATGAAAAGGCCTGTAGGTCTATTGGAGACGGTCTAGGCGACTGAGATCTCACGGGAAAGCCTGTGGCTTGCAGAACTCCTCTGCTTAGTTGTGTCTGATGTGCCATCACCGCGTTCACCATCAGTCAGGATCCACTTCCCATAGAGAGCAGATTGCACCTGCCCAGGTGGTAATACCTCTCCTCTATCCCTCCACGCTCTCTCCGTGACTGTTTCTCCCTGGACATATCTTCCTACGTCTATCATGACTCTGGGTGGGATTGACGCGGCTATCTGTCCGCGATGTTTGGGCTTGAAATACTCCTCACTTTCAAGCAACGCGTGCTGTGCATTTATTGGAGACTAAATGAGATGTCTGAAAAGATACAGGTCACTTCTGCATGAAAGGTTCGGTGATACAGATCGACACCATGCGTTATCTCGCTCAAGCCTACACCAAATGCAGTTGGCCTCACAATTGGGCTTTTTCGGGTATCCACTGTCGCTTTGCCTCCATTCCAATTTCGATTCGGCGTAGTCCTTCGATCAGATTTTCTCGAGGTAGAGCAAACGTGAGTCTGAACCAGCCCGGTTCTCCGCTCTTGAACCTGGAGCCAGCACCAACGGCCACACCTGCTGCAGCAAACTTTTTAAATAGCTCTGCGTCTGTTTCCTTTGTTGCTAGCTCGCCCCCAACCCGCGCCCACATGACGCAACCAGCAACCGGTGAATAGAACACAATTTGATGGAATGACAGGAAATCTTCTACTATCTCCGCTGCTTTGCGCAGGCGAGCTTTGCTGTGGTCCAGTACATTTTCAACCGTCTGCAGATTTGAAAAGAGAGAAGCAACAGCTACCGATGCCATATTACACACCTTGAACCTGTTGAGGACCGCTAGTGCACGACGAAGCCCGGGATTTGACTGCGTAATGAGATAGCCCTACGGATGCGTCAGCGTTGGTCTGCATGTGCATACTCATTGAAAATTCCGACAAACCAGTCGAACCCCGCTGCTACCCAAATCCTTGCTGATACTGTAAGCTACATGGACACGAGCTTGGTCGACACCCAGTCGCTTCAGGTCTATCGACAATACCGATGTGAACTTTGTTTCTAGCCCGATCACAGTATCGGGATTGGCATATTGACCGCATCTAGTCGCCCCAAAATTTGAAAGACCGTATATCTCGTCCGAGATGAAGTGGATGTTGTGAGCTTCGCAGAACTGAAGCAGTGCCTCTAACCACAAAGTAGGATAAATCTGACCAAGAGGGTTGTGGGGATTGCAAATGATGAGGCCCCGAATCGGACACGTTGCATTTTTCATCGCTTCGCTGTAGAGCTGTATAAAATCTGCTGCGTTTGTTGGTCGTCTCGAATGTCTCACGGGAACTATGCGGACGTTGTTTCTCAGCGTTGACGTGACAGCAAACCCATCCCACATGGGTGTCTCCAGTAGTATACCATCCCCAGTATCTCCAATCGAAAATATCAGGGTCTCAATAACCGATGAACATCCTGTGCTTGTGACGATGTGCTCGGGTAAAATGGCAACTTGAGGAGAGAAGAAGCGATTGAAAAATGACGCCGATACATGCAAAAGGCCTGGAGGTCCACCCAGCTCTTGGGAATATGAGAGATCCTGCTGTTTCAGGTCCAATGACATTGCGTCTTGGATCAAAGGCAGTACGTCTCGTCGGATAAGCCAATTCTCCGCCATGTCCATTCCCAGTACGCCCTTTGGAGGATTTGGCTCGGCGGAGGCATGCTCTGAGAGCCAGGATAGACTTCGCTTCATGCGGCCTGAGAGCATCATTGACGGAGAGCAACTGATGGAAAAAGGGCTTACATGCGGGGACGCAACGCGTCTGACCTTCCATTTAACTTACAGATTGGACCGGTTTATGTCTTCAACATCAATAGCAATAATATCGGTCGGGTGTGGCTGAACTCACCGCTGTTTCGCTGTGAAGCTCCATGCAGGAAGGGAAGCATGCAAGTCAAGAGCACAGGGTACTCGATCAATCGATTTCAATCACCTGCCATGTCCTCACAGAGTTCGCTAGATGTAACTGAATTGGTTTAAGTTTGATCGTCGCTGCGTTCAGAGCATGCATGTAGGCTGATTCAATAACGTGTCTTTTCCATTTCCGCCAGAGATCGAAAGCCCACTATTACACGGGCAACGACTGAGGAGGGAACGAACGCTGGAAGTTGAGGAAGAGAAGAACCACTGCGAATGGAGGAGTGCTATAGGTCTTGTTTTGCCCTAGCTACCGGTAGGTCCCGCTAAACCAACACTATTGACACTCTCCTCCGCCAGTCCTCGACAATGTTTACCGCATGAAATGGTTCAGAATTTTCTCGTATTTCAGTCCGGTTACTGGCCCTACCTGTGCATATGCATGGGGCGTAGGTGGGAGAATAGCTCTCCGATTCTCCTTGGCAGCAACAAGGTTCTCCAGTTCTGCACCGAGATCGTCTTTTTTAAGTCATGGCAAGCGATCATCACGACAGATTGGTCACTCGTGCCGACCTTGACTCGGTCTACATTTTGTGACACGTGCATTGAGAGATGCAGGTGAGGTTCCTGGCATCCACACATCTCGGTATGCAGAACTGCAGAGGGAAATATCCTGCATCCTATCGCGGTTTTGCTTCGCTGAACCACTTTACATCGTAGGATTGTCTTGAGCCATACATTTTCTGCCTTCTAGCCTTGTCGCCTATTGTCTTCCAGTTGAGTGCTGTGCCTCGGATTAGAATTACACAAATGTGAGTTGCAGATTGAGCTGAAAACGAGGCGAAATCCTATGAATGCAGGACTGATATAGTCTTATCCTGCCCTACCTATACCTTATTTAATGGCAAGTCCCGACTTACAAAGAGGGTTAGAAGAGTAGTGATATTTCACGTTTAACCATCTATATTTACCATTATTACCATTGAAGATGCTTTTGGAATCTGTGGACAGGCAACAACCACTGGCTGTGCTGATTTTTGGAATCACCACAATCCTTGTTTACCACCTCTACCGCACGTACTCGCAACTGCAGCACATTCCCGGCCCCCTCGTCGCAAAATTTACCAACTTCCATCGCTTTCTCCTCGCGCGTCGTGGCCGCCTCCACCTGTACCAAGACCGCGCTCACCAACGATATGGGCCCGCCGTTCGTTTCGGGCCCAACCTAGTATGCATTTGTGACCCGGAGGCCATTCAATCAATTTTCAACCTACGGGGTGGATTTCCCAAGGTCTGCCAACCCCATCTCTATGATATAATCTCTATCCATGTTGATGGATGCTAATATCATCCGACCGATGCAGAGTAATATGTACCGCGCCTTCCGACCCTGGACCACTGATGGCCTACTCCTCTCCGTCTTCACCGCAGAAGATGACGCTTCAAATCGAGAGATGAAGCAACACATCTCTGTGTATTATTCGCTCTCGTACGCTGTATCGTCCTTTGAGCCAAGAATGGATAGTGCTTCGCGAATGTTCTTTGACGAGCTTGATCGCCGGTTCGTGCCAACGGGAGCACAATTCGACGTGACACAGTGGATGAAATTTCTATCCTACGATACCATGGGCTTGATGACATTTTCCCGGCCATATGGCTACGTTCAGCATGGGAGAGACTTACACGGCATCATGGACGATGTGAAGAGAGCAAACCTCAGTATCGGACCCGTAAGTTATACATGACGGAGGACTTTGACTTGCAGCAAGACTCAAATATTTGCAGATGACGCAGATACCATGGCTCGATTGGCTCTTGCATAAGAACTGGGTAGCAAATCTCTTCAAACGCGAATCCATTGCCCCTCTGCTGGACTACGTCTTGGCGCGTATTTCAGAGCGTCAGGAAGAACGTCGAAAAAATCCCAAATCGCCCTCCAATGCAAATGTCGACGGACCCATTCCTGCAGGTGACTTCCTTGGGTATTACCTCAATGCCCAGGAGAGAAAGGATAATGTGCCACTTCGATTTGTGTCAACCTGGACTTTTGCTAATATTCTTGGAGGGGCCGACTCCACGGCTTCCATGCTTCGATCTGTAGTCTGTTTTCTAATAGAACACCCTGGCGCACTGGAAACTGTACGGGCTGAGCTGCGGGATAAGCAACGCACTGCCACCGGACTCACTCTACCTTTCCCACAATGGCATGAGCTGCAGAACCTCCCCTTCCTAGACGCCTGTATTAAAGAGTCACTCCGGCTTGATGCTCCATTCGCTATGCCTCTTGAACGAGTAGTTCCTGCAGAGGGAGCCACAATCTGTGGTCACTTTTATCCTGGGGGTACCGTGGTTGGGATGAGTCCATATATTACTAACCGCTATAAGCCGACATGGGGTGATGATGCTGATCAGTGGCGTCCCCGTCGCTGGTTGGAAGGCGAACCGTCGCATATCAGAAAGCTTGAAGCCAGTCTGCTTAGTGTAAGTCAAGTTTAACCGACTTCCCTGGTACGTTCAATGTCTGATTGTACCAGTTCGGGGCCGGGACACGAGGTTGTCTGGGCCAGCACGTCGCACTTTTTGAAATCAAGAAGTTTGTCACAGCGCTCTTCATGAACTACGATGTAAGTATTTGAGCATAAAGTCAATGATCTATACTTACGGTTTAGATCGATCTTGTCGAGCCTCGAGCGAAGTCCAATCCGTACTACTGGGTCGTATACCCAGAGAGCGTGCAGGCGACGGTTAGAAAACGCGAGTTCAAACAGTAGGTAGGACATATCCCAGAAAAGGACTACAGACACTGGACTCCTTGGTGCTTTACTGGTCTTGAATTGAATATAAGTTACGCCGTGGAACTGATCCACTGTAAATTCAAGCTGTGGAAGAATATCAAACATTGGATATCATTGTTAGTTTTCTGTGAGTTTGCAAGGTTCAAATGTTGGGATCATGAATCATCGTCAGCATAATGAAGCTCATATCCACATATTGTAAGATTGTCTACGTGAGGCAGGCCTCTAAGACCAGAATCGATTATGGGAGGCTGGCCTGTATTTGCCAGTAGTAGACATGCATCAAGATATACATGTATTCCTCCGTCAAAATCATGATGACCTCGACCAAAAAGGTGTTCGGTTGTAGGAGCGGAATGAAACGGAGAGTAGACAGACAAAGGACTTATTTCCATTGAAGCAAGAAACTCTGGCACGCAAAAAGATGGGCGAGCAAAAAACATACAACAGCCTAAGGATGTGGTCACCTAGCGCGCACGATTCGGGCGTGGGCGGGTCACAGCTCTAGTCAGCCCTGTTCAGGGCAATCCTGGCGGATATTCACCCGCCTGAATATTTTTCACCTGAGTATTCAGCCCGTGCATCGAAAAGTAAGTTCTCACAGTTTGAGGTGTCAAGACCGTAAGTGGCCTCCTTTTTTCTTCTCTCCCATCTCTCCCATCTCTCCAAGGTCGCTTGGTCACCAAAGCAGATGCGTGCTAAGCATAACCCAACGTTGAAATTAGGGTTGCACACGAATAATGACTATACCAATGTTCGTACGAAGCAAATTTCTCTTATTCATAAGTTATTCGTAAGAAAGCACGTGCTATTAAATTTCCTCCAAGATAAACATATATATCTCATATCAGCAATAACCGTCGCATGGTCTCCCCGTTCAAACTGTTTCTCCTGACACCCAACAAATCTCGCCCTTTGTTGAATAGACTCTCAACCGACACTGCAGATGCTGGAATGGCCAGAAAATCTTGAGCAGCCGCAGCCAGCCGGGGATGTTCGTTCGAGTGAGCGTTCCACCAAGGCTAAAAGCCAATTCTTGCATTGTGAGACTGATTCATATATCACCACGATATCATCCTCGAAATACCGGTCAATATTAGATGAATATCTCTTCTTAGGTTGCAACCTCTGAAGTACACAAGCCTCTAGGCTCCTCTCCGCTATAGGCTGCTCCACCAGGGACTTTGTCGTAGAGTCCGTTACTAACGGGCATTGCTCATGCAGCAGCTCTTTGACATGCGTGATGGCTTTTGGTGATGTGAGCTTGCCCAGATCTCTGTCCAGGAAGAGTGTCCAAAACCGCGGATCGAGAACTAGGGCGACATAATAGTCGTCTTGTCCATTCATGAGGTTATAGTACTTCTGGAAGTTTTGAGACCGGCAGCTGCGGCCACAGATATTTCTGGGTGGAGAGCCGAGAATTATTCCTCCCTGGATGCAGCGTCATGTAACAGATCGTGCAGTTCATAGTATATGGGAATCGCCAAGGTTTATTGTGGTCAGTAGTTTATTCAGCGACTTACATTTTTGCTGGCCCTCATTGCTCACCATGACCCTCTTTTTAAGAGGCATAGGTTCTATCTGCTATACAGTAGCACTAAAGAGAAGTGTCCTTGGTTTTGAACAAAGGTGATGTGTGCCCGAATATTGAGGTACAAATTGAAGGTAACTAACGTAATTCACATGCGAGTGGGCCACCCAAGCGAGTGGGCCACCTGCCGCGAAACGCGTCAATTAATTAGACCTTCCTTCTTTAACCACCTACCATGCCACCAATTCGTACTCAATCCTCTCGAAATTTAGTAGAGCAGGAGGGTAGGGTCTTATTAGCTATTCAGGCTATTAAGAATCAAGAAATTACCTCTATACGCGAAGCATCACGCCACTTTCAAGTGCCCCGTTCAACCCTACAACGCCGCCTTACCGGTGACATCTTTCGTCCTGATTCACGCGCAAATAACCATAAATTGACCGAAATTGAAGAGGAATCGCTTCAAAAATGGATTCTCTCAATGGATTCTCGCGGAGCAGCCCCTCGGCCCTCTACCGTACGAGAAATGGCTGATCTATTACTCGCGGCGCGTGGATCTACCTACCCTCTTTCGGTCGGTAATAATTAGGCTACAAACTTCGTAAAGAGACATCCAATCCTATCAACCCGGTTCTCAAAACGATATAATTTCGAGCGCGCGCAATGTGAAGACCCAAAGACTATCGGAGATTGGTTTTCTCTCGTCCAAACAACTATACTTCAATACGGCATCGACTCCGACGATATCTATAACTTCGACGAGACTAGTTTCGCAATGGGCTTAATTGCAACCGCAAAGGTGATTACGAGAAGGGAATACTACGGCCGGCGATCACTTTTGCAACCCGGAAATCGCGAGTGGGTTACCGTAATTGAGTGTATAAATTCCTCGGGGTGGGCGCTTCCTCCGTGCGTGATCTTTAAGGGCAAAGTCTATATCGAATCTTGGTTCGACGGCCTTCCGGACGACTGGCGCTTCGAGGTTAGTCGAAAAGGGTGGACTTCCGATGAAATTGGCCTTCGGTGGCTTGAAAAGCTCTTTATTCCGTCTACTTCTTCGCGTACGAAGGGGAAGTATAGACTTTTGATACTCGACGGCCACGGAAGTCATTTAACCCCGAAATTCGACGAAATTTGCGAGAAAAAAACGATATTATCCCAATTTGTATGCCTCCGCATTCGTCTCACCTTTTACAGCCTCTCGATATCGGCTGTTTTGCGGTGTTAAAGCGCTCGTACGGTCAGCTTATCGAAAGTAAAATACGGCTCCGGATCAATCATATCGATAAACTTGATTTCCTCGAGGCCTACCCGTCCGCACGAATTGAGGCATTTAAATCGGAGACTATTAAGAATAGCTTCGCCGCCGCCGGTTTAATGCCTTATAACCCCGATCGAGTGATCTCGAAGCTCGATATTTGCCTTCGAACCCCGACACCCCCTTCGAGCCGGGGGAGCGAGTGGGATCCAAAAACGCCTTCAAACCACGTACAATTACAAAAGCAAGCTTCCTCAATTAAAGCTTTGCTAAAACAGCGCTCAAAAAGCCCACCGAGCCCGCTTAATTCCGCGATAGATCAGGTTTTAAAAGCGTGCCAAATCACAATGCAATCGGCAGCTTTTCTCGAGAAAGAAGTACGCGAATTACGCGCTGAAAACGAGACGAAGAAGCGAAAAAGAACTCGGTCTAGAAGGCAAATAGCTTCTGAAGAAGGTCTCTCGGTTTTAGAGGCCTCTACATTAGCAATGCAGCCGGAGCAAGTAATTATAGCACCAATACCCCGCCAGGCAAGACCGCCCCCGGCACCTTTACAACCACGTACGAGGGCCTTACCGAAGTGTGGAGCATGTGGAAATGAGGGTCATAAAAGAAATGCATGTCCAGATAGACCTCGTTTTTAGCTTATTGAATTTAATGGCGTTTTGGTTAAGATAATTGCATTTAAATTTAATGGGTAGTGGCTAGGTGGCCCACTCGCTTGGGTGGCCCACTCGCATGTGAATTACGTTATATCATTCTAACCTTTCATTTATCTTCCCCTACTATTACCTTATATTCTCTTTGCTATTTTAAATAAAGATTGCGAATTATGGACTTCTAATGACTGTGTTCTCGAGTTAAATCGGGTAGGTGCTGAGATAGAATTAGGGTGTGAGATTGTACCTTGAGAAGAATGTTCTTTAAGTCCTCACAAAGTCAATACACGGGAGATAAATAGCATCGATTTCTTTCTTCGTAACCCAGGGTAATCTTTGACTTCTTTACTGCATCTCCCTAGTGATAAGCCTTATATATAGCTTCTAAGATAAGAGTGGCAAGAGTTTCACTGTAAAGGTTGGCTAGTGCTACACCTTTATTTCGAACGATTATGTATTCTTTGTGGAGTTAACTTATGATTGCGGAGTGATATTTACTGATCAGTGTTCATCGAAATAATTACAATTTGTGATCTGTCAAAGAGCTGTGAGCGCCGAAAGGCAGATCAATTAAAGTCTTCCATGACAGGTAGATTTTTATTACGTGGAAACAATTTGGCGAATCTTCAACATGCGTTGTGTATTCAGATTACTCCTTCACTTCGACATGGACGGTAGCTGCCTTGCCCTCTGTATCTCTGGCTTGCTCCTTCAGGTCCGCGACGGCAATTTCTCCAACATCTACCGCGTCGTCGCCATCGAAGTACTTGGCGATTTCCTCCATGGGAGTGTACCGGGTCTCGATCAAGAAGGTGTAGATAACGAACACCTCCATTGCCAGGAAAACGCAGTAGACAATGTAATACTTCCAACCAATTGCATCGAGGGCAATTGCATTAATGTACTGATTGAAGAAGAGCGCCGCGGTGACACAAAAGTTCAGCCAGGTAAAGCCCTTGGCACGAAGACCGTAAGGAAGAATTTCAGTGGTATAGGTTGCCATCAGACCAGATCTAGGAAGTATCTTAGTGTCAGCACTTGCTTGCAAAAAAATAAAAATAAAAAGTAAATAAAAAAACATGGAGGATTTATTTGGACCAAAAGACTGGACAGGCTAGGCAGGTCCTGAAACTTACTTGATATCGTAGAATACTCCGTAGAGAACGGTCAGAACCACGAAAATATATCCAAGCGCGTGATTGGCCGCGATTGCGTACCGTGCTGACACGATGGTCCATGCGTTGAAGACCACGAATGTACCAACTGTGGAGACCATGTAGACTGGCCGTCTTCCTAACTTATCGATAAAGAAGGCTAGGGTGAAGTTGGTGACCAAAGCTTCGGTCTTGATACCCGCGTTGATTCCGAGCTGTGTGGAGGCCTTAGTGATACCAACCTTATCCATGACCTGCTTGAGATAGTAGGAAATTAGACCATTGCCACTCCATTGACTGAAGAGGCCCAGAGCGGTGATGAGGCCGATTCGCTTCCGGTTGCCCTTGGTTTTCAAAAAGTCAACCCAGCGAGT